GTCTGACCTGAACACGTATTTGTGCGCATTGCCGTATGACGTGGGTCAAATACTTGCGAGATCTGACGCCTGGTCAGGGCTTGCCCGCGTCGTCGGGCTCGAAGGCTCGTTGGGGCATGTCGACGATGGTATGGGAATATTCACATGGTCGTCTTGTCAGATAAAATATGTGTGTACGTATGTATGCGTGTACGCCGACAGAGATTGAGAAAGGCTTGGACCGCCTTGGACCGGGACCGCTGCCATCGAGGTTGATTCACTGCGCGAGCAGCAGCCCCGCATGTCGCAACGGCCGATTCCGCTTGCCCAGATGGTCCACGCTTGCAGGTGGGTCCTGGGTCCTGCAGCTCGCGACGTCAGGCCCGTGGTAGGTACTTGGTACTTGGATACGTACCTGGCCAGGAATCGATACCGTCCGGATGCCATCCGCCGCCAGTCGCCAGTTCAGCTGTCTACTGTACCCTCAGTCGACTTGTCGTCCATCCCTTTCTTTCTGCTACAGTGGACCTGAACCTCAACACATACATACACATACGAGATCTCGCCATCTGTTCGACACGCGGTGAGAATGTCGTCAATGCCTGCCCTTGCATCGGTAACAGCAACTGAGGCAGAGCAAGGCGATCCTCCCGCCATCAGTCATTCTGCTCCACCGATCCTTTCTCTGGCTGCAGCTAGCTACTGACGTCTTTCAAGGTGCTCACTTAGACAGTCCTTTTGAACCCCAGCATCATGACCACTATCCCCGAAACTTGGTCTCACCAACGGTCGGTTGCAGTATCGTCATCACCCAACTCGATCGACCTACACCCAACGCTTTGGACCCCTCGGGCACCAAGACCAATCCGGTCACCCCTGCAGGCTGGCCCAGGTGCCTTGGAACAGTACATGTACGAGAGCCCCTTCCGGCTCCTGTGCCTTGCTCGTGGACTCTGCAGTAGATGCCTATTTCGAGCCTCGCTAGGGCCTCAATCAATCGGAGCTCACATTATCGAGATCCTGTCAAACCGAATGGCCTTGCTTTGGAGCCAGGTCCTCAGATTCCTATTCGGTCTCGTACAAACAGAATCGATGCTTGGACGTCTTGGCCCGAAGAGACCATCGAACCCAAAGTTCACTCTTGTATATCTGCTCCGAGAGCTCACGACGGCTACATGTGCACTGCATCCGATGGTGAATCACACATGATTTGCATGGGTGACCTTCCGGTGCCGAGCCCTTGGATCCGGTGGAATGAGGATCTTGCCAGGGGAAGCAGACCCAGGTCGGACATCGTCATGCGCACAACTGCCTGGCAAACCAGGACCTCGACGATTTCCGTCTGGTGGAGGTGGAGCACTGCATTTTCCCATCATTTCCGAACCTCATGCTCCATCACATGAATATTTCATGTTCCGCACACCTGGGCAAAGAGATGGACCAATGTGATAAATGAGTTAGTTCGGCATGAAGTTATGGGCCCTAGTCGTCCAGGTTCCCGGTTTGACTGCACTGGCTGCAGAAACAACAACCATCATCGCTCAACCGTCCATGATACTCAGTACACACAATCAAATGATGTGGTACAGCCTAGAAATCTCTCCACCAAAGTGATCGCACAGTCGAACGGGCTTCTTGCCTTCAGATGGCACGCACAGGGAGGTGTTGGCCGGGGAGACCGGGAATGGCGGCGCAAAGTGTCAAAATGCAGTCCTGCTCTTTGCGCTCACATTGTTGAAGAGAATGACATCTGGAACCTGCCGCAGACACGAATGGATCGCAGCCACAATCTGCCAAGTAACACTCTCCTTGCCGACATGCTCGCTTGCTTCAAAAGTGGATACCAGATCTGGATTTAGTCGTACTCGCAATTGGTTCGATCCTGCTGGACTGCTGACTGTTGCAGGATGCGCCTTACCGAGTCTCGCATGCAACGACTTTCTGCCCTACGCTTTTCCCTGCAGCCCAGCTAACAAACAGCACGTATGCGTAACTCGCGGCCATTTCAAACAATCAATTGCCACTCAAATTGCCACTCAGGCGCAGCGGGCGGCGGATATTACTTCCACGCACAAATCAGTCGATACGTCTCTGGGTTCGTGGGCAATCGCCTGATGCCGGCAGCCATCTTTGGCCCGTGACACAAAGGTAACAATGCCTTGCCCAAACGCCGCTACTGATGCACGAGTCTGAAAGTAGATCACTCCGCAGTACTCCAGATGCTACGAAAACCACCCTCTACCTATCATTTGCTGGCGATGGAGGACGTCATGATATCCGATCCCTCTAGTAAATAAATAAGGTTCAGAAGGGAGCAATGCCTGTCAGCATCCCAGGCACGAACACATCGGTCACGAGAGGCTTTAAGAGCCATCTACTGGCGGGTACAGTACCCTGCGTACCAAGATCCACAGCAGAGGCACCACGAGCGAGGACCGTTGTCCCTGGATTACGGGCTCTGTCTCCGAGTGGTGCCACGGTCGTGGCGGAGGCCGCTTTTGTAAGTGCCATGTTGATAGCAGGGAGCGACAACAACTGTTCCTCTGGTCACAGGCGAAGCAAAGTTATCTCGGCAGGTGGGGGACACAGCACCCACAGTCAAGGTCGCATCCTGTAAGCGGCACCAGCGAGTGTCAGACATTGGTCTTCGAGTGGACCAGTCCCGCGCGCCTTGGGAAGCCGTACCGTAAGCCGCTTACCGGTAGGTGCGCAGTGCGCACCACACAGCACTCTCAACATTGTGAGTTATGATGAATCCCTCGGGAACCCCAAACAGCCTCAACCTGCCGCTAGCCGACCTCACGTCTGGAGATCGAGGCGCCGCCCTCAAGGCCGGAGAGGTGCCCACCCCTTGCTCACCGGTCGCCGGATTGTTGTTAGAGTACACCATCTTCACTCGTCATTCCATGCTATCTCATTGCTAGTGTATAGCAGTTGATATAACACTAACAGGCTGTATCAAGCACCCTTCGGATAATCACGGCTTGAAAAAATACAACACGAATGGAAGATTTTCTGGTGCTTCATCGATTTTGGTTTTGTGAGTTCAGAAATCGCATAAGCCCCGTTGAATCAATCTGGTACGGTTGATCTCGGAGCCACTTGGCACGGGAGCGAGGCAGGTCACATTTGTTCCAAAATCTGACGACGAACTGTGCGACACCGCGGACCGGCCCTCAAAAAAACACCTGAAACGGTCAGATTTTAGCCCTGCCGGCGAGGTAACTACGAGCGGACCTCGGTTGCGTCGAAGATGTGCAAGAGGCTCGTTCTGATCATCCAAGAAATGTGACCGTCACAAGGCTCGTCAACAGAAGCCTCATGATTCGAAGATTTCTTGACCGGTCTCATATCACTGCGCCTTTGAGGGCATGCTGACGGCGGATCCTACATCCGTCACATGAAGTCGAGAGTCGAGATAACGTCCACGTTTCGACTTGCAGACCCCTGCTGCCGCCCCTGTGCCGACAGACTGACAGTCATGGGGTCCCCGGCAAAGATCTGCGCTCGTCTGAATGGCCAACGGCTGCCAATGATCACTTGACCGGAGTGCCTGCCGTCTGGCCCTGCAGTGCCTACACAGTAATACTAACCCCAACTTGCTGCCACACCTGCTGATGTGGACACGACGATCAGGGCCAGTGGCGCCAAGTTGCACAGAACCACAGCTGACGAGAATGTACCAGACGCTGGCGGGTGATGTTGAAGCCTGCACCGTTTGGACGGGGCTTCAGAGAGCCACGACCTCGCAGCCACGACCTCGCCGCGGGTGCTGCCCGAGGTTGCCCACGGCCTGCACCTGCCAATTGACCGAGACAGTCACCCACAGTGCAGCCTGCTTGCCTATTCATACGACGTCGAATGAACCATCCGTACCATAGTTTGGGGAGATCGTGGCACTGCCTAAATCCCATTATTTGGTAGATGGCGTAGGCTGGGTAGACCGGCAGGATAAACATCGGGCGTGCTATTTCCAAACCTGTCTGTCCCTTAACCCCGCGCATCTCCACCACCGACCGTACGCACACAGCTACTGCTGAGCCACAAAGTGCAGACCATGGTACGCCTGGAAAACAGGCGGCAACAGAGTCATTGGGGCTCGTTCTCGTTGTGTGGTTTCTTGCCGTGAGACAAGTCCACGGCCTGTAGCATGACCCGTCGTCTGTTCTCCGGTCCTCCATATCTCGGCTCGGGAAGATCTGAGCAATTTCTTGCAACCACCACCACCTTCGGTTGCGAGGCGTCACCTCCCGTACCAGACTTGGGCCCTCCTCACTCCCGAGGTACATTCGTGTTGTCCCGAGATGACACAGCCGGGGTGGGGGGACGCACCTCACCCACCAAATCTACACGCCTTCTCCGCCAGAATATTAGGTTACAGGCTTCACAAATCCACCTGATAAGGAAATCATCCTCGCTCCGCCCAACGCGGTCACTCTGTCAGGACGGTCAAGTGTCCTCTTGCTGTTTGTGACCAGTGTATTTGATATGTCATATTCTATGTTCAATTTCGCGTTGGTATCGGTCCGTCATTGACCTTCCTAGTATATAGGGAGGGAGGCAGGCCGGATTGTAACGCCTGGTTGGGCAGCAATAGTAACGGAGGGAAAGGGAAAGAGGATGGACGATAATAGTCCGCAGTTAATAACATTCAACGGTGGTCAAGACGGGAAGGTTGCCGAGACATATATGTGCTCGTGGTATAGTGTGATATCCTCAGGGGCAACGCAAGATCTCGTCATAATCAGCTGCACGAGAAGACCAAAGAGCTCGCACAGGGCTCGCGTTCGCGTCCCGCATGGTCAAGGTCCAGAGCTTTACTGTTGAGGACTCGCTTGGCCCACGAGGGCATCTTTATTCTTTTGTACGGATGACGCTGTTTCTATCTATGGTGCAGTAGAGGCACATGTTGTATTCTCGCCGACAAATAAAGAAAGTACCCCTTTCGAAGTTGGAGGGGTGAAATGATGGCTGTGGCAGGCGATGGCCAGTTCTTTCTCGCTTTCGAGGCCAACTTTGGATCACATACCGCCAGCATGCTTGTTTTCTGAGGCGTCACCCTCCTGTTCGGTAGAGTCACCTTCGGTATCCTGAGCCGCCGCAGCAGCGGAAACTACCTGCGTGAGATCCTCGGTTGCTGCCGGTGCTGCCGCGGCTACTTGGGCATCTCTTTCCGCTTTTCCACGTTCGGGTGCTTTCCTCATCTCTAGAACGTCGCCGGCATCTGGCGTCTCCTGGCCTTCTAGCTGTTGCTTCTCTGACCAAGAGAACGCATCCGACAGGTTGACTGCCACAAAGCTCTTGGGTAGCTTGACAGTATGGAACTTGGCACGTAGCGTCTCGATGACCTCCTTCCAGTTACAGTGTGGCGTCAGGGTCCTCCTCTGTGCGCAGCTGATGCAGTGCTTGCTGTCAAGCTGGACGTCCAACGGGTCATAGACGTGACACCCAGGGCTGATAGCGATCCGGATACTGTAATTAAATGTAGGATAGCCTTCGCCTGTAGTGGCACCCTGCGGTTGATTGGTTTCGGACTCGTACAGCTCGAAGCAAATCTGCGAAAGGTAGTCCAGCTCCGGAATAGTGCTCCGTTTGATTTTGGTCTCGATACCGCCTTCCAGGATGCAGTTGAGGAGGGTGTAGATGTGAGATTCTTTGGTGAAGTAGAAGAAGCACTTCGCGTCATCTGAGGCTTGCATCTCTTCCAAGTCGGAGACAATTTCTCGTAACAGAGGCAGGGACGTAAGCAAGCCAATTTCGAGCTGATAGTATAGAAGTTAGTAACGCTTGGCTGTCAGTCACAAGACAAAGGGTCCACATACCTTTTCGCTATCAGATATGCCGTACTCCTGAGGGCAGATGAAGTCGAATAGGACCTTAGCAAGCTGATACAATTCCCGCAGAAGTTCAAAGCGGTCGTCAGTCTTCGCCTTCGTCTGGCTTTCAGGAGAACCCCTCTGAAGGCCGAAGTACTTTTCTGCATCTCCCACAGTGTCCGCCTTTCGCATACTGCTGCCCATGGACGACCTTCTGAACAATCGTCTAACTCTGTGATCATCTCTTTCGCTATCTCTCATAGAGCCTTTGTCTCCGTTCTTGCTGTCCTCAGATGACTTGGCGGGGTGTTGTGGCAACTGAGATTCTTTGCCAGCTTCAGCCGATCTGCTTTCTTGGTCCGTTGCAACAACGCCATGTTTGCGGAACTCCTCAACCAGTTCCTTAGTTGGCCTGAATACCCACTCTAAAAATTGACGATTGTGAAGTGCATCAAATTTCATCGTGTCGTAGAGCTCGGAGATCTTGCTTGGGTCAACTTTCTCACCGTCACAGAACTCTGTAAAGAGCTTCTCCCACCGTTCCCGGAAGAGCTCGGCATCTTCTCCACAACACCACCGGGCTTGGATTTCATTAACAGCCGTGACCTGGGACAATGAAGACGCCATTGAGTGAACGGAGCCGGACGATCCCTCACCGGGCTTGAGCTTTTCTGAACTGCCAGGATTGGAAACCGCGTTTAGCGAATTCACAGCCCCGCTGCGCAACTTGTTGAAGTTGAAGTGCATGACGCGACGATGGAAGTTCATTAACTGTACAACACGAGTCTGCACTTCCGCCGGCTCGGGCATGTTCTCCGGCCAAGCGAATTGTGGCGGTCTTTCATTACCCTTGCGGAGGAGACCCTTGAGCTTCTTCTTGACCTTATCCATTTCGTCCTTCGCAGCATTGGAGTCATCCAGAAGGTCCTTCCGAATCTGTATGAAATCCTCTGGAAGGTCGGTGCGGTCTAAAAAGGCAGATGACCATATCTGAGCACTCGTTGTCACTCGTCTCTCTGAGCTGCTGAAGACATGTATCTCATCAAGGACATCCCGATTCAAGATGGCCAGGTCATTACGCATGTTTTCGCCAAGTTCCTGTGCCTGGTAGCGAGCTGAGTGCGTAGGCTCACCGCCCCATTTCACGATAAGTTGCAGCTTATCGAGAACGAGACCGTTCTCTGCAGCGGTAATTTTCGACATTGTGACCCCTGACAAGGAGTCGTGGCGCTTGGGTGGGAATCGTGGTACATTCTCAGTGCCGGAGAGCTCGTTGCCTGAAAGTGCGGCCTCAGACATCTCTTCGGTAGGTTGTGAACTTGGTTCCTTGGGAGAGACTTGCTTCTCGTCCACTGGGGCCATCTCCTCGGTCTTCTTCTTGCGAAACATTGGCTTGATCTGAACCTTGGTGCCTGGCCAACTGCTCTTTTTCACTAGGACATTTCGCAGCGCCCTGAGTTTGTCGCGATCCTCTCCGCCAGCTCTCATAGCTTTCTCCACGGCTTCGAGGACGCTCGCCAGTGCTGGCTCACCAATAAGGAGCACCTCCTCTTGATGGCCCCGGAGCAACTCAATAAATGGATCAGTGTGAAATGTGAACTTGAACTTCTGCTTCGGCGTACGATCAGCGTGCCGAATGACCGAGACCATGCCTTTGAGCTTCCAGGAGTGTTTAGGTGGAGGCGGCGGCGGGGTATGAACATCCGGTTGTTCTGTCACTAACTCCTGGAGATTGGGCGTGACTGGCACGGTCGCTGGTGTCGAAGATGGCTTGCTGCGAATGAGAGGCTCGGAGAGAGGCAATAGGGGACTCGTGGCGCCGCTTCCAGCCTTGGATGCGGTTACGACCTCTGACTTCGGAGCGGAGTCTGGGACGGGGGAGTTTGCGGCCCTGATATCTTGCGTCGATTTCGATCCTTGAGTAATAGTGGCTGACTTCTGGTTTGGCAGCATTCCGGTCAGAGGAGTCTCCTTGGGGCCCTTCTCTTGAACGCCGGAACTGGCCCTTGACATTGGATCTATGTCTGATATAGCGGGAGAGGGCATTGGAGGCGTCATTGCGCCTCGTCGTATCCTTTCCTTGATGAAGATCTCCTTCATGATGTTTGCACATCGATCGTAGTAGTCATCATTGTCTTTGACGAAGCTCCACCCGTTGACATCAATGACATAGCTCTTCCCATCGGCTCGAAGCAGGTCAAAGCCACAAACACGCTGGCCAAAGGTCGTCGCAATCCTGCTTGCAACAGTCTTTTCAAGGTCGGTGAGATGAGCCACGTAGCGGACCTCTTTGCCATGCGTGTTACGGCGAACGACACCGTCGACAACGGGCGACTTCCGAGTCTCTGCATGACAATAATTGGGGCCGACTGTGTATGCCTTCACATCTTCTGCGTTCACGACTTTCATAAACTTTTCGTAAAGGAAGCTCTCCGCTGGCTGGGTGATGCAGCGCGGGACCTTGAGATCAGGCACGAACTCGGAGCTCTTGTTCCCGATTTTCCTGAACAGTTTCCTCGCACCTCCGGGATAATCAGGGTCGTCATTGGGGAAGTAGACGATAATGTTGTGATCCTCGCCGCTCACAGGCTTCTCGACGAAAGGCTTCTTAAGCAGTGCACCGTCGACGCTGAGAATATCACCATCGTCCAGTAGCTCTACCTTGCGGGGCAATTTCATCTTGTCTGGATCCGTAGGGGTCGGCTCCAGAGACACACCGGTAACTTCCTCAATATGCTTTGCCAGATCGGGAGTCAGGATGCGGGGGCCTCCATCACGGTTCACTTCCAAACGTTTTGGGGTTGGAACGTCGATCCTGTCCAAGAGATGGAGGCAAAGTCGCCGGTCCCACAGGACCTGCTGCATGGGCACATCGTTGACACAGAATGGTTTCCGTGCCTTGACATAAGCAATGGCCTTTTCGAGGGGGAATCCATCAGAATAAAATGATATCAAATAGTCACTGCAATCAGCATGATCAGCAAATCTCAACTTCAAAGAAGAGTTTCAAAGAAGGCGCAGACACCAGAGCGATAGAGTGCAGAGCAATCGACACTTACCACACGGGCCAATTCTCGATATCTATTGGTACGTCATTAGCAAGAGAAGACCAGATAGAGGAGGAGACGTCCGTACCTTCGTCTAGGATGACTTTGTCTCCGAAGATCTTGACATCAAATTCCCGGTTCGCCAAAAGACGATTCAGGATGTTTCTGCTGGGCTTGCTTCTGGCCTTAACGTCCAAAGCACATACGCCGATGAGGCCCAAGGGCGCGGGTTTCGCTGTTGACTGGGTCAGATATTGTCTTGGTACATAGGTCCTGTGTGAGCGTTGACTAACCCTCTTCCTTCTCCCTATGATGAGGTGTCCGATCACTGCTTGGACTGTGGCTACTAGCCGCGGTACTCCCACTGAGTCGTCGCTTAGCTCGACTTCTTTCTCTAATCGGTTGAGGCCTCGGGGCGCCAGAAGGGTCAGAGCGAGGTGGCTGCGGATGATTCCTCTTAGGGGCGTCGGCGAGGTGTTGGTGTTGTTCTCGGGGAGCAAGATTTCCTCCAGCTATGCCCTGGCTACCAGTAGTAACAGTGACATTCGACAGGCCTGTCTCGCCTTGCTTCCCCGAGGAAGGCGCCATGATGCCGGACACTGAGCGGTGAGTACCGGCGGAACCAGTGTCAGACCCGGTGACCGACGCTGCTGAGCTCGGTATACCCCGAGCAGAGGCCATGGAGTAGATGGAAGAAACGCTCATACGCTTGGTTTCCTTGTCTGCCTCCGAGAAGGACGAGCGTGAAGATGGCATGGCAGGATCAGGCAGTGGATGGTCGCCGACGGAGTCCGCAGAGGTGCCAGGTTGCAAGCGAGGGGTCTCGGAGTCTGGGTCGTCGCTGGCGGCGATGACGTCTCTCAGAGAGCTGTAGCTCCGGACAGAGTTGGAATCGGCCGCACGAGACCTGACGGAAACAGCGTCGTCATTGCCTGCATCGGACTTGAGGGAATCGCGGCTGCTTTGAGGCAAAGGTACATGGGGACTCTTTGCGGGCCGGGCTGGGGGCGGCATGGACAGGCTCGCTGCTGCGTCTCCTGTCCCAGTTTCGGCGGCATTGCCCTTTTGATCGGCGGACGGATTGGTCTTGACAGAGGAGACGGAAGAGTTTGGCGAGTGAGCTGGGCCGCTGGCAGGTGTGGGAGGCTGCTCCCCTGGTCTGTCGTTCTCAGGTGTGGCCCGGTCAGCAGCTTGACCTGGAGGCGGTGGCGGTTGGTCCATGGTTGCTTGAGCCACAGTCTCAAGCAGCCGATGGGGCTTGATTCTCTGATGAGTTCCGGAAGGGACTGACGGCCTGCCCTTAAGCTGCAAATGAGACTGAAGTGCAGTGTGGTGAGGTGTGTTGAGGCGAGGTGAGTGAGGTGATGAGTGAGATGAGGCGAAGTTGGGTGGAGTGGAGTGGCACTGATTTTGAATGGAGCCAAGCAGCAAGGAAGGTCACGACCAGGAGTCCTTGAGGAGCTACGGCTAGCGGCTTGCTCTGACTTGAGTGGGAAAATGGATGATTTAGTGAATGCTTGGCGTCGAAATGGAAATGCTTGTTTGTGCCTAACCAGACCAACGCCGTATCGCCCAAAGTCGTGACTGTAGTGGGATTTATCACGAGGTTCGGTTGTCGACAGGATTGCCCCAAGTATGTGAACAGAGGCAAAGCGCCGCTAGAGTTTCGGTAGACTCCTCGAGTCACCTGCATAGGCATTTGAACATGTCATGTGTTGCTTTCAAGCCTGGTTGGGAAGGCCCCATCGGATGCCTTGAGCAGGTCGAGTGACGCAGGAAGAGAGTAAAATATACGGCTGATATCTTCAAACCAGGTGTTTATCACCTTGCATGCAAAATAAATTGTGTTGGCTGAGCTGTGCTTGTGCTGTACTTGAACTGGGATGAAGCTGCAGGTTCAGCCGGTGGTTGGTTGTGCTGGAGATGACGTGCACAGGGCGGTCAGTCCCTGCGAACCGGAGGGGCACATTGGCACATTGGGAGGGCCGTTCGCCGCAAACATCGAGCCTTTTGGGTTCTCGCGCATGTGAACCCCCAAACGTAGACTACCCAGACTATTATTGGGTACGTACCGGTTGCGTGGGGGACCACCCCATAACTGCATTTTTGGTGCAGCGTCTCTCGACCTGCTCAGGTGTTCACTGACCACGCACCGACTGCTCCGGCAGCCATTACGGTAGAAGAAGCCAGGTCAATGATCAGATTTGAGGTGTAAGAGTGCACTTGAAGTACACATGTTCAGCGAGGGCTAGCTGATATTGGTATCTCTGGACTGCACAGCATGAGGGCTCACACTGTTAAAACGGAGCAGATTATCCTGCGTCGTCGTTCGATACGAATGTCAGTCTAATGCTAATTCTGATTGATCAATGCCAACTATGATATATGCATGCCAATCGTGACTGATCAGTGCTAGTGCTAAGTGGTCCTTTGCAATTTCGACCAACGAGGATCTGATGCTTCAGGTGCGTGTATATGACTTCGGTGCAAATTGACCTGCTATGCTTTCGAAAATTGGCAGTCTCATGCCCCAGCTGCTAGCCTATCTGGCTGCTTTCACTCGTGTTTCTGCTTCGATGACTTCCGCGCAAGATTCGGATACATGTCCGATTGAAGTTGAATCTTGATTTGATCGCAATGCCGACTTCCGAACAACAATGAAAGCAGACGAAATCTTACCACCGAGCCAGTTATAGTATCTGTGCACTGACATTTACATCAATAGTGCCTGGCTTTTACTCTATTTACTGCAGGATGTGGCTTATCCCCCACGGTGGCTTATGATCATGAGATTTATTGTAGTCGGATTTGGCTCCTCGCCATTGGCCATGGACCATTGCAGGAGGTGTATTTCAGAGATCTGGCTAGATGAACAACGAGGTGTGACCATGATGTTCTTTTCTTCGGCGCATTTGTTCGGCCTCACCCTTGGCCCAGGCGTTGGTGTGTTTCTAGGAAAGGCAACGGGATGGAGATGGGTGCCGGGGTTCCTTTAGTTCGGCGAGCCGGCTCTTCATCTTGTGTCGTGATATAACAGAAGGATTATATGACTACCAGCAGGCCTATGGTGCCAGTGCGATTCTACGAGGCATGTGTTGTCTTTGCATGACGGTGATCATTCCCGAAACATTTGGCCTCGTGCTGCGTGCTGCTTGTGTGACGCGCACGGCGACTCTCGCAAGTCAAAGGCCGCGTATATGTCTCGAAACTAGCCACATCCTTGTGATTGAATTATATAGCCCTTACACAGTTGCAACCATTGAAAAATGGATGACCGCGCCCCACTTCCTTTTCAGCCTTTGCCCTTGTCCGATGTCCAGCCATCTTGGGGTCGTATTAATTAGCAGACGGTAGAGGAAGGCATGGCTGTTTATTGAGAACAAAAGTACAAATGGAATGAACAAGGAAGGAAAAATATGATATTGGTCAGGAACCATCTAAAGGGAAGTATTAGGTGAACTAGCAGGCACAACTTACCCGGCGTAGGGGTCTAATAGAGGCTGGTTGGCTGATAAGATAAGATAAGATAACAGTCCAAATTTCTGCGACCGCATCACCGACTAGAATGGTTTTTGATTCGGTACAACATGACCAGAGACTCGGTGGTTATTACATGATTAGCAGGGCTGGGTCAAGATGCCTCACTCCGAGCAAAACGATGCTCCTCTGGTCAAACGCCAGAAAGTCGGCACACCAGCCAAATCTGCCACTCATGCGCCCAAAGGATCCAGGATATTTGCGCCGTTCAGGGTAAGCCATTGCGCCGTGCCCACCACTTTGCTCTCGGCTTTGCTAGATTGACCTGCTGACGATGCCTTCCAACAGACTGTGGGCCTGGTCTCCCCAACCACTGTCCCATTTACATCGATACCCCTAGGCAAAACCACCTTCCAGATAACCACCTCCGTGGGCCGATCTCTCCAGACATATGATCTCAAACGCGGTCTCAATCTTGTCTTCATCACTCGTCCCCAAGCCCCTGCCGACATAACAGCTACCTATGCGTGGAAAGAGAAGGTGTTTGCCGCATGGGGCGACTCCCGCAATGGAGGCGCTCAGGGACTCTGGGTCTTCCAGCGTGGCAAGAAGGTCGCAGAACTCCCGCTGCCCAGCGACCTCGACCAACCCATAAGACAGATTCTCATCTTTGGCTCTTGGATAGTGGCCTGCTGCTCGACGAGAATCGAGGCTTGGAAGACTGCCACCTACGAACACTACACCACTCTGCACACAGTGGCGTCGAAGGCCGGGGACAACGAGTTGACGGGCGGCATTTGCAACATGCCGACTTATTTGAACAAGATTTTTGTTGGTCGCCGGGATGGCTGGGTCGAAATCTGGAACATCAGTACGGGGAAGTTGGTTTACACCATCCTGCCTCCTTCGCCGAAATGTGGTGCCGTCGCCTGTTTGGAGCCTTCCCCAGCCCTGTCGCTACTCGCTATATCCTATTCGAACGGTCCTCTGATCATTCATGATATCCTTATGGACAAACGAGTGGTTCAGCTAATGGCAGGCACGGAGGAGGCACCCGTCTCCGTGATTTCATTTCGAACGGATGGTCAAGGGGCAGGCCAAGATGGCCGAAAAGACGGTGTGATGGCCACCGCAACGACAAAAAATGGCGACATCACCTTCTGGGACCTCAACAAAGGAGGCAGGATCATGGGTGTTCTTCGCAGTGCCCATAACCCACCCTCACTGGACGGCCCCACTATCGGCGGTGGAGTGAGCAAGATTGAGTTTCTGCCCGGCCAGCCCGTTATCATCACCAGCGGTTTGGACAACTCATTGAAGTCATGGATCTTTGACGAGACGCCGTTCACACCCGTTCCACGTATTTTACACTCGCGGAGCGGACACTCTGGCCCGGTTACATGTCTTGAATTTCTACCGTCCGACTTCGATGGTTCCGAAGCCGGTAACAAGTGGCTCTTGAGTGCTGGAAAGGATCGAAGCCTTTGGGGATGGAGTCTGCGTCGCGACGGCCAGAGCACCGAGTTGAGTCAAGGAGCCATACGGAAGAAAGCCAAGAAGATTGGCATCTTGTCCCAGTCGACTCTCAGCCACGGGCCAACGACCACACTTGATGACTTGAAAGCACCTGAAATCACTTGCATATCTTCTTCGCTCAACCGCGATGGCGGCATGGGAGCTGTTCCCGGCAAGCATCAGATTTGGCAAAAAGGAAACACTCAGAAGAGAACAGATGCTGAGGTCAGCGCAATGACTGGCTGGGAAAGCGTAGTCACCGGGCACAAGGACGACCCCTATGCCCGAACTTGGTTCTGGGGCAGAAAGAGGGCCGGTCGGTGGGCATTTCAGACAGGTGATGGCATGAATGTGTCCACAGTCGCCATAAGTCCATGCGGCACGTTCGCGCTGGTGGGCTCGGAAGGCGGCAGTATCGACATGTTCAACTTGCAGTCAGGCGTGCACCGACAGAAGTTTCCATCACGGCTCACACCGGCGCAAGCCAGGCAGCTCAAAATACACCAGATGAGACAGACGGACTCTGTCCAGGAGCTTCATGCTCGGTCGAGCTTCAATTTCGCGCCAGGAACTGGAAAGCACACCAAGCCTGTCACCGGAATAGTGGTCGATTCGATGAACAAGCTTGTCATTTCGTGTTCCTTGGATGGAACTGTGAAGTTCTGGGAATTTCTGACTGGACATCTGCTGGAGCAGATTGACTGGGCTCCCATGACAAAAGTAACAGGCTGTCGGTATCATGCGGCGAACGACCTTATCGCCTTCTCTTGCGATGATAATTCCATTCGTGTGGTGGATATCGAAACAAAAAAGACAATCAGAGAATTCTGGGGCTGTAATGGTGCGATCAACGACTTTTGCTTCTCGAATGATGGCCGCTGGGTAATCGCCGCGTCGCAAGATTGCACCATGCGGATTTGGGATCTCCCCACCAGCCATCTCATTGATGCCTTCAAGTTCGAGACGCCTTGCATGGCACTGGCCTTTTCAGGGACAGGCGAGTATCTGGCCGTGTCGAACGCAGACCAGTTGGGGGTGAATATTTTCACGAACAAAGCAGTTTTCAAGCATGTCCCGACGAGACAAATATCAGAGAGCGAGATCGGGCAGATATCAGGTCCAACAACCTCGGGTGAAGGTGGTCAGGGCTTCCTCGAGGCTGCTTTTGAAGAGGACAGCACAGAGATTGAGGGCGACGGCGTGGCAGCTCCAAGCCTGGATCAGCTGAGCGCGGACATGATGACGCTGAGTCTGGTGCCCAAGAGCAGGTGGCAGACTCTACTGCACCTCGACCTTATCAAGAAGCGCAACAAGCCTACGGAAGCACCTAAGGCACCCGAGAAGGCACCGTTCTTCCTGCCATCCACGAACGGCAACAAAGCTCAGGGTCAAGACGCTCAGGCCACCGCGAAAGAAGAGGATGAGTCCAAATCGAGGATTACAAAACTTGACTGGAGCCGTTCGCAGATGACATTCTCAGCAAAACTCCATGACGGCGCTGTCAGTGGTAATTACGACGGCTTTATTGAACACATGAAGTCGCTGTCTCCCTCCGCCGCCGACCTTGAACTGCGGTCGCTGTCCATCGGCGACGCCAGTGACGGCGAGGAAAATGAGCTGCTCCATTTCATCCGAGCGATGACGGCCAGGCTTGTAGCCAGACGAGACTATGAGCTGACGCAAGCGTGGATGACGGTATTCCTGAGGTTGCATTTTGATATCATCATGGAGAGTGAGGTGCTGTTAGGCGAACTGAAGAGGTGGAAGAGCCACCAGGAGAAGGAGAAGGACCGACTTGATAACCTAGTGGGGTACTGTGGTGGTGTCGTCGGTTTCATCAGGAGTCCCAGGACATAGCGGATGCTAGGTTATTAATGTAATGGATGTCGTTCTTGGCTCTGAGTGCTTGACCAAGACACAGACCAGTTGCTCATGGGTTGTGTTCTACAGTTCAAACACTAATCTGCGTCTAAAATCTATATCATGATGATACTGCAAGAAGTTGACTGAGCTGATGCCCTGGTTTGTAACGCTCATCTGCTACTGCGCCATCCATGCTTGTTGTCTATGCTTCTCAGGCGTTTTGCCATCTGATACACAAAATAAGAGCACAGAACTCATATAAGAGTACACGCTGCCTTCATCACTCCCTCACTCCATCACTTCTGGCACCAGCATCCGCCACCGCTTCTGCCTGTTTCTTCTCCGTAACAAGCTCCGCGGCGCCGTCCTGATTCCCTTGGGTTCCTAGGCGAAGCCATGGGACGAAAAGAACACTGACTGCAGCCATAGCGACTGACACTTCAAACGTCCGTGTGTATTTCAGCATCGGATGGGCCATTCCCGGGGCCGTGTTATCGACAGAGCTGTAGATGGCCGTAGCGATACCAACCCCAACCGTTGCACTCAGGCGGTTAAGGGTATTCTGTACGCCGGTTGCCAGACCCTGCTGATGCGCTGGCAGGAATTGCATTACATACATCTACGAAGGAGTGTCAGCGCATGCATTAATTCAGTGATTTAAAGTAATGGAAGACCTTGCTGGACTCACATTGGAGACGTTGGTTTGGAAGTCCGCGCCCACGACGTTGAGGATCAGCGCTGGGAACATGAACGCCCAATACGAGCTGTCAGCGCGCATCAGAGACAGAAGTAAGTTGGCGCCAAGGTATGCAAGTGACCCGACGGCTATGATTATTGTGTTGTTAACTTTGTGCAACGTATACCCTATGAGGATATTCCACAGGAAACCGGCAATTGCTTGTGGGAGAAGGTGAACAGCAACACTCAGGGGGTCGTATCCCCTGATTTCTTGCATAAAGAATGCCAGATAGAAAGATGAAGCTTGGAAGGACATGTAGCCGAAGACAGTCGTCGCACCTATCAAGTTCTCAGTCAGCAAAGTTCTCAGATGGATACCTCTCTGTCGTAGGATGAGACTGATATGATGGAGGCTTAGAGAAGCACATACTCAACAACGCGAAGTTGCGGTCTTTCCAGATGAAAGGAGGCATGAGGGGATAAGCGCTTTTGGTCTCCCAGAAGCCAAACACCATCACAAGAGCGACTCCAATGACCATCAAGCAGAGTGTAACGGGAGATGTCCAGCCGTCAGACGGCCCGAGCGTGATTCCAGCAGTGAACATGCCAGTACCAAACAATATGAGTGCTGCGCCAAAGGCATCAAACTTTTTGACAAATGTTGATAGTCTCTGCTTCAAGGGCTCGCCGGGTTCGAAAGCCTCGACTTTTGGCACAGCCCATAGGGCGTGTAGGAAGAAGACTGCAAAGAGAATGGCAATGAAGAAGAACGAAGCGCGCCACTTTTAAATGGTCAGCACGGTATTCACGCGAGATTGCGGTCAACTGTCGTCGAGGGTCTTTGGCTTACATTAAACAGCCTCGCAGCTATACCACAGGTGATACTTCCCGCAACGGTCCCCAAAGATTTACCAGCAGTGAAAGCCGAAAAGGCCAAGTTCTTGCGTTTGCTCGGCTTGCCATACGCTGCTCCCAATATACCCCCTGCAGGTGGCACGATCATGGCGGAGGAGACACCGAGGACACCGAGGACGACGTCCATCCAGAAGGGGTTCTGAGCGAAGCCAACAAGCAGGACGAAGACGGCGTATGAGCTCATGCCACAGAGGAACAACATCCTCCGGCCGAGCAGGTCAGACAATTGGCCCAGCGCGAGCTGGAAGGACCCGGCTGTTAGGGTCGTCGACGCCGCGATCCATGAGATTTGGCCCTGCGTCATCCCCAGTTCCCGTCCAATGGTAGCGGTGACAGTCGACGTGGCCCCGGTGAGGAATGGATTTGATGCCATTGCGATAGTCGCCTGCGCAACAAATGAGACTTCCTGTATCGTGTTCTTGAAACATTCTGGTCGGTTGCCAAGTTTCTGCCTGATAGTTTCTGCGACCGAAAGATTGGTGTTCTGCCGCTCGAGATCATCATCTAGTCCTGGGGAACTGCTGACGCTGAGCCTTCGCACTCGTTCCGTGAGCACCTCGCGCGATGTTGGCCTCGTTGTGGCCTCGCTACCTGAGGAAGGCGTCTCAATCTCAGCTTTCTCCAAATCTGCCATGGCTGAAATTCGAGAGGCTTTAAGAATTTCCCCAATGATAATTGAATTGGAAATTGAGTAAGTTGAGTCCAATGCTGGTTCGATGTTGCCACAGGCAGTCATCTGATATTAAACATAGCTCAAAACGGGAGGATGAGACTTATAAGCCAAATAGTGCTTCAGGATCTGAACAATCCAACATCGTAAGCCCATTCGACTGAATATGCACGACAATGGGCCATACATGGCCATAGAGTCATGCAAAGAGTTTCCGGTGATAGGCTCAAAGGCCTATCTGCGTCACCACCGAGTTGGTAAAGTTTAAAATCATGCCGCAGCCGCAGTATGCAAGTGATATCAGCGAGGCCTTTCTACAACCCGGATTCCTCATTGTGTGCGGTATTGGCTGCTTCTCTTACAGGGTTGGTAGCACAATACAGCCAGATTGCAATCGGAACAGATGGCAAATCGTTGTTACTTTCCCTCGATTAGCGTGTAGTGCAGTAATATAGATCAAGGAATGCTCATAGAAGAATTACAGTCCTGCTTAGGACCAGAATATAAACCCAGAGGCAGTCTTCCCACCCCTCTGAATCGGGTTACAAGTGCATGAATAGCCACCGAACAAACGCCCATGGACCACTATTAGACCCGCAGCGGATTCAGATACTGGAGCACCTTTGCTACTAACCAAGCCGCATCTTTTTGTCACTGTCTCCAAGCTGAGCGTGGGTCTTTACTATTCATGTTAGCTCCTGTACGTAAATTCCGGTGCCGATGAAATATGTCTGAGAGTGGCCATCAGGAATGGATTCTGACTAGTGATAGCCTGTGATTTACAACTAGCCAACATCTATAAACTTTTGGTTGAGTCAAGCGATGAAACAAGTCGATGTGAAAGCCACGATTCGCAGTGCAAAGAGCCAGCTTGGCGGTGACATGTAAGCACGAGGTATTCATTATCGGACGCCGAAGCGGAATAAGGCAAACGGACTCGAGCAACTATTGTCAACATAACAACAGCCTTGATAAAAATCAACCACTCTCCCAAGTACTCCGCGTTCAACGGTCCTGTGTCTTTCTTGCTGCAGTTTCTCAATTGTATCTTTCAACTGTATCTTCTAACTATATCTTGGTAACTCAATATTTTTTAACCATATCTTGCATCAGTCTCAGTTGATGCTGTCGTTCCTGCTTCTAGCACAAACCTAACTTTGAATTAGTCGATAAGCTTTCGGTCAAATCCACAAACTTCACGTGCATAGCTGCTCCTTTGTCGCACTGAGCTATGAGAACAAGATCTATGATTCAGGACCGGACTCACCGATCCCCTCCACCAAGCTTTCACGCAACTCATCCACGTACTGACATTTCCACTGTACCGCCGCAATTAACGTCATTAGTAGATGTTCATCCGCGAGTCAGGCCCCCGAGTATTAATTCACGACTCTATGAGTATTTCGGTCACGAAATAGCCCTACCCATGACCCAATGGTTTTGTGTCCCTCACGCGGAGTCAATACAGGTGCAATGTCGCTTCAACTGAAATGCATGACTGATTCAGCCAGTCTCGTTGTCGATAGACACATATTTCTTGATTTCAGAGGCAGCGAAGGACAATTGATGCTCAACTATCTAGGAATTGGACAGATTCACCTCACCTCGTCAATCTCAGAATCTGACTGACATTCAGTTCGAGCTCATCAGTGTTGCGACGAATGATTGCAACAAATGCGACTAAAAGACCCCGAGCAAGAGAGCTACGTACATAAGAAAGGCGTTGAGATATTCAACGCCTTCCTTGAGGTCGGCTTTAACAGCTGTGGTGTAAAGAGATTACATGTTCAGATTTTCGGAACCTTCATGATCACCGATATGATCCACTCGAACGACTGACACCGCCAAATGACCGGCCTCAACGATCTTATGGAGAATCACCCCACTGTATAATGTGGCATCAAGGTGTGCCAGTTTCGATGTGGAGTGTGAGGCCATACTGCCCTGTCTAGCCGCACTTATTCGATGCGTGCGATGAGACTGACTCTTCGACGAGATTCGAGTCGTGCTGTTAGGCCCCGCTGAACACGCTCGTGTTCGGCACTGAATACTAAAGAAACCTTAACTTTGAGGTATATAGAGAGACGGAGCGAATATGCTTTTCTCCATGCGTCAGCTCTTGCTGTATCCGTACAAGAAGAAGTAGCAACCGACACTCCAGTGTGCCTGAGAAACACGAGCATCGCCTTCACTAGTCAGGTCCGGTTAAAGAGAAATCCATATCGACGTGCATGCACTCTATGGAGCGGCAATAGTTGTGCAGATGGGATTTCCAAAAGAAGCCGCAAACGTACTCGTTCAGCATAATTTTCAACATCCTCACGTCCGCTCTGGGATGGCTACCGAACCTCTGATATTTACAGGCAATATTTAAATGGCCGATTGATCCTACTCAGACGTCACTTAGCGTCGGAGGACGTGTGACATATTCATATAGGCACTTGTTTGATAGTCAGGAAGAAGCGATGTATCGTTGTCACGGTGGATGACTGATCCCGAAGAGCCGTGGTTGCAGTAAAGCACGACTCAGGGATAGCGGCGGCGATGGCGGCGGCGATGAATTTGACATTTGACACATGAGGCAAGCAGCTAGACAAGTGCATCAGCCTCTACTTCCGGCATGCCTATATTTCGGCTCCGGTGTCTCCCACGTGAGCAACCCAGCGTGGGTATGCTTCAAAACAGTCTGGATCTGTCAAACTCAGAACGGTTGGAATTAGCCAGTCACCCCTGGGCTTAAGAAACCTTGTCCTCCGAGCGGACCTGCTGGTCTCCGAAGTCACGGTTGGGCCCGAGTGTGGCCCAGCCACGAGCTTCTCTCGCTGAGGAAGGGCTGGCTCCCCTGTAAGTCTCACCGTGCTTGTCAAGAAAAGCGAAGTCAGGCGGTGTAACACCAAGCGGAGGGGAGGCCCGAAAGGGGCCAGACGCCGCCTGGCAGTCGATTGACGGAGGTTACTCTAGATAAAGTGCAGCGCAGTGCCGACGTCAGATCTCTCGCCTAGCACTGACAACCGCTCGAGGGGCCGTCGCGCATGTTCCCGCCCAGGTGAAAGTGTGACAAGGCGGAGGATATATGGCGGGTAGGTCTCACTTTGTGTCTTGTTATACGACGGAGTATCCGGCCGAAAGCATTGGCAGGCTTCCGAATTAAGATCCACCTTCCCCAGATTTCGACCAAGATTGACGACCGATGAAGGGAAGAACGGGCCGCTTGGTGAATGTGTCAACCAGTTTTGATGACCGTGAGGCTTCCGGCTAGGTCAATAATTATTGAGGGCTCGAGTACCTTGGGTAGGATTTGAGCTGAGTCTGACGCTGCAGCGCGCGCGACGTGCCGCATTTTTAATCTCGAGACCCAAACTTTGGGGTGTTGGTTAAGAAAATGAATCTCGTTTTCCTTGAAAATGCAGCTGGTTTGCTGGTGCCATACTCCAATTAGAGCGGTGGCTTGCAGCCAGGCTTTATCCTTGAGACAAATGGTCTCTGCAGCTAATTTAGATATATCGCAAGGCTTTTCAGGTCCACTGACAGTGATTAATAAAGTGGAATTATGTAGTACCATACTTCACAGGTGATAGCTTCAATCTGGTGTCCGTGGTTGCGAAGTTTGGCTCTGGGAATTGGCCAGTTTGATCTATATTGTCACACCAAGGCTCAGCCACGTGTCAAGCACGGCAGAAGGGATGTCAGTGCCGTAGCGACTGCCGAAAAGGTCACGTCGGAGCAGCTGGAAGCCTGTCAGTCTGAAAACACAACTTCCATGTTAGTGGTTTTTCAGGCGTCCAGTCGGCCAGCAAGAGAAGGCTTCATGTGTGAACAGGCCGCATTGGGACGTGATGCGGATGCAGAACAATCTAGGGGCCATGTACGGCTTCGTCAGGGTCCTTCTGTGGCAGCAGGCCTTGCATGGAGCACGTCGATCATAGAGTGGTGTTCCACGGTTCAGGGTTGCTCCGTCGCAGTTTCGGCCCGGCGCCCGGGAATGTGCAGCCCTGCGACCAATGTGGGTGGCATCCGCCTGCAACCCCAACGTCCAAGCGACTGGCATCGATGCTCAAGTCCGAGGGGTCTCATGACGCGATTTGCTCCCTTGGGTATGTGGCAACCGCCTGCTACGACATGACGAGGAAAGATCATTCATGTCCACTGCACAGAGAGTTGTGCTGGTGACAGCATAAAGCAGTCCACAGCAAAGGCTCGGTGGTACCCAGAGCTGACGGTCTCCGAGTAGTGAGCTACCGCCGTAACATCGTGGTAATCTACGATCGCTGTCCAAATGTGTGCAGCCCTCGTGGCCTGCCGTGCCCCGCAATCCATTTTATATTGTCCGGAGCTTTTTGGCCTCGATCACTGGCGCCCGATCTGGGGGAATATCTGCAATCTCCAAGCCGTGAATAGTGATGGTGTGCACGCACTCGTAGTGAAGGGGTCCGAAACAAGAGCATACGTAACATTGAGGGTGGCGGGCCACCGGACGTAAGGTACTGCTAGCCAGGACAATGGCGCTCCTGCATTTCACAAGAAGCTACTGCATCGTAGAGAGCTCAGCATCCGCACTAGTCTGTTGTTCTCAGGAAGTCACTCGCCCGGATCCACGGGAAGCATGCAGATCAGCCACACCTCGCCAGGGTCTCCTCGGTTGGCATCACAGGTGAAGACAGCCTGGTTTTGTGGACGAAGAAGGCCTCGATGTCATAGATGTATAGTTTGACTGTGGAAGACACTTGATAGTGTTTTGGATTTATGGAAATAGCAGTGAAGCCGTTGGGTTGATGTCGCACACAACCTGGAGTGTCACCAGCATGGATGAATGCCGAAGGCTTAACTTCCGGTGTCTTGCAGTGCCACTGTAGATCAGACAGAGGGAGCATACGGACTGGTTCTTCTCCCTTGTCTTGGCTCAGGCTGTCACCAGCACAGTTGAGCCCGAAAGCGAGCCCGAGATTCCAGATTGGCAGGCAGGACGTCGTAGTCAGTTCGCAATTATGCAAGCCCGGTACTCTTACATGGTCTGCTGGTTGTTTATTTTGATATCCATACGGCCACATTCCCGATGTGATCACATGTGGTTGCAGAAGGAACTCGCCTCACGCAAAACCAGACTGGAATCTATCACCTGGCCGGAATCCGCCATGGATATGCAGAGCGCTGTCGGCTCAAGAGCAGGGGAGCTAGGCTGTCAGGAACGCGAATGTGCCTGAGGCTCAAGGCTGCATTGAATGTTACTAGTCCACCAAGGTCGCGCTCAACATTCGTTCGAAATATAACGCTGTCGATGCCGCCACTACAGCGTCGAAAATTGTCTGATCCCGGTCTTGTCAGGCCTAAACAGCCTTGTTCTGCTCTGACAGCTTTTCGTCTGATGTGGAAGATCTCGGACGCCATGGGCGTCGGATCGAAGATCAGTGACGGACGCAGATCTGGATATCTGCGACTCTGGCGCATCCTACATCTTGCGCTGCTGTATCAGGGTTGCCCATGTTTCGCAAAGTCCTGAGGCTCTCCCGCTTTTGCCAGGCCTAGGGCGCGAATGGACAGCATACAGACGTATACAAACTACTGAGGCGCACTGGTGAGGGCTGTAAAGTGGGCCAAAGACCGGATCGATCTGGTGAGGCCGTCCGGATATTTAGGCTAGCTAGCGGCAGTTCCAGCCCTAACTTAGTCCATCGAACGGCCGTTAATGGGCTCGCGAGGAATGCTCGAGAAAGGCATGGCCAATTCTGCGGGAACGTCACTAGACAAAGTCAGTGCTCCACCAAGACCAAAGAATGCGGCGATTAGGGCACGTCTTCTTGTCATCATCACCAGCCGGCGTCAGCACCGCGAGGACAAGGATGCACACTCAAAGATGGGTATTCTAGAAGACGGCATGTGGCCTAGTTCTGAAACCATAATGCGGCTGAGAGCAGACTCAATAGATGTGGTGATGCCTGGCATAGGAAGCCGTTCATGTCACCGGCCGCTTCACTATGCTGTAGCGACTGAACCAGGCGTGATACCTCTTCCCTGTTGCCTTGTGGAGCGTTCTGGTCGAGTTTGATATGCTGGGTTGTCTCCTTGGAAATTGTACTGGGGGTGCTCAACACACGCAAAGGATTCGAAGATTGCTGGTCTGAGCTTCCCCCAAGTCATGTCGTTCAACCGTCATCCCTAGACCAGGTCGGGCCTCAAAAGAATCGACGACCCAGTTGACTGGGCAAGGGCAGGGGCGCGCATCGCCGACGTCAATTGAGTACGTGTCTTGGGAGGGTAGACGTGACGAGACAGGCGCCTCTCGCCAGGCGGCCGCGCGCAGACGGACAGACGGACAGACGGGAAGTTATCAGACTATGCCTGAGATTGACTGGGCGGCTGTCTAGTGAAGAAAGACTGGCAGAGGTGGTATGCCAGGAGTTTGGTTCAGCCAAGACACCGGCAAGGATCGGTTTATGCAAGGTTTTTCGTCAACGAAGAGGTCGGGCAGGGTGGTACCGAGGCCAGGAGAGCGTCAATAGTGAGCTGCTCTGCGGAGTCAGATTTGGAGAGGAGGGGACTGAGTAGGCTGGTAGGGCGAGGAGGAGGATGAGGATGAGGAGAAGATCGAGCCAGGCTGGGCCTTGCACGGGACAAGGCGCGCGCATGGTGCCTGGGTACGTGTGGCACTTCGGTACATGGGTACCTGGGTACATGGGTACCTTGTTGCTCGCATGCAATACCCCGCCGGAGCGGTCCAGCTAGCCAGGCCAGCCCGGGCAAGAGGAGATGGGTGTGGTCACTCGGCCCTACTTTGTGGGGGAGCCCCAGGTAGCATCGTGGCCTTCCCTCCTCTTTCTGCAATAGTGCTGCACACCGCGCCGTGCTCAGCCCTCTCTCTCTGCTCCCTCACGACAGCGCCAAGCGACCTTCGTAGGAGCAGCCGAACAGCATCAGCGCATTGCCTGTGTCTGCCATCACATCATGGCTGTTTGACTCGACAATGCGGGCCGAGCACTTTCCATGAGGCATGAGTGATGAAGGATGATGGACCGACAAGTCCCGTTCATCCCAAACTTAAGGTTCTCATGCAATCCCCCGTCAACCTTGCAGCCGTTGGCGAACAGACTGGACCTCGACAAGGCCGCGTCTGGGGCCAAGGCCACCGTCAAGTCCACCGTCTGAAGACGACTGGCTGGCTACTGAGCATCGACATGACCTGCTCAACAGAGCATGGCGATGCGGCTGGTACACTCCAAGTATCCTACTTGTGTCGCAGCACGCAGCGCAACGTACGGACAGGTACACCCAATTGGTGCTGTTTGCCGCCTCTCACCACAGGACTCGAGCACCTGCAGTACCCGCTCCACTCCGGAGTCGACATGCGCCGAACTTTGGTCTCCATTGGTGCGTGTTGCTTGGTGCTTGACAGTCGGCCACCCCCCAGCCATCTCCAGATCCGCCCAACCCCAGCTTCCAACGGTGTCAGGGTTCATCGCCTAGTCCTGGCCCGCCTCAAGCAGCTTGTGGCCAGCACAGGGCACAGCACCAACTCAACACAGAGTGGCAGGCCAGCAGGATGGCGCAGTTCAGGCCAGTTCAGGGCAGATCATGACGGGACAGGCGAGACCTGCGGTGTTTCCATCATGCAGCAGGACCTGCACACATGGGAGGCTCGCTTGACCGGCGCATACTGTAGGCAGGTCGGCCCTGCACTGCACAGTAGGCGTAGCCCATCTCGTGAGCAGCAACTTCTGCCCCCTCCTCCAGGCCTATGCCCATACAAGGAAAGTCGTAAGGAGATCAGCCCAGGTAGTCCCGGGCTTGATCTACCCCAGGTACCCGTCTGTTCCCAGTCGTACCCCCTGCTGGACTTTTGCTTCGCTTCTGGCCCGAGGCCAGTCTCAATGCCTGCTTCTAGTCCTTCTTCGTCGGTACTATCGTCCCATCCAGCTTAGATCGCTGGCTTCCCCATGGCCGCGAACCATACTCTGCGCACGTTGCGGGCCACTCATAATTCCTCTCACACGCCTCTGACATAGCTTATTTACCTGCCCTGCTTCTTCACATCACCACTTTTTGATATGCCAGCTCCGCGTGCCTTACCAACACCCCGTTGCCGCAACGCCAATCTTTCCTGGTCTTAAACGCATGACTTCCCTTCCGTCTTCCCGCATACTATAGATTGCCTCGTCAATATCCTGACGAATCCGACACCGGTCAGGCCAGCCAGGGAATCACCAGTGCGGAACACTCATGCTCATGCGCAGACGGCTCCTCTTGACCCTTTGAGAGCTGTAAAGGCGCGTGTACGCGAGGAGCTCAAAGTCTCTTGCCGCAGATATCGTCCTACGGTGCCCGAACCAAGTTTGACTCGGCGCTTTTCGAGGTCCAGTGTTTCCAGCTCTCAGCCCTCAAACCGCATCGCTAGAGCTCTGTTCACGGCTCTCTGAGAGTATTCTGGCGCCATTTATCTCTGACTTGTGGACCACAACTTTCAGGATTGTGGGACTCGAGGAGCATCAAGGGTGGAATTATAGGAATTCCTTTTGGGCATGTATCGTGTGGAAAGCAGCGACCAAGATTCCGAGTTTGTGTCACCGACACCTGATGCCACCTCGCCCAAAGTCTGGTACACCAAGGTGCTCTTCGGCTTCCACGTCGAAACTTTCGGTATGTATAGAATCGCCTCTTATAGCACTCCATCTTCTCTCTAGATCCAGAAGCCTGTTCCACCTCACCCCTGTCATCTGGACCGCGGCCCTTACCTCCCCTTGACATTCCGGCTCTCTCCATCCGGAATTAGTGGCTGCTTGCTTCGCTCTTAAGTCTCTGGACATCATCTTCGGCAGTGCTGGTACCACTGTGAGCCCAGTCACACTCTTCCCGCACCAGCATCTAGCCTCAGACAAGTAGACTGTACGCTCCGTTCAGTCGATGAGACTTGCATATGTGCTGCTGACACGCCTCCTTCGACAGTGTAACGCCTCTTCGTATTGATATACAGGACACTACTATCTTGGTCTCACTAACAAATGGTCTTTTCCACCCGCTGACTTCCCAGACGCGGCCTTCTTACCAACAACTCACTGTCTTGGAGTCGCGAGGTCTTAACCTAAGGCCTCGCAGATGGTCCGACCTCTCACTGTGGACATCTTCTCGACTTTCCCATCCTGATATCCCTTCTCACGCCAGTGTCGGCACGAATAGCGTTCAAAATAATTCGAAATGTTGTCCAACCCTCTTCACCGATTCTCGCCATACCACTCTCTACCTTCTTCGACTCTTTTGTCGAACGGCCATGTTCCTCAGGGCCACATGCACCCATCTGGGCTCGACGGATTGTCTCAAGGATCTCATTACGCCCTCCAACATCTCCAGCAACACGTAGGGGCTCATAGCCAACATCTGGTCCGCGCTGGTCCTCAGGGAAAACATAGGCAGCACCCCTATGGATCTGGAGGAAGGTCAGCGAGCGCGAGCGGTCCAATACGGCGAAGAATCTCTCGTGCCTGCGATCAGTGCAACCAACTTCGTACCAAGTGTGACGGTCAACATCCTTGTGCCCACTGCATAGGTAAGCTCAAAAAAGATTACCCTGTCTGTGACAACACGGCCAGCGCAAGATGGGTTAACATGTGCAGAATTCGGACTTGGCTGTGAATATCAGAGGGAAAGGAAGAAAAGAGGCAAGGCTTCCCGGAAAGACCTCGCCCAGCAAGCTGCTGCCCAAGCAGCTTCGCATGGTGGTCGTAAGTCCCCGTCGTCAGGGGCAGAGAACAACCAAGCCGACGAGCACACGGGATCAAAGCCAGAGGATGCCCTGGCGAACAATGTCAATAACGGGAGCGATGGGGATGACGAAGAGGGCTCTCGAAGAGAAGAAAGGCTGGGAAGTTTGGACAGCGAGCCGGACCTGGGAGGGCAATCATCCCACATCGCTGGCCATCCTGGGGCTATGGAGCGCGATCATCTTGAAAACCAAGGTGCATTCGACCCGAGCAGCTATGCCAATATTCACAACCCGTACGACCGACAGGCGATGAACGTCCACATGATGAATACGGCAGCTCATCCTGCCTATGGTGCCAATCAGAGCAATATTTCGGCCTACCCAAACATACCCTACGGCCTGCAAACACAAAATCCGACGGGGTACGCGCCCAATGCGGCGACCTTTCGGATGACGACTAGCCCTCTCAGTGCATATCCTATAGCTGGTGACGGCCCATCACCCGGATGGATGAACATGTCATCTCCGCCTCAACAATACCAGAACCATGTCCCTCCACCCAGCTACCACGGCTCCCAGCTTCGATACCCCGTCTTGGAGCCTCTGATCCCTCACCTAGAAACCATCATACCCCTGCCACTTGCATGCGACCTGATCGACCTGTACTTCTCGAGCTCGTCCTCCGCACAGATGCATCCGCACTCGCCGTACGTCTTAGGCTTCGTCTTTCGAAAGCGATCGTTCTTGCATCCGTCAAAGCCTCGCAGATGTCAGCCGGCACTGCTGTCAAGCATGCTCTGGGTCGCCGCACAAACGAGCGACGCTCCCTTCCTGACCAGTGTCCCCTCTGCTCGCGGGCGAATCTGCCAAAGACTTTTGGAGCTGACCGTCAGTCTGCTGAAGCCGCTGATTCACACGCCATCGGGAGATTCATCGCCAGTTGCTAGCCCGGCTGCTATTGACGGTGCTGCTCTGGGAGGCTTGGGTGTTGCGTTGCCTGGTACAATCAGCATGGAGGCCTTGACTAGTGAGACTGGCCCATTCGGTGCAGCAGGGACTCTGGATGATGTGGTGACCTACATACACTTGGCAACAGTTGTCTCTGCTAGCGAGTACAAGGGAGCCAGTCTTCGGTGGTGGAATGCCGCGTGGTCGCTTGCACGTGAACTGAGGCTAGGTCGCGAACTTCCACAGTCAATGAGTGCACCCGAGAACGAGAACGAAGGAGCAGAAGACCAGTCGGAAGTGTCGGGTCTGATCACGGAGGAGGAGCGAGAGGAAAGGCGGCGCATCTGGTGGCTTGTCTATATCGTGGACCGCCACCTTGCCCTCTGCTATAACCGACCTCTCTTCTTGCTCGATATCGAATGTGATGGGCTCCTGCAGCCCATGGACGACACCGCGTTTCAAAACGGAGAATTCCAGCCCCAGCCCTCGCCACTCACAGATCCTAGTGTGCTTGCCTCGGGCTCATCCGCGTCGCAATCACAGGCAAGGGCCCGTGGTCCTTCGTTCGAATGTAACGGACACAGCATATATGGCTACTTCCTCCCCCTGATGGCCATCTTGGGCGAGATTGTCGACCTCAATCATGCGCGCAATCACCCTCGTTTTGGGGTCGGGTTCAGGTCGGCTCGCGAATGGGACGGGCAAGCGCTTGAGATCGAACGGCATCTGCAGGTCTACGAGCAGAGTCTGAAGAAATTCGCCCAGCGGAGTCTGGGTACGCACAGCACGAGCACGTCGGACGACCCAGATGAGAACCACAACGAGAGTCTCGGTCCTGTGGATGCCGGCACACCTTCGGTGCACTCTGTGCACAGTGTCCTGACGAGCGCCAGCAGGATGACGGAGTCAGAGATCCAGACGCGGATCGTTATGGCTTACGGGACACATGTCATGCACGTGCTACACATCCTACTCACAGGGAAGTGGGACCCGATTAACCTGCTCGATGACAATGACCTCTGGATCAGCTCACAAGGGTTCATAACCGCCACGGGACGCGCCGTCTCTGCGGCCGAGGCCATCAGCCACATACTCGAATACGACCCGGGGCTGGAGTTTATGCCCTTCTTCTTCGGCATTTATCTCTTACAGGGCTCGTTCCTGCTGCTGTTGATAGCCGACAAGCTACAGAGCGAGGCGTCGCCGAGCGTTGTTAGGGCCTGTGAGACAATCGTTCGGGCGCACGAGGCTTCAGTAGTGACACTCAATACCGAGTATCAGGTGAGTACCATCAGCATTGTTTGACCCAACACCTACATAAACAAAGGGCCCTATGCTGACGTTCTGTGTGTCTAGCGGAATTTTAGCAGAGTCATGCGCAGTGCCCTGGCGCAGGTCCGCGGCCGCGTACCAGAGGATCTTGCGGAACAGCACCACCGTCGACGCGAGCTCCTATCACTATACCGTTGGACCGGTGACGGAACAGGCCTAGCTTTATAATTATTCTCAGTCTTTTTCGCTTGTCAACAGCAGACTGACGACGGCATTGTCTTTGAGCAGTGTCGTTTAAAAACAAAACGGTTACTTAGGTCGCAAAAAGTCAGGTTGGGCGGCAAGGCGGCAGCGGCGTTCTCTCCCTTTTTGTTTTTATTCTTCTTTCTTCTTCGACAAGAAACATTGATGATTGATTACCTGGAAAGTAGCTGGTAACGGGCATTGGTTGGAGCTAATGATTTATGGTACACACGAACGGGATTTTGAGAAGGCAGTGTGCGGTGGAGCTCGTCTCAGCTGCTGATGATACCATGGCGTGTAAAATTACTTGCAGTACCGGCGCTGTGCATATTGTGCCTGGAGAGACCTTGTAAATTTGGTAGATAGTCTACTGCTTTCATGACGTTCTTTTCCCCCTCAAATACCCCTTTCTTGTCCGAAATATATCACTTATATGCCTGGTAGCGTCGTGACAGACAGACAGACAGACAGACAAGCCCTTCTCGAGTGGCCTCGAGCTCAGCAAAGAGGGCTGTCGAATACACTATCAACCATGTCGGTCGGCCACCAATCGGGCCCCCACGTCTGGCTTCTCCTCGGCCATCGGTCCGTTGCCAACCATGGCTAGGATGAGCATCAGCTGGCGACCTATAAGCGGTCAGAGGCGGGTGGTGGGCCGCCCCAGATCGTCGGGGCTACACCAGACCAATCAGTGGGCTGACTGGGCGACTTGCTGTAAGCTGAGCTCGCACTGCAAAGGCGGGGTTGCGTCCATCACATCTACAATAGCAGCTCCTGCTGTAGCTGTACTTCGACTCTCTCGACTCCAAGCTTAAACGTCCCCACCCCCACGGCCGAATCGTGCGCGGCCCAGCTCCTGACAGCTTGTGCTACCGACCAACTAGACTACCGCGGTACAGAGCTGCCCAATTCTCTGTCAAGGCAGAATAGTGCCTTGTACTATTCGAGAAGTGGCCAAGCGAAGACGGGTTGACATTTGTGCGGCTTTATCTTAGCCATGTGCGGGCGAACAGGACCAGGATCAGGATCAGCAACAAAAATCCCCTGCCCTCGCCGGAAAGCCGCAAGCATCAATGTCGGAGATCAGCCCATGGCGTAATGATGCCAGTACATGTACGGTAGCAATTGTCAGCATTCTGGAACTCCATTACTACCGAGGTAATGGAGTCTAGACTCGAGTAGACGATGCAGTAGGAGTTTCTTCTCCTGCAGCCCAGCCCACAGGCGAATGTCTTATCTTTCTCCCCCTTCGCCTCTTTGCCCAGATTGCCCAGACAGCCATCGCCAGCCTCAACTGTGCTTGCCCTTGCCGTTTGCCCCCCGAGTCAAGAATCAAGAACCAAGATCTGCCTTGCGGGCATACATGCACCATCACAGGACCCTAGCACAACATCTCCTTGGCAACACCATCTCCGTGATCCTGCCCTGGGTTTGTGCCTCCCACCCGCCCACCTGCCCGGCTTGGAACTCGACTGCTTCTCAGTGAAAAGCTTTTAGTTGCCCAGGAGCTAGTACCAAACGGCTGACGCCGACCGCAGCCAACTCTCGAATCTCATCGTCTTAGGCGTGATAATCCCCCTCCGAGGCTTGACAGCAAATGCACTTCAGAACCGAGTTCTTCAGTCTTCTTCTCAAATCTCTCCATCTTCTTTGAGCCCGTACCGCCCCAGTTTCTGTTGCTCTTGACGCACGTCGAGAAGATATCAAGTCCCTGATCTCATGACCCGAAACGAAACAAGACAGTAACAATAAAAATATGGCATCGTCAACGGGGGTCGACGTTGCCCGTCCAGCTTACTACCCGGCCGACGACGAGAAGGCCGAGGTGGGGAGGGCCCAATCTGACTCTATCAGGTCCACGGGCCACGGCGACCAAACTGCTCGGAAGCTCAAGTCTCGTCATAGTAAGCCGCTCCCGGAGATCGATTCCCCCACTCCCAATGGCAGGACGATGCTGTGATTGTAGGCTATCCTACGGGCCGTCTCAAAGGCCTCGCCCGGCTACAGCTCATGAGATAAGCTATGGGAGAAATGGGTTTCATTCTATCTCTCTCTGTGTTGACGGATTATGTTATTCTGCTCCAAAGCTGACTGTTCACACTGTAGTCCAGCTCATTGGTATTGGAGGTACCATTGGTACGGCACTTTATGTCCAGATCGGCAGGGGATTGTTAAATGGTGGGCCAGCGTCGTTATTCCTGGCTTTTACGATATGGTAAATACCAGCCCAAGGATAGATGGATCTTGCCGGCAGCTGACCACGGCGCCAGGTGCTCGTTCATTCTATGTGTCACAATGTGTATGGCTGAGATGGTATGTCAAGTCACCCCTTCCGAGACCCGGAGGCCACCTACTGATTGTGTCACAGGTGACATACCTTCCGATCTCCAGCCCGTTCATCCGCTTTGCTGGTCGTTACGTCGATGAAGCATTTGGCTTTGCTGCTGGGTGGAACTTCTTTGTGTTCGAAGCCGCTCTGGTGCCTTTTGAAATCACGGCGTGTAATGTGATCATCCACTACTGGAGTAGGTATCCATCCACCTTTAGCGTGCCATGATGGGAGCCTGTCAGTTGACACAAACGCGCCTAGGTGATGTCGTACCTGCTGGCGGAATAATAGCAATCGTCATCGTTCTGTATGGGTGAGTAAAACAACGCAAACGCTATTGTCCAACCACACAGCAACCTTCTGACCCATGCCCCTAGGCTCATCAACCTGCTGGCCGTGCAGTGGTATGGCGAGAGCGAATTCTGGGCCGCGCTGGGAAAAGTGATCTTGATCATCGCCCTGATTCTATTCACGTTCATCACAATGCTGGGCGGCAATCCGCTCGGTGAGAGGTTCGGCTTCAAGTACTGGCAGAATCCTGGCGCCTTTGCCGAGCTCTACCGCACGGGAGACCTGGGCAGGTTTCTTGGTTTCCTACAGTGCCTCATACAGGCCTCATTCACTGTAGCAGGGTAAGCACGACGCGAATTTCCGATGGACTATTTATTGCCAAGATGTCTATCTAACGACTTGCGCGCTGTAGACCAGACTATGTTTCCATGGCAGCAGGCGAAGCTGAGAACCCTAGGGTGGTCATGCCCCGGGCATTCAACGCCGTGTTCTACCGTCTAACTTGCTTCTTTGTCCTGGGCTCTTTGGCCGTGGGCATCCTTGTTCCATACACCGACGAAGAGCTTGCAACAGCGTTCAGCTCCGGCGCGCCGGGTGCTGCGGCTTCTCCTTATGTGGTGGCGATGAACAGGCTGAAGATCACCGTTCTTCCAGACAGTAAGTCGGGAAACCTTGCCATGCTTGTCTTCGCATGACACTCCTTCTGTGTTCTTTCTAACTTGACCTAGTCGTGAACGCCATGGTCCTCACGGCAGCATTCAGCGCTGGGAACAGCTATGTCTACTGCGCCTCGCGGTCTCTCTATGGCCTGGCCCTCGAGGGCAAGGCGCCAAAGATCTTCTTGAAGTGCACCCGAAAGGGCGTGCCGGTCTACTGTGTGGGACTGGTCCTACTCATCTCGTTGCTGTCCTTCCTTCAGGTCTCCAACAATGCTGCCGTCGTCCTCTCCTGGTTCGTCTCCCTCGTGACAGCGAGCCAGCTCATTAACTTCAGCGTCATGTGCTACACCTACATCAGATTCCTCAAGGCTCTGAAGGCGCAGGGCATGTCAAGGGATAGCCTTCCGTACAAGGGCCCACTGCCGCAGCCGTTTGCCGCATGGTATGGTCTTGTTGGCTGTTTCATCATGACATTTGTGGGAGGTTATACTGTGTTTTTGCCGGGTTCGTGGGACGTGCCGACTTTCCTATTCTCGTGAGCTTCCCCTCCCAACAATTTCACTTACCTCGAAGCTACCTTACCTAACCGAATCTGTAACCACAAGCTACACCATGATTGCGGTTTGCCCTCTGCTATTTATTGCTTGGAAGCTGTTGAAGCGGTCCAAGTTCTATAAGCCAGAAGAGGTCGACTTGGTCAAGAACCTGGACGAGATCGAGGAGTATGAGGCGAGTTTCGTAGCGCGGCCTGCAAAGTATGTTGGACCACCCACAATTCTGCATCGCTTCAATGCACTGACATACGATTTACAGGAACGCATTTGAGAGAGCGCTGGATTTTCTCTTCGGATAATTGACCAGGCATTCCAGCCCAAGAATGATTCCCAGGGACGTAATGAAGGCATTGCATTCAGATTAAGGTCTGCCAGCAGTTTGATACTGCAGCTCAAGTCTCTTCGATGGTCTTCACGGATCGGCGATTTGTGAGAATGTTTTGGGACACTGGCATACTTCTATTATTCAAATGTACTTAACGGGATAGAGCAAGAAACTGCAAAATTGGGCATGTCAACAACCTCTGTCATCCGCAGACTCGCAGCGACACTTGCTAGCATATAGCCCTCTACCCTCGTCAAGCCCTTGGTCTTCTCCAGCCAGTCAATGAGGCCTCGAAGTGCCATCCTAGCAGCCTCCCTGGGGTCCGCGTGGATGCCCAGAGCAGCGTAGGTCCCCTTCAGGTCGTCCTCGGCGACCTCGCCCGTCCGCGGCGGCGTAGTATAGTGCGGGCACGAGAGCTCCAGCCAGCCTTCCGCATCCTTCTTGATGACGCTCAGCTTGACACTTGCCTTCATCGGCGTCTCTATGGCCGTCCCGCAGACCTCCCCGTCGCCCTGGGCTGCGTGCCCATCCCCGCAGCTGAACAGAGCGCCAGGCACCTGCACAGGAAAGTAGACCGTAGACCCCACTCCCAGGTACCTGGTGTCAACGTTGCCCCCCGATAGCGCGTAGGGAGGAATGGTGCTGAATTCGCCCTGTTCGGCCGGCGCGATGCCCAAAACGCCCAGGAACGGCCGCACAGGGACGGAGATCCCAGGCTTAAATACAGCCCGGGGAGGACCGCTTGTGCCTGTGATCCCGGGGAGCAGCGACTTCCCGGCGATGTCCCAGATCTTGACGTGCTGCTCTGGGAACTCGTCGGCAAGCAGACCGAATCCTGAGAATATGGCAGTCCAGCCGTAGTCTGCTGTCGCTAAGGACTGGACCTCGACCTTGAGCACGTCGCCTGGCTCAGCGCCTTCGACGTAAATAGGCCCAAAGGCAGGGTCTACAAGGCTGAGGTCGAAGGTTGAGAGGCACGTGGCCTCGTTGTCAGGGCGTATCTGGTTGTTCCCGCCGTCTTTGAGATCAAATGTGATCTCGGCGCCGGAGGGTACTGTGAGGACTGGCGCGAGGGCGTTGCTCCATTTTAGGTGTGCCTTAGAAGGCGGGATATGGAAGGAGTGTGCCATGGCCCTGGGTTGTCATCTAGTCACAAGTCTCGTAAGGGGGCAAGTTTGTGGGCAGCCCTGGTGGCCTGTAGGGTCAAGGTCAGAGACGAGCATGAAGTCGTCTCCAGACGGGAACGGCATCCCCGCATATGCACAATGTATGCATCTTAATCTTGGTCAAATAACGTGACGTCGCGCTTGCGCATGTCTAATCTCTTGCATCACCTTGCTCGAACGAGATCGGACTAGATGTGCTGATTAGATAATGGTAATCCTGAGTGGTGGTTGCGGTGTTCGGGACCCGTGGACTTGGAGACGACATTGATGCTGGGTGACGGGTTCCATAAGTGCTACCCTTAGTTCCAAGCTTCTTTGCCAAGTAGGGGCGCTCTTACAGGGCACTTGCCAGCAGATGGCGCCCACCCAGAACGTGCCGAAAGCAGAGGCTCAGGGCCGACTTAGTCGGCGTCGTCTAAGCGCAGAATGCGATATTTCATATCTATGCCAGTCTAGGCAGTTCCACCAAACTCTTTTGATTAAGAGTCGCGATGAACAAACATGATGCAACTACTTCATAAACGGCACTCGAGAGAACCCGTGCCCGTGGCTCAGATGAGCTGAGACGTCCTTCTTCACTCAAATTTGCAAAACCTTGTGCGACATTGAGCTGACCGAAAACTTGACAAAAACTTGGTCGCGAGTTCATTGACTCAGCCAGCAGCCGAGAACAACCTGGGAAATACGCTGAAGGACTCAATTCAAGTCGACTCGCCTCAAGGTCATAATCACTATCAAAATGGCCTTCACAATGCACTCCCATTCGGGGCAATTCTGCCCCGGCCACGCCAAAGACCAGCTCGAGGATGTAATACAGCATGCTATTAGCATCGGCTACAAGACGATGGCCCTGACAGAGCACATGCCTCGCACCGGCCTGGAGGATCTGTACCCGGAAGAGCTTGACGATCCTGAGGGCTCACTAGCAGCCCTAATGCCCCGCCACGAGGCCTATCTGCTCGAGGCCCAACGCCTACGGGCAAAGTACGCCGACCAGATCCACATTCTCATCGGCTTCGAGGGCGAGTTCATACGGCCGGATGCATACGGCCCTCTGGTCCGCGAGCTTGCCTCCCACCCAGCCATCGACTACTTCATGGGCTCGTTGCACCACACCTGCGGCGTGGCCATCGACTTCGACAAAGACTACTACGGGAGGGCGAGGGACGCAGCCGGCGGGACCGAGGAGCTCCTATATGCGAGATACTACGACGAGCAGTACGCCATGCTGACGGCGCTGGAGCCGAGGGTCGTGGGCCATTTCGACCTGATCCGCCTGCTGAGCGAGGAGCCCGGGCGGGACTTGCGGACCGCGTGGGCTGAGAAGACGCCGGGGCCCGAGGGCGCCGTGTGGGACAGGGTGGTACGCAACCTCCGGGCGGTCAGGAGCTACGGCGGCTGGTTGGAGTGCAACAGCAGCGCATTGCGGAAGGGCCTGGCCGAGCCGTACCCCGCCAGGCCAATCGCCAAGGAGTGGCTGAAAATGGGAGGCAAATTCACCATGTCGGACGACAGCCACGGTATCGCACAGGTCGCCACAAATTACTTGCGAGCGCTGGACTACCTCGAGTCCCTGGGGGTGACCGAGGTGTGGACGCTGCAGAGGGAGGAGACTCACTCTGACGTCCAGGGTGGCAAGAAGGCAACGCTGGTGGAGAAGAGTGTCACCCTCACGGAATTCCGCGAATGCTTGCTGAGTAAGATGAACTAGAAAAATGGGAGGGCATTCGCAGCAGTGAACACTCTTCAGTCTACTGTGTTACGTCACAGGACGAAAGTTGCGTGCTTAGATTAGACGTCAGTCTTCAGAAGACGACCAGAAGAGGACTAGAAGAACTCCAGGCTGGGTCGCCGTCACTGCGAGTCTGGCCTTGCTCATGCCAGCCGCCGCAGTCGCCGACTAGAATAGACGAAGGAATAGATCAATGCAATGGACGAAATTCAAGCCACCTGCCTCATATAACATTAGCCCGTCTGACGGTACTGGCGCTCCAACGGTGAGCATTCAACGGTCACACCAATGGTTTAGCAATCACTGTACCTGGGTAGTTTAGTAAGCCGCACCGTGAACAGGCCCGCTACCGGAGGACGAGATAGTACGGGAGGCTTTCATGCAGCAACATCCGCGGCAGTCAAGGTAGCGACTTAACAGTTCCCCAGCCGCCAGCCGAGATGTGGGGGCAGACCGGAGCCACTACACCAGAACGGGAACACGAAGGGCGTCGGCTTGTCAACCGATGACAGCAATCGGGGCCGGCTTCCTGGCGGCCAGCCTGAGAAGAGAGTGAATATGGATCGAATCGGAGGCAGCGACGACGACGTCGGATTGTTTGCAAGGCTGATTGGACATGCAGACACGGTGGCAGGTCATTCACCACCCACAGGCTCTTGCTCATCCTCGACGACACAGCTGGAATAAAGAAGAACGTTGTCTTGTCAGCTACAACTTCTTGTCATCAGACTGCTCCTCAACCTGGACAACATCGAGCTCTCTGGATCAGAGGCTCGAGGAGAGAACCTCATCGCCAGAGAGGGCTGGGTCACCGGCCTTTTATATCCTGTCAGGGACATCTCTCACCTCAAATTGCCTTCCTATCTGGTACGGGGTCTTGTCCTCGATCGGCCTCGGAAGTACAGGCGTTACTTACATCCCTTCCTGCTTCTTCACAAGCCGAGCTTTACCCAAAGGGCGCTCCAATCAACACGACAAGTCTCCTGAGGCATTCCCAAACCGTCATTGTGAATGGTCAGCACTCATCTAAACATTTGTTTGACATCCACTTCTCTGCACCCGGATCCATCCCGCCCTGCAGTTCTGTCCCGGGAATTCCCTCCGATACGACGCCCTTCTTGTAGTTCACGCCCTGGCACAGTGACCAAGAATGCCTACCATTCCCGAAGACTCCGTTATGGAGGACTTTGTCCACTGGGACAAGGCTGAACCCGCTCTAGGCTTGGCGGATACGGCTCCCTCTTCTGGAAAAAACCTCGACTTCCAGCCTGTCCGGGAGAATCAAGACTTCGATCTTGCCCTGGCAAATATCGATGGTGATGATTTCTCTTTCTGGGCCCTGGAGCATTTCGAGACGAGTAATCTTGCTCCAGCAAGTGCCCAGACTGGACCACTCCCCATTGGGAAGGCGTCTAATGTTGCTGCACTCGACCTCTGCGAATGCCCAGACGATCCATGCGATAGTTGTGAGGCGTCAGGCTTCGCCTGCAAGAGGCTAGAGGAAGGCGAGTATAAGGGATATTGCACGACCTGTGTTGCTCTTAAAAATAACTGCAGCTTCGGTCTCGCACCCTCGGTCGCCACATCCACAGAGCCATTTCCATCGAACCAATGGCCTGTTTCGGGCCAACATGGCAGTGTCCTGCGCGAAGATGTCAACGCACTTCGAAGCTCGTCATCTCCAGACTTGGAAATACTCGTCAACGGTGCTGAGTCCCTGCAAGATAACAGCCCCAACCCTCCAGCTGTGCCCAAGATAGGTGCAAGATTCAGCAGAGAATCTGTACGGATTCTCAAGGCCTGGTTGTCCACCCACTCCACTCGGCCATACCCAACAGACGATGAGAGGGAGACTCTGCAACGACAGACTGGTCTCAACAAGACACAGATCGCAAACTGGCTCGCCAACGCCCGTCGGAGGAGCAAAGGCAAATTTCAGCCCACCAGATCAGCGTCTCCAAGTGTGCGTGGCTTCTCTGGTGCCATGGAGATCCCTCGGAGAAAAGCCACGCCTTCATCATCAGAACATATGAACCCTCTGCAAAGATGGCAGAATTCCCCTCCCGGTAATGACCAGACTCTCGTACCCTCGGCGATGATTACTTGCTTACTTTGTCCAGAAAATGAACCTGCATCTGTGACTGCTATCGCCTCAGCTATCCTCAACAACTCTAATTCTTCTGGTCTTGACAGCCCCAACAGTATGAGCTTGAACTACAACTTCACCGACGACGACGCCGACAGATCTTGCAAGGGATCATCTGCCAGCAGCTTTGGCACCTCACCTTCATCCGCTTCCTTGGTCTCTGGGTTCTCCCACCACTCACGGGGCTCATTTGGTTCATTCGGATCAATTCAACATAGAGGACGTCGGAGACGCAGAAGAAGAACTGCCCCGAAGCAAGGAGACGAGACAGTGGGCTTGAACACGCCGCTGAAGACTTTTCAGTGCACGTTCTGTACAGTATGTCACACCCCCACATTCTCTCATCAGCTGCCTCCGCCAACTTGATCCACTGTCACATCTGTTTTCTCCCCCCTCGCCTGGTCCTGAGGTGGACACGCAAGTCATCTATCAGGAGGCACTAACAGACATAGGAATCCTTTCGTACGAAGCATGATTGGCAGAGGCATGAGAAATCATTGCACTTGTCATTGGAGCGATGGGTATGCTGTCCGAAAGGCTCAAGAGTGCCTAATCCAGACTCGGGTCAGCTTTGCTGTGCGTTCTGTGGTGTATCGCAACCCGATAATGCACACTCAGAGAGCCACAATTTCACAGCGTGCCAGGAGCGCCAGCTGGATGAGCGGACATTCTATCGGAAAGATCACCTCCGCCAGCACCTGAAACTTGTCCATAATTCCAAGTATCTCAGCTGGTCAATGGATTCGTGGAAAGCCGCCACACCCGACATCAAGTCGAGGTGTGGATTCTGCGGTCTAAGCCTTGCAAGCTGGGGTCTTCGGGTGGACCACCTTGCTGAACATTTCAAAACAGGCTCTGACATGAAAGACTGGAAAGGCGACTGGGGCTTTGAGAATTCGGTCTTGTCAAATGTGGAAAATGCCATGCCGCCATGTACGATCATTCTCTGAACTCGGTTTTGCCGACCACGTAAAGCTGATTCGCTTTCTAGGGTTCATCCATCAAGAGAGACAAAGTCCTCTACCATTCCAGGCCAGCCAGCAGTCACCAGAGTCGCCCCGGAATGCGTACGAATTAATCAAGATTGAGTTGGCGTACTACCTCCGGAATACCCGAGACGCGATGGGCGCCGCCCCATCAGATGACGAGATGCAACATGAGGCGTGTCGCATCATCTATGCCGCAGAACCCCTCTCTCATGGGGGCCAGGTGTCCGAAGCCAGTTGGTTCCGAGATCTATTGCTGTCTTCCGATGAAATCAAGAACAGGGCTCAATTGAGTCGTTTACGCGGTCCCGCAGAAAATTGCTTGGGACGACTACAGATCAATGGGCAAGAACGTATCTTCGAAAATTGCCCAATGGAACATCAACTCAACGAATTCGTCAAGGCTCGAACACTACTTGGTCTGAATACCATGGACTACGAGCTGCAGGTGGAAGCTTGCAATATCGTTGGTCGAATGGAGGAAAAATCCATCATGCCGTCAGAGGATGTCGCGAACTTCGTGCTACGCCTGATATACAAAGACCCATCATGGATGTCTGGCTTTCGTCAGCGAGCTGGTCTGCCCACCCCTAACGAAGCCCTGGATCCCAAGGGCCAGTCCGCCGTCAACTCTACAATCCACAACTATTCGCAACTGGAGATAGAATTAGCAGAGTTCACGAGAAACCAACGTGCCCTGGGTAGTTCACCAACGGATGATGAGCTCCGAAGTCACGCGCGTTGCGTTGTATACAAGTGTAGTCAGTCCCAGAATGAGACCGCGGCCGACAATACAGCGTGGCTAGATGCTTTCAAACAACGGCATCTTCAGGCAGAAACCAGTCAGACATCGCCATCGAACAGCAATTCCCCGACACATACACTCGAACCACTCATGCCTGGTCCGAACACCACACGATCCAGTGCAGCAGGCCCTACCTTCTCTCCCTTTAGCGGATCAGGCACAAATAGCCCAGCAAACGCGCATTGCCCCGAGTCATCTTTGATGTACGGCATGAAGCGAAGCCAACTCTTCCCTAATGGGTCTGGCAATTACCGTCAACTTGTCCGCGAGCTCGCTCGCCACGTGGCTTCCTCCATGTCGCCGAATAACCCGAATCGGCACGTCCCGACTGATGAAGAAATCCGTCACCAGGCCCGATGGATTCTTTACGACGAGTGAGTTCCAGAACAATTTCAAGAGCTGTACGGATTGTGCGCTGACAGACGCTCCTCGCCCAGTGACGATCCTTTCAATGTTACACCCGCAGATAGTGCCGAATGGCTCATCCGTTTCAAGCGATCCACGGGTATTCTGCCTGCCACTGACGGGCCCGGCCTCCCCAATGACTTCATTGGATCCGGCCTACAAGCACGGCTGCAGGGCACTCACTCGGCCTCTGATTCACCGAAGTCTACGATGCTCGCGCATACGCCGTTCATCGGGCAAAATGCCTCAGAGAGCCATGGCTTCAATACCGACTTCAACGTGTTCAGCAGTCAAACGTACGGAAATCCGGGCCTATCGGGCCCAAGCAATCCGGGAGCCGTGTTCAGCAGCCAGGATTTCGAAGACAAGCTCGTCCAGTTTGCCGTCGCCGAAGTTGCGACTTCAGGTCGCATGCCAGCCGACGAGGCTCTCACAGCTCGGGCGAAGGAGATTCTAGGTTTCGAGGTTTGGCAGGCGGAGGCCACACCCGCGGACGACCCTGAACTCCTGGGAAGATTCAAGGTTCTGGTTGTTGACAAAGTGAGGACGGTCCTAGGGGACCCGGGCGACGGCAACCACAGCAACAAGCACAGTAGCCCGATTCAACATACAAGCACAATCTCCAGCCCATCCCCTACGAATCATCATTCAGAACGTGGAATGGACGCGATAGACCCTGGGCTTCTGCCGGACCTCCCGCCAGCTGGTGCTGACAGGAAGAAGAGCAGTGTTTCGCCGCTGCCGGGAGATGTGCAAGTTGCCATCTCTGAAGCGAGACTTGATGAGATCTTGAGAGATATTTGATGGTGGGAATAGTGGTCATGGCCATGGAAATGACTTTCGTGAGCGGAACAGCAATAGCGCCGGCGCTCTAGGCGTCTACGGTGTCGAATTTCGAAGAGGGCAAGCAGACCTGCCCTTGAATATAGCCATCTATATACACCTTCTCTTTCCAGGCTTCGGGATGAGTCCGATTCAAACAGGGCTTACAGTCCCCAAAGACACCGTCTAAAATTTGAAGCACGACGCTGGTCATCACTGTCATTAGTCTGGTATCGTCAGGCCGCTGCCGCTACTGGGCCGGAAGCTATGATTCTTCTTCCAGATGTCTTTGTTCCTGGGCCACCGTTCTCCCAAAAGAAGGGCTCTAACAGGAATATCGGCACTGAGCACACCGCCAGCAGATGGTAGCGTCTAGACAGCCCGTGCTATTGCGCAAGGGCACCACATTCCACTCGATTTTACAGCAATGTTAACGAGGCAAGGATATGCTACACCCAGGCTCATCAATTACGGCAAGCGGAATAGTTGCAAGTTGCGAGCGCGCGCGCGCTCGATGGAATCGGTAGAGAGCCAGAGCAGACCTGCAGCTCCTCGCATGTGTGACCAATCTCGGCCGGGCCATCTCCTGTCGTCAGCGGTCTTGGAGGGCAGGAGACGGCGGTCGAGGCATGCAGACGACAGATGCAAGACGTGCGATGCTGAACAGCCGAGCCGCCCTTGCTCAGGTTCCATCACCCGAGGCCCAGGGACAGAGAGGTGAGAGGCTGGCCGAGCTCGGCCACAGGCAGAATGTGTGCGTTCCATCGGGTGCCGCAAGCGTTGAGACGTTGAGACGCTGCGAGAGGTGATTTGGTCTTGATCGTGGCCCATGGTCGACTGATGGCGGGGGCTGCGCCTTTCCTAATACATAGCTACATAGCTGCCGAGCTCCACCACAAATCCACACCTACTACTGGCCATGCACCTGTGGACACACACAGACACACCACCGAGGCGTCCCTCTACCCCACAGCCTCTCCTCCATTCCCCGCACGGAAACCCTGCTGCGAGGTCACAGTGACCTGCAAAACGTTGGAAAAAGGCCTGTCATCACGCGAGCTGCGGTATTTCTCCCCCACATTATCCAGGTACCTACGAGTTCTCCACCACAGTCTACTGTAGTCCACAGCAGTAGCAAGGTGCGGGATGAACGAGGTCGGCCGGACACTTGTCCTGATCCTCGCCATGTTGCGGCACTACCAGCGAGCCCAAGCAGTCCGGCACTCCTTGGGTTCGCCAGCGAGAGCCAGTCGCCTGTTCCTGTTTGGCTCGCCTCTGCTCTCGTCCTTTTCTTCCTGGTCCTCGGGGCGTCAGAATCCTCCGCCCCAATATCACCCAAGTCCCGTCGTCAATGCGACGCCAGGACAAGGAGGGCACCCCTGGCTAAATGCAAAATACCAGAACTCCCATCTATCCGGGACGAGCCCTGTCGAACCCTGATCCCAGTCCCCGCTGGACGTTGTTGGGGGGCCACACCTAACGCTGCAGGCCATCGACTAGCAAGAAAGCTGGGCATACAAGGGGAAAGGACCGACAGGACGGCCTTGGCCCGCCTCGTTCAGATTGTTCTGTGTCTAATTACCGCCCACTGGAGCAATGTGGAGCGCGCATGACAGCGCTGTCGGCCCTGGGGTGAAGTATGGCGAGCTTCCTAGCCTGAGCGGCGTGCCTCGCAAGAATATAGGTGGTAAAAAGAATAAGAAAATCATGACCGGCAGACGATCGTCGGTCTTGAGCGGTCCGAAATCTACCGCCCCAGCAGCCTCCTACGTTGGTTTTGGACTTCTCATCCTTACTACCCTCATCCTTCTACTCCTCCTGCTCACCGACCTCGTTTCCAATCGTTTCCGCTGCTGCCGCGCCTGGATTCAGTTGATTCGCCCAGGACTTTTGCCGAATACAGTCTCGCAACCAGACATCATGTTCAAGGACCTCCTCAGTACCGCAGGGGTGACTGCCCTTGTGCTGCCCGGCCAGACGGCTGCTACCCTCCTATATGCTACTACATACCTTGATACCATCACCACGCTGAGCCTCAAGGGCTCTAGCCTCCAAGCCATCGCCTCAACACCTGGCTGCGGCGCTAATTCCTCGTGGCTTACGCCGGACTATGCCAACAACCGTATCTTCTGCTTGGATGAGGGCCTGACCTCGCCCAACGGGACATTGTCATCTTTCGGGCTCACCAGCAATGGGTCACTATCCCAGCTAGACATTGTCGACACCCTCAGCGGTCCCGTGTACGTACAAATTGAGTTTGCCGCTTGCGGGTCCTATCACACACACAACTTGCTAACTCACCTTATAGGTCTGGCGTTATATATGGCGAAAGCAGCAACGGTTTGGCACTTGCGCATTAGTACGTACAAAAACCCTTGCATGCAGGCTCTGGGACATCTGGCACAACACAGTTGACCTTGCGACCTGCATATACTGCATGCGGCCTCGGCTGCATACGGCAATGGCATGCTGTCCACCCAATCCTGGGGAAGCAAGGGATATGCAGATGCCCTTCCATCACCTGACACATCTTGTGAGACGGGGCCCCACGACTAACATGTGCCTCTCGCTAGCTCTGGGTCCTCAGTAGCCGCCTTCGATATCTCGGACGCGAGCACGCTCGCACCGGTCCAGGCCGAGACATACACCCTCAGCGGGCCCGGTCCTAACCCGGACCGGCAGGACGCTCCCCATCCTCATGAGGCGCTTCTGGATCCCACGGGACAGTACCTTCTCGTCCCTGACCTGGGCGCCGACCTCATTCGTCTGTACTCTGTTGACGAGGGTGAGCTGAGCTTCACCGAGCTGGAGCCCCTCGCCGTCGTCCCTGGCAGTGGGCCCCGCCACGGTGCCTTCCTCGTCACCGAGGACGGCACGACCTACTTCTACCTCGCCAGCGAGCTGGCCAACACCATCACCGGCTTCGAGGTCACATACAACGACGATGCCACCCTCGACTTCACTGAGGTCTACCTGAGCAGCACCCACGGTCTGAACGAGACCGTCCCGAACAACACAACCAGCGCGGCTGAGATCCTTGTATCGGTATGATAGCTTTACCCATGAGACCACCACCTACCTGTACTGTTCTGACTGGTGACAGCCTGATAACAAGTTCTTGCTCGTGTCATCACGGGGCGAGGGGACCCTCAAGATCCCCAACTTCGATCCGACCAACAGCACCGAGATCGCATCTGACCCCATCTTCACCTTCGAGATCGACCACTCCTCGGGGAAGCTGACCAGGGTCCAGCAGTTCCCAGCGGGCGGCAGCTTCCCGAGGCAGTTCTCCATCAACGCAGACGGAAGCCTCGTGGCGGTAGGGCTCCAGAACGACGGCCGCGTTGTCGTTATCGGGCGGGACGTCGAGACCGGGCTGCTGACGGACTTTGTCGCCGCGGCCGACGTGGGCGGCCAGCCCACCAGTGTCATCTTCGCTGCCGAGTAGCTCATCTCCATGATATCTTGAGTGGGTCGGCGGAGTTTGAGCTTATTAGGAATGTTCAAGTGTATATATTGCTACCTACCTATTCTGCCTACTTACCCCCACGCATACTCTAAGTGGCGTGCATGTAAATACCGGCAAGGATACATATAACCTACATTATGAGCTATGACAACGAGTGCTTTCCTCCAGCCGGTGACATTGGCCACACCCTCTGCTACAGTGGTGCCGGCCACTGTACGTGTAACCGGCCTGCTACAGCCCTGCAGGGTTAGTGACGCGACGTGCGCGATGTTGCGTTCGGATCCGGGATTTGGAGCCCAGCCGACCCCGGGACCCGGGCGAATGGCCACCCTCTCCCAAGAGAGGCCGTGCCAAGGCGTGCCCGTAACGTGATGACACTCTTCTCTTGCCAGCGAGATTAGCAGGGCCTGCCTCTTTGGGAAGGAGCCTGGACGGTCAGCAAAACTTGGTCCTGGAAATCAATACGAGGCCCTGTCATATCGATGGAAGAGTGAGAAAAAGAATTTTCGCGGCGCCTCATAGGGAAATCTGCGGTAGCGAGGCAAGAACAAGCACGTTGGTTCCCGCGACCTGCGTCCGGCATACCAGCCACTGGAGTTTCTCCTGTGGGATGGGCCAGAGTTCTTCGTGATGGTGGTACGCGAGATGAGTCGTCTATAGCACAGCAACTATACGTCTGGCCGTCGAGAGGCCAGCAGTGACGAGCCCCACAAGGACGAGAGCAGCTGTGTTGGTGGCCGGTTGGGCAGGCTGTTAAACTGGCGCCCCTCGGACCCAAGGCCAATGACGAGGACAGGTCCCAGGCCGAATCAGGGTCTCGGCTGTGTTGATTCTTGTTCGCAACCGGCCGGAAGGGAAAAGGAAGTCAACATGATGGGTCACGATGGTCCAGTTGGAAGCGTCCGGTTAAAGTCGAGTGGGATGGGGGATGCAAAGAGCCGCATGGGGCTGCCGTCGCGGTACCTGGTACATACATGGCCTCCTATGTACATGGCCCTGAACGGCCATTTCCGGTGTGGATAGGTACCGCGGAGGAAAGAAGCCATTGGGGCGAGTAGTGTCTCGGAGGATCTCTGGGACATACTGGGTAGACTAGAATCGAAAGGTAACCTGCCGTCTCACCTACCAGGGCCTCTCCGCTCCCACCCTCCGTCTCCACAGCAAAGCAGTAAGAGGGTGTCGAGGGATTTGGTCTGGCAACGGGCTGCTGGACGGTACCGTGTCCAGACGCTGAATGGTCGACGGGTTCGTCTGATGATCATCCGTTCTAATGACAGCCAGGGATGTCCCTGTCGCCGTCTCAGAAGCCGGATGGAAAGAAAGAGAGAGAGGCAGAGATGAAAAGCCGTCATGCGCGCCCATATGCAGGAATTGGAGAAAAGTCGCAGGTGGGCAGGGATGCCACGCGGTTGTCGGCCAGTCGCTTGTGATCCGGGACACTGATCTGCGTGGCCTGCGTCGAGGCGATCTGATATGGGATGAGATTGGCCTTATCCGGGAAAGACACGCGCTGGGGCTTACTGTTTGAGAGTTGGCAATGTACGTTGCGCTGCGTCTTGTTAGGCACCCGTGTGAGAATGTGTGGCTTCACAGACACAGCAGCGCCAACGAGGTCGATCTTATGACGTTTATTGTTCCCAAACTGGCGCTTTGCCCCCGTCTTCCTCGGAGGACATAATCGCATTGTGTTGCAAGGGGTAGCCAGCAAGCAGGAAACCCAAAATTCCGTTCCCGGGATGGCATGATGTTGGTAAGGCAGACAGCATGAATAAGGTCGTGCGTCAAGCCGAATGCCCGCCAATACGGTTCGGCAGTGGAGACCAGATTAACGATTGTATGGGGCGGGCCTCTCTACACAGGAAATGAAAGGCATAGCACATGGGCTTGAACTTTGATGCGCCGCAGCAAGATGGTGTCAGCGTGTGTCACAATGAAGCAGCCGGATGCTCAGCAGATTGAGCGACATACCATAGGTAGGAGATCTGATACAATGATACTGTGATATCTAAAATGGAAAACAACACAGCGTTCTCACTCACGCCCTGAGGTCCACAGGTGGGGCACGCCAATTACATGTGGCTAGTACGATGTATTGTAAACTTGCAAGGCAATATAACAGTATAGTATTGCATATGTCTGTACTACAATACCGTACATACGATGCTGGGAAACGATAGGTCTGCACTAGACTATCAATGTCAACAGTGAACTCTCGACAAAGCAGCGTGTTGCTGCAGGCAAGCCACGTTGCGTCAGAAAGTGATGCACTCTAAATCTGCTCAAGAGCCTCCAATCAAGCTACACACACCCAGACACAACAGACCCAATAGACACAATACCCCTTGTCCTTTTGATCAACCTGCCCAACCGGCGGCCTGGGTCCCTGACGCGGTTCCTCCCATTGCTCAACGGGCACACGAGATGCCGCCAGCTGCATGTGCAGGTGAGACAACGGGGCATTTGTCGACACCCAAGACAGGTCGAGCGTCTCCACGAGTGAGCTGCTCCAACCAGGCGGGAAAAGCAACCCGACCGCGTGCTCAGGCACCGTGTGGTCGAGCCAGGTAGCCATCGTGCTTTTTGCCCCCTCTTGTTCTTGCTTCTTGTCAATTTATTCTCTTTGGCGAGATAGATCTTGCAGCCTCTATCACGGCTGTCAAGATCTGGACGGTGTGGCTTGACCATGACGGCACCAACACGGAATGTCTGCCAGGTCGTAGATATTGGATCTCTGCCATCCGAGAGAATTTCCTGCTGCTGCTGTGCATAGTATCCAGACAACCTGGGTACACTGTAGTTTACTTCCCCAGCTTCCCAACTCCGCTCCCCAGTATTCACCCCCCCCCCCCCACTCACACACTTAAGCATACCTTGCACCGCCCCCCCCCCTACCTTCCCCCCAGCCAACGCCCCTCGTCGTGTGCTAGAGCACGAGAGGTAATAATTCCCTGCAAGGCCATAACAAATGCAGTTTGGCCAAGGGCAACCCCGGATTTGCTCCAGAATTGGATCGCAAATTGGCTCCAAACATAAGACGGACGGGCCCAGACCGTCTTCTCCTCACCCGACTGGCTTCATAGAATGATTTACTTGAAAATTACTATCATCATACCCGTCACCATCGCCATCACCCTATTCTGATTCCGTGCCTCCATCTCGTCCGCTGTGAGCCTGAACCACCCTCGCCGGCCGGGCTTATTGGCTTCGGTTGCCTTCTGATCCTCTTCCCGAGGGCTCGCACCGGGACTAGACATCGTACCAAGATCTCACCTCTGGGTGTGTGTTCTTGGAGCTCCGTGGGAAAGCCTCGGACCCGCTGTTTCCCCCCTCCACCCGCTCGCCCGTTCACTCCGTCGGTTATCGCATGAGCTTGCGGGTCAGCATGTCGCCCTCATCCACAGGGGGCTCTCCCCACTCAACAACCGCCACTGCAACGGCGAGCGCCGTCAGGCCATTCCCAGTGCCTACCAGGGACAACTTCTCAATCGATATGCCGACTCCCCTGATGACGGCCACAAACGGGACCGGTGCTCTCAAGTCCCCGACCGCCGTCAAGAACCAACGGCAGGGCAGCTTCGGCCGTGACGGCGCCCTTGGCCCGCCGCAAAAGGCTCGACATCTGTCGCAGTCATCCGAGAATAGGCCTGAACATGGTTCAGTGAGCATGCAGAAAGACGACAGTGAAGACAGCGTGAATCCCCTGAAGCGGAGAAACACCGACGCCGGCGTTGACTACCCACGGAGAAGAGCCACCATCGCCTGCGAGGTCTGCCGCTCCAGGAAATCGAGATGTGACGGCACCAAGCCGAAATGCAAGCTCTGCACTGAGCTCGGCGCTGAATGCGTCTATCGCGAGCCGGGCATCAAGCTCGATGCCGGCGACAAGCTGATTCTCGAGCGCTTGAACCGCATCGAGAGCCTACTCCAGATAAACATCGTGAACCAGTCAAACGGCATCAACATCGGCCAGGGCTCGCCTAACCTGAGTAGTGGCACCACCGCCCTCAGTGGGGAGAATCTGCTGGTGCAGAGCGCCAGCGGGAACTTTGGGTCCGTCCTCCTCAGCGGTGGCATAGGGACCTGGGCCCCCAACGGTACCAACATCTCGACGATGCCCAAGATTCACACCAATGCTGCCCTCCATCTCTTGCAATGGCCTCTGATACGTGACCTGGTCTCTCGCCCTTATGACCCCCAAATACTGCTCCAGCTTGAAATGGCCAGAGAACCATTACACTCTCTGACCAAGACCCCTTGCGTCGACCTCTCCAATACGACAGCCTACATCGAGGCATACTTTGAACGAGTCAACATCTGGTATGCCTGCGTGAATCCATACACCTGGAGGAGCCACTACCGACTCGCACTTTCCAACGGGTTCCGCGAGGGCGCAGAAAGCTGCATTGTTCTCCTAGTCCTCGCCCTCGGTCAGGCAAGCCTCCGGGGCAGCATCTCCAGGGTGGTGCCGCAGGAGGATCCCCCAGGACTGCAATACTTTACTGCGGCCTGGGCGCTGCTGCCGGGCATGATGACATCCAACAATGTGCTCGCCGCGCAGTGCCACCTGCTTGCCTCTGCCTACCTGTTTTACCTTGTCCGGCCTCTTGAGGCCTGGAACCTGCTGTGCACGACCAGCAACAAGCTCCAGCTACTCCTCATGTCGCCAAACAGAATCCCGCCCGACCAGAGGGAGCTCACGGAGCGCATATATTGGAATTCCTTGCTCTGTGAGAGCGATCTATTGGCAGAGCTCGATCTTCCACACTCGGGGGTGGTTCACTTTGAAGAAAATGTCGGTCTGCCAGGCGGTTTCGAGGGCGACGAGAACGAAGCCGTGGGGCGTGATGACCTTTGGTATTTTCTCGCAGAGATAGCGCTACGGCGGCTTTTGAACAGAGTCAGCCAGCTTATCTATTCCAAGGATTCTATGGCTACCACCACCAGCCTCGAGCCTGTTGTGGCCGAGCTCGACTTCCAGCTGACCCAGTGGTACGAGAGTCTGCCACTTCCACTGCAGTTCCCCTTCGCTCGGACGATGCTGCCGGATCCAGTACAAACAGTACTACGCCTGCGATTTTTCGCCTGTCGCACAATCATATACAGACCATACATTCTAGCCGTTCTGGACAACGAGCAGGCTGTGTTGGACCCTGCAGTACGCGACAGCTGTCACAAATGCTTGGAAGCTTCCATCCGCCAGTTGGAGCATATCGCTGCCCAGTAAGTCTCAGGCTGGCCATCCTCCCCATCTACAATGCCTCTCCAGTGTGACACAGAACAAGATCTTCTTCCCTCGAGTTCTATCGCAGCATCAATACGTCATTTGCTAACAGTACTCTTCTAGCCATGCCGGACATATGCCGTACCTTTGGCAAGGGGCACTTTCTATTGTGTCTCAGACGCTACTGGTGATGGGAGCTACGATGTCACCATCCCTCTCCAATATTTTGATGGCGCTGGTCCCCCACGGAGACAGCATCGATCGCATCATCAACGAGGTCGTTATGGAAATTGAGCGATATGCGGTTCTGGCTCCCAGCCTAAGCTTGGCTGCAGAGATCATCAAAGAGGCTGAGGTTCGGAGGAGAACGTTCCTAAGTGGCTGAAAGGCAGCCACTGATACACTACGTGCCTCTGGATGGCCCATCTCTACTTTCTACACAGCCTGCTTTGCGGCATCGGAATAACTGTCGCCACACTATCAAATGCGGTCGACAACGACACTCAGTACCAACGCAAGACCGTGGAAAGGAAACCAAATCGAAACAGCCAGTATCGCCACGCCAATTGCTTACGGCAGACGGGTGCTCCCAGACCGTATCCACGAACTCCCGTTAGTACCCACCGAATCGGGACTTATGTCGCCACGTTCAATTTAAACCTGGCTACTCGGCGCGCAAATACATGTAGGGGTGTGAAAATCACCCCCGGGCTCCCAACTCAAATTAAATACGTTCAGGGCGGGTGAGCGTCGATCTGACGCCTCTCGATACTCTTTGGAGCAAAGGAAGCTCGGCCGTGCACGCACTCTCGATACAATTGAGGGCCGAAATGCACACGAGGCAAGTGAAAGCCCACGGAGGATGGGGGACGTGTGGCCACCGCCAGCAAAGCAACGCCGAGCAAATGCCCGAGCTGGAAACGATCTGACGAAATCCACATCTCGGCAGTGGAAGGAGCAGTCGAAATTGGCAGATCTGAGCGCTAAGAAATGACAGCCAAAATCCTGGTTTCTACGAGGGAATCGAGCCTGTCGAGAAGAACCCTGAGGGGGTGCCTGGGGTCGTGGTTGCACCGTGATGAATACTAAGGCGTTGGTTGGCGGACCATCTTCGGCGGGCGGCCCGACTCTGCCGGTGACCAACACCCCTCCCAAGGCTCTTAATACACCACAACGGCCACTCTGGAGCCTCATTCGAAATTCAGCCCAGCGCCTGCAGCTTCGTCATCATTATGAGAGCTCGTGTGTGACGCTCACACGACGTTCTTCCCTCTTGGAGGCGACCTGATCAACGGGGGCCCAGCTCCGTGGTCACTGCAGTGCCCATCGGCGTCACATGACCATCCACAGCACCCAAGTGCTGCGAATCGACATCGACAGCGCCAGCTGCTGTGCAGATCTCCAGGCACGGCCACCGCGAGCGAGCCCATTTGATCATGATTCATCTGCAGCAGTCGACTTTGCACCGGCTGTAGTTTTATTAACGGGGTGGCAAAGCAGACACATTGAGCGAGGCCAGCTGCAGGGGCGATCGAAGACCAATTTTGGGGGTTGCCTGGATACTACCACCAGGAGGCGAAGGATGGATGGGGTCAGTCATGGAGGGAGGCATCTCGAAATTGCCAGCCATGTCCGAGTCTGCTCTGTGGGCATTGAACCCTTCGCGGGCGCGCCAGACAGTGCCGTTCGTGCGAAGCGGCGTTCAAGGCCCAAGGGCCGAGGCCCGTGGCCGTCAGAAGAATGTGAATGTCGTGTAAGTGAAGAGGGAGGTTCCTTGTCTTTCGAGCAGTCAAGAGATGTTCTACCGCGAGGTTTCGTCTTAGTCCTGAGAGTCCCGACCGCGCGGCATGCTGGTTTCATGTCATGTGGGCGATCTAGGCTCTGTCATCATCTTCCTACCTTCCTATGTAGGCAGTTTGTATTGGTAGATACAGAACAAAAGGCCGCTTGGCAGATAGCAAGAGTGGCTCGTTATCTCCAAGGCGACATCATACAAGCATTCTTGCCGTCTCGTTGTGCCTTCAGGTGCTTGCTTAGTCCCCGTCGTGGTCGGTCCCGTTCCCACAAACTCACGAGCCAGCATTTTGCCCACCCCGTGCCATTCCCGACCCCCCCGGCAGCGATGCCAACACCCCCATGCCTCTTCCCCCGCCACGGGCAATTTTAAGGGTCCAGTCGCAACAGCTGCTCACGCGAACCAGAGCTACGCCTCAGCTGCAAGCGAACCAGCGTTTTCTACTGTGGTACAGCAGTCACGCCGGCCACACCCTGCCTATCCTTGGCCCGCAGATCAAGGCCGCAGATCGTGACCAGTAGGGTCCTATGGAATCCCGGAGTGAATGTTGCGCGTGAGCCTACACGGCCGAACGCGGGGTAGCTCTTGTTCGAAATAGCAGTACCCGTTGGTTTTCTCGAAGGCTTAAATTTAAATCCGCGGTAGGCTAGCTGTGTAGGTGCTTGCCTGTTCCGGGTCTTGAGGGATTCTCGTTGTGGGCTTGTTCTCTTTCTCAAGGCTCACCCTCGCCAGTCTTGATCAAGGGCCGTATCCATTCGAGCAGGCTATGGATTTGCAACCACACCCCCTCCCCTTTCCCTCTCAAGCCCAGGCCGCACGTGTTTTGTCGATGCAAGCCACAGGCCGTCAATCGTACGGCAGCCACAATTAACGAATGCATACGCCCAAATCGATCGACGCCTAAGCTTACTCCTGCCTCGATGGTCGCCGAGAAACCTGCACGGGGTGTAGCACAATCTCTGACCGCGAAGTACAAAGCTCATCACGGACACCAAATAAATGACAGAGCCGAAGCAACGACCAATGGTCACCAGGCCAGAGCTAGGGTGGGCAGGCTCCCGTACCGAGGACCACGGTTCCTGGCCGCTTGCCGAGATGCTCGAACCAAGGCTCGTCCTTGTCTCTGCACCACACATTGCGCACCAAAGATTTGGGGGGGGGGGGGTAGTGTTCCTATTGCCCAAAGTAGCCTGTTGGGGAAATATCTCGGCGCAGAACGCTTGGCTTTTTAACAATGGCTGACGAAGAGCCTTCGGAAGGCTTCCTTGAAGCAAATTGCCAAATTTCTGCTGGAGGAAACTGAAAGTGGCATCCCCGGTAATATGGCGCCATATAGTCGGGCCTCAACGGTCACGCTGCGAGCTTCGCAGACGCGTGTGATGCATCACTTTTCCTCCCCTATGCGCGAATTTGCCGATGCGGGTTTGTGGCGCACATCCATCTTCGATTTTGCACCGAGTTGTTTACGAAGAGGTGTTGTTTGCGGTTTCCAAGAAGATGCAGTCTCTCGCCTGCGGAGGCTGGGCGAACCATGGACGGCGACCACCTGGCAGGTACCGGGGTGTTGCCGCCCGCCGCCTCCGAACCAATATTGCGATCGCAGTGGGATTAGGGCCGACTGTTGTAGGCTGGATGGTCAGACGAACTCTGCGTCAGTTGTTGCGACAAATTGCACCTCTAAGGTGGGCACAAAGAGCGCTCATCTCGGGCGTGCTTCCCTCTTCGTCCTCCAGAGCCTAGAGGAACTTGTATTGCGCGTTTGACCGGCCGTCGCGGGCCAGCATTCTCGGTGAGTACTTGAGTATCAAGGCCCATAAGCTCCGGACAGTACAGCCTCGCGGTACAGGCCCACCCAGGATGTGCCCACGCGTCGGATTTATCCGAGTCGCCCGCAGAAGCGAGGGTCTCGGCGGCTTGGGAGAGCGATGCCCAGGAAATTGTGAGGCAGCCCATTCCCTGAACCGCCGAGAAAGACCAGGTGGTTGTAGTCGTAGTTTTATTGTTGCCTATGGGACCGATATAGACAATCGACTCAAAGGTTTGTGTGTCCAATCTGGAGCCAGAAACTTGCGCATGCGAGAGTCTCACGTGCGTCGGATTCATGTAGTCCTGGAAACGGCTACCTTTGTAGTCGCCCTTTCGCCTTTCCCGTTGCGCAAAGTGCTTGTGATGGTTAACGTGCCTTTTCAGTTGTACCTAGATGCGAAGGCCTGTCGAGGAGTAAAGCAAACAGTCCATAGCAAACATCTTGGGCTCGCGCATAGCGAAACAATAAGTCTGGCCAAGTCCCATCTTTGGAATAGCAACTAGTATTTGTGTAGGCTTATACGCCTTTTCGACGATATCGTTGTAATATAAGTGATGGCCACGCTCCATTTTCGCGTGGACTTCGTCAGGAAGCATAAGCAAATCGATTCATATTTCTTTTGCCAAAGTAGCCCACAGGATGGTGCGGTATCTGGATCAATTTTCCTGCTTCAACCATGCTCGGATATCATGGGCGTACTTGGAATGATGAGAAGTAGCTTGCCGCCTTGACCCTTTGATCGGAGTGCTCACGATATTCCACATCGAGGCCCACTGTTTTCGCTGACTTGACCGCCGCTTCAAGACGCTCGGCGATCAGCAAGCCCACCCGACATCTCATATGTATGGGTGAGCAGCAGAAACACAGAGACCAGAACCGCATTGAAGCGGGCTCTCGTACCTGCTTCTAATGTCTTGGGTGTTCAGGTGCGGCTGTCGTCAGTCAGCCTATGATCCAAGCCCGCTGATTTGCGTGCTCACTGCGCTTTGAATTTGTCGCAGGCCACCAAGACGAAGATGATTTGACAACAGCATATGAGCTCGGAGAGATGGCGGGGCTAGAGATGATGATATTCGTCGCATACATTGTTGTTACTGTGCCTTGCTTGACGGGTCCAAAACAATGCTTCTTCTAGCGCGTGTCTCTCTGTGCCTTGATCGAGTTGATTCCGTCGGGGTTGCCATCAAACCGAATGGAACTTTGATGATAGGTCTTCTGGCTAGGAAGAGTATCATGGGATCTTGGTACAAGGAAGAACTGGAAGACGAGGCCAACTCAAAGATCCACAGTTCTGAAAATATATTGACACTGGATGGCCCGATGAGGCTGCTCTGACTGTCGTCAAAGTTGGAGGTGAGGAGCTGGGTGGGTACAGAAACATTTCAACAAGCAATCTGTACTTGAAGCATTTAGCCTCTTGCTTCTTGTTTCGTCATTGATCAATTGTTTCTGCATACCTATGTATCACATCCTGGATCTCACTTGTCATGTCCGATCCGTAAGCAGCTGCTCTGTGAAAACAGGCATTATACCTTCATGAAGGGCTTCCGAGGCCCCTGTGCCTTGTATTACACTTGATCGCCTGTTCCCATCCACTCAGTCATAAAAACGCTCACGTTTCTTGGTTGCGAGGCATCGGGTCCGTCATTTGTATCCTGAGTCGATGTGTAGATATAGGCGGTTTGATCACATGTGGCCACTGTGTCTGGGTATCACGGCTCGTTCAGCTTCCTGGCCTTCAAGGCACCTTGCCCCGCTGCCAGCTCTCTCCTCTCTCATTTGTCTTTCTCTCCTGTCCCAGGATTTCTTCTCGCTATGCTGATTCCATGTCGTAAGTTTCGCTGTCCTTGGGGTAAGAATACTTGGAGCATCAGGCCCACGACACAACGACACAATGGTCCAGCTCGAGTACTGCCGGGAAGGGACGAAATCGTCTCGGGATCTCCGTGACCAGCCAAGAGACTGATAGAGTAGTATTCCGCACCGTCGCCTATGCATCAATGCTCAGAATGGTCCATTTTGGGCTCCGAAATTGTTCGTCTCAGTATGTGTACGATGGGATGCGTGACGAGACTAAAAGTCGCGCCTTTGACTGTAGTATTCCTCGGTGTCGTGTTCGCCGTGCCACCTTCACGGTGTCTGATCCCCAGACTTTGACCTCCCGAATAGCTTGCGAAACCCTCCCTTCCCAGGTGTCTTTGGCGTCTTTGGGCGCGAAGGCCCGGCAGGATGCATTGGCATATCGATCCGTAAAGGTGGCAGATCCTTTTCAGGGACTACCGGCGGTCTCCTCTCCATCCTCCTGTCCGCCAACCTATCGATTCCGCCTTGATCGTACCCAAGTTCTCTCCTGAGCTGCTCCCTGCGCACCTCGAGATCCCGGTCCCGGCCCTCGAAGATTAGTTGTTGGTGTGTATACTGCGCATGGTGGGCCATCTGTGCCCTCGTGTCGGGCCTCGACAAACTTCCGTCCACCGGCCACTCCCTTTCCTCATCGCCGTTGACGACCACATACCACCTGATCTCCTCACCCCTCTGCAGCTGGTCCCTCAGCTGCTCGAACCAGCCGGCGAGACCGCCCAGCGTCGCCGTGTCCCGTTTCCCGTTCAGGGTCTCGTCCGAGCTGGGGCCGGTGACGGCGGGCTCCTTGCTTGCGCGCACCATGTGCTCATACTTTGCAATCTCCTCGACGATGCTGCAGGACGCATCGATGCGCTGGACGTAGTCGGCGACATAGGCATAGGGCCGCGAGACCTCGTCGAGGTTGTTCGGGTCATGCTCCTCCAGGACCTTGACTGGCGACCAGTCCTGCGCCAGAACCGGGTCGGCCGTGCTACCCTCGCTCATGTGGGACGGAAACTGAGGCTGGGATGACGGCGGAGACGGTGGTGCCTGGTGTGCCTGTTGTGCCTGGTAGACGTTTGGAGCGTGGGTAGTCGGCGGTAGGGGCTTGCGGCTGATCTCGGATTTGCTCCTTTTCCTGCTGCTGTTGCTGCTTTCCCTGCACGAGGCTGGCGCAGCAGGCGCCTCTTGGGATTGCGACTGCTGGGCCACGACGGTGCGGCTCCGGCTCGTGCTCCTGCCCCTGGCCGAGCGAGCCGTGTAGTGGCTGGCGGCGTCGTCGTCATCGTCGGCGATACTGCTGCGGTCCAGGGAGTGGGACAGCGAGTATGAGCGAGGGGCGAAGCTGCTGCGACGTGTTGGCGGAAAGGTGCATTCGGGAAGAAAATCAAAAAGGTTGTAAAAGGACTCGATAAGGCTCCGTGGGGAGCCTCGTTTGACGACCCATTCCGGCGCGGCGTCGTCGAGGTTCTGGACAACGACGTAGACGCGTATGCTACGGCGTTTCCAGCGGAAGCCGTGACACAGATAGGTCGGCATGGAACAGGGCAGTGCGAGCAGAGCAGGCCAGAGAAAGCGTGAGGGCCCGATCAAGTTTGTGGGCCCATTGATATGTCAACCACGGGACAGGCGGAAGTGAGAAGAAGTTGGATAACGCTGCAAATGGGCGGTTCACGAGGCACGACAGACTAGCAGACAGACAGACAGACACGAGCGGGAGGGCGGGGCGAGGGACGTGTCCGGGAATGAGGCTGAGACACAATAAAGTTTGCCGGCGTGTTTTTTTCCTTTTGTACCAGTAGTGTAGATCGATAGCTCGCAAGTTGTGTTTATGATGTGAGATGAGAATGAAGATTGTTTCCCAAATATTGAACGCCGGCAGTGGGCAAGCTGCCTTGCCTGACACAGGTCCAGAACCTTGAATTCGAGACAGGAGCAACCATTGCTGTGTAAAGTCTGCATGGATTCGATGCAGGGTGGCAGATGGCAGATGGCATGGGCACGGGCATGGCATGGGCGCGGCATGGGCATGTCAGGCATGTCAGGTCAGGTTCATGTCAAGCCACACAATCCGGGCAACCCTGTGGTGAGAAACGCAAGCTGTCGCAGCATCACCTCCCCAGCTCTAGCTGCCCAAACTATGCCCGGCTGGGGGGGGTTGCCCCTAATAGAAAGAGGCTGCTGGCCTATTAGAATCTCTTCCGCGGTAGCTCCAAAGCTTGAGGGCCGTATACTGTGTAGGAGGTTTAAGATGGAATGCAGCAGAACCCCTGGGAGGCTCCTAAGGGCCCATCCAGCTGGGATTCAACCCGTCCAGCTGCATGACAGACGCAGTCCAATTCAGCCAGGTGAAGCGACTACTGCGCTGAGCCAGCATTTCTTGGGCAAGGCCCGTCCTCTATGTGTATTGAGCTGGGCCATTCCAATTTCACACAAATCAATTGTCTGGCAATCATGTATTACGGCTGGACATTTTGGGACGTCAAGAGCATTCATTCAACTTCTGCCGCGAGATGATGTGAAGCAGAGCTCTATCAGTCATGACCATGTCACTACACTACTGTGCACTTTGCAAGTCCGGTACAGCACAGGACAGTATAGTAACTGGTCCTCTCGCTTGTCAAGTCGATATGCCAGTGTCATGCCAGTGCCAGCGCCAGTGCCAGCGCCAGTGCCAGTGCCGATGCCACTGTCCACCGACTGCCACTGCCGGAAGGGGCCCGGCCCGGAGCCGAAAGCAAAGACCCCGCGAAGGTGGGGCAGCCACCCTGCCACCATGGCGGATGGCAGATGGCGGATGGCTGGAAGGTCGGCCGAGGCTGGGAGGCGTAGCTGGACCCCTGCCCCCTGCCCCCTGCCCCTGGACCCTGTCAGGCCAATTCAGCTCCAGCTCGAGCTTGAGTAAGCTCCAAGTCGCTGACGAAAGAGGCCTGCTGCCGCACTGCACTACACTGCAGATCGATATGGACCCAAAGTGCAATTCTGCAGACCTCATTGCTAGCTAGATGGATAGAGATACATGCGTACATATATACGCACCGCACAGCACATACCTACATCTGGTTCAACACAACAAAATCATCCGTTCATCATCTCAGACACACAGCAGTATTTATGACTTGGGCCAGGCATGATCAATGCCACAGTTGTGTCTCTAAAAGGCGATAGATAGATGATATCCTCCGCATCTCGTCCATTCACAGCCCTCGAGCCCATCTTCACGTTGCTTTGCTTTGCTTTGCCTCGCCTCGCTTCGCACCGCCCGCCCAGCCATCCCAATTCGACCAGCAGCCCCGTCCAGTCCAATCCAATCTTGTCTTCTGCGTCAAAGACTTTTATCACATTGGGGCCTGGTGGCAACTGAGCCCTTCATTTTAGGGCTCCAACGTCCGTCAGCCGTCAGCTGTCAGCTGAAAAGGGGCCCACGCTACCCTTATTAGCCAGAGCTGACAGCCACTGCGATTTGGTTTGCATGGGCCTCGTCCGAATGGTTCATGACTGTTTGGCAGATGCAGAGACTAGACATTGTTCCTGCCTGATGCTCATATTGCCATCTGGCCCAAGGCTGTTTGTCGCCATCCCTTCCTACTTGTGGGGTAGGCAACCAGAGTGAGACCGACTTGGGTTTACGGACTTTGTTGGGTAACACAGCGACGACTATCCATCCGTTCTGTACATCCACACATCCAGATCTGCCTCGTCTACACAGTACTGGTGCCCAATCCCTCCCTCTGCCGCCGCCAGAGGGCTCTTCTTTTCCTCTCCATCTTTGTGTAAGGCGGACTAGCCGTGCCTGTCTGCAGGAGCTGGCGCCGGCAGCACAACATCGCCAATCAACCACACAGGCGTCACCCCACTCCTGCACCTACAGGTTGCAGTGAACCACTTGTGTGAAACCATCTGGCTTCCTCTCGACGCACCAAGCATATGCAGCCCGCGATTCAATCCCCTCTGACCTAGCCTCTCACTCCTCTCTCTCTCTCTTTTTTCTGCCCGGCGCTGCTACGCTGCGCAGATCGTCCTGCTCTCCACCGCCAGCCGCCCTCCGCCATCCACCATCCGCCGTGCTTGTCCCATGCTGCTGTGTCCCCGTGCCCTTCTGCTCTTCTGCCAGGCAAGGAGACATCAGCACTTGCACCTGCACCTGCACCTGCACTCTCCCACGCCTGCCGCCTTCGATATTTTCTCGAATGCCGCCGCATCAGGGCTGACGTGCGCGGAGTGGACGAATGGCGAGGCCCGAGTACCTCGAGAGCCCAATGAGCTCGAGAAGTAGGAGGAGTTCGCGCGTTCTACCCCCGGCACCCGAGCTCGATTCGCTCGGGCTCGAGGATGAGGACCGGGATTCGTCGCCCCATAGGAGCAGCAGAGACAGAGACAGAGATAGGGCCAGAGGCAGAGGTAGAGGTAGAGATGGCGATACGAGGACGATGGACCGCCTTGTCCTGAGGGACCGGGAGTGGGAGAGGAGGCAAGACGAAGAGATATTAATGCAGACACCCGATTCCAGGGCTTCGTCGTCCTCCCGCCGGCTCTCCCGCCATTACCACTCCGATCCACGTGGCCGTCAACCCACGCCGCCGCATTCTGTGTCGTCCTCCAGGGCGAGCACGCGCGTGCCCCACCCTCCGATGTCCTCGATGACGAGACCATCGACAGCCGAAGTCCTGTACCGCCGCCCTTCGCTGAGAGAGCCCATCCGCGCTGGGTATGACGACCAAGATCCCGGGCATGGACTCCGCAGGGCTCGGTCTCATGCCCGTTCAATCCATGCCGCGCCCTCCGTTCCTGTCCTCCGGGATAGTATGTATGCGTCAGGATCAGAATCCAATGGTGAGGATACGGAGACCACATACGACAGCCTGGACGATAGAAGGAGGCCTCGGAGGGGCGACAGGTCCAGGCGTCTAAGCCGCCATGAAAGAAGTCCGAGTCGGGCAGAGCCAACGAGAAGTCATCACCGTCCGCGGCGAAGACGTAGAGATTCTGCCAGGCTGGAAGAAGACTACGATGAAATGAACTCTAGGCACACTCCTTCTATCGACGATGAACTTCTTCCTCCGCTACACCCACGCTCGCGCCCTCAGTCCCGAGCCCCATCTGCTAGGCACATCCCAGAACCAGATGTCACGGAATCAGAAGACTCGCAAGACGACCACCATCTTCGTGATCGGTTTGAGCGCCGAGGAAAACACAGAAATCGACACGATTCTCATCACAAGACGGAATCTCGAAGAAGACGAAGCGAAAGCCACATGGAGCCCTCATCAACGCCCAAGCGGTATGTATTGCCATCCATCTTTGGTGGCAACCCTGGCTCATCACACCGGGCCAGATCGTCCTCGAAGCGATACTACGATACCGAGGTCACGACTATAGAGAAGCCTGACCGCCATCACCCGCCGTCTGCATCGCTTGGGAGGTCAAATACTGTTAGCGGTTCTCAGGCGGCTGCGTCGCAACATCACAGTGTAAGCTCAACAAGGCGCTCGTCATCGTCAACTTTCCTTGGAAACTTCTTTGGCCCGTCACTACACTCTCATCACCATCATGCCACAGATAAACGTGTCAAAATGTGAGTTACCCCATCCTCTGGCTTATCGCTCAGCTCAGGCCGCCATTAACAGTTGACATTAGAGTGGAATGTGTTGTCTGCATGGACGATCTCCCTTCCCGCAAGACGGCCAAGCTTAAATGCGGCCATCGGATGTGCCACTCGTGCCTCAAGCGAAGCTTCAAGTTGTCCATTACGGACCCACAGCACATGCCGCCCAAATGCTGCACCGCGGCCACTATACCCCTGAAACACGTGGACCGCCTGTTTGACAACGAATTCAAGAGGACGTGGAACAAAAAGTTCGTCGAGTATTCGACCCGCAACCGCATCTACTGCCCCAAAAAGGGCTGCAGCGAATTCATCCGCCCCGAGGACATCCGTCACGCTGACGACGGGCGAAAATACGGCCGCTGTGATAAGTGCAAGACCAAGGTATGTGTGCGCTGCAACGGCAGGTGGCATAACGGTAGGGACTGTCCCAAGGACGAGGATACGGTGATGTTCTTGGCACAGGCCAAAGAGGAAGGTTGGCAGTGTTGCTTTAGGTGCAAGGCCATGGTGGAACTAAAGGAAGGCTGCAATCATATGACATGGTATGTTGTCGTCCTCTCTCTCCTCTCCCTTTCTGGGGCAAGTTATCATCTGATATGTTGCAAAGTCGTTGCGGAGCTGAATTCTGCATGATCTGCGGGGCCAGATGGAAAACTTGCGAGTGCTCTTGGTTCAACTATGATTCTCTCGAGGACGATCGCCTGGAGCATATGCAAATTCCTTTTCCGGCCCGAGATCGTGTCGGTGGTCGGCCAGCGGTCGATATTCCACCCTCTCCGACAAGGCAGGCTCGTGCTGGGCCTGGTATATCAGCATTCCCGGGGCCCCGTCCACGACCACAGAATTACGAAGAAGAACTGCACCTCCGGCGGTTGCAAGACGGACGTGATGAAGCGTATGCGAGGCGTCTACAGACTTATCAAGAGTCCGAGGACGGCCCCGAAGACGACTTCTTGGGCGGCTTTGGAGATATTCACGGATTAGGAAACGCTGCGAGCCACCACATGAATGATAACTTCCGACCACGTCCGCGCCATATTGTGGTGCCCGAACCGCCTCAACCTTCTCCCCTTCCCCAGATGCCAATCGATCCTGCACCGGCTTTTGATAGGGCTGCGACGGGCGACTATATCCGAGGCGTCAACCGCGCTCGAGGCGTTCGGGCTGCGTCTGTAGGAAGGCTAGCCGACCGGTTCAATACGGATCTCCGCCAGAGCCCCATGCATCGACCTCCACCACTGCCGACAGCTGCCACGATGCCATTGCCGGCCTTGGCCTCGGCAGTGCCGCCAGGACCCGGGAGTGCGCCGATTCGAAGGCATACGGTTGAGACCGGAGAAGTCTATGACGATGATAGGTACCGCCCGAGATCGGGTGGTACAAGGCCTGTAGAGCGCGTGATCACGAGCGGGAGGACGGCAAGGTCGGTCTTCCATGAGGAGCCCGAGGACATGCTCACGCAAGGTGTCGCGGCCATGAAGCAACACATCAGAGATCCACCCAAGGCGAGCAACCTTGCGGGCCTTACTGGCTCTGGAAGAGGGGCGGATAGGGTATGGGAGTGGGCGACACACGTTCAGCCGGGCCCAGGCCCGGATGCCAGCGCGTGATCAGAATTGATGCTTCGTGATATGATACGCTTGGTACACGACGTGATGTATCTGAAGACTGGAAGAATATTGCGATCTACGACTTACACGATGGGACGACATATGTTTTGGATGACATTTAATGACGGGACAGCATTGGGCTGGTGATCGAAAACAGCATTTATACTGTTGCATGGGTAGGCGGGGAGACAAACCCTCACTACTATTCTAGAAGGACAGTGTACAATTTTTTTTTCCTTTGCAAGGGATGTTCGCTCTCACGGGCTAGGGCTTGATTCGGGCATTCGGGGGTCTTCATCATTCGAATGCAGTACGCAATAAACCTGCACACCCATTCCATGCTGTAAGGAACGCGAAACACGACTTTCTTTTCTTCACTCTTGCATTAAATCCACTCCAACTCCCTGGAGCGCATCCACCGCCCACTCGGGGTAGTGGCTTCTATCTGGGTACAGTCTAGCAAAGAACTCCCCGATGAACGCAGGATACCGATCCGCAATGATTGCCTCCCGCGCCTCCCTCGTGAGGTTCAACTGGTACCAGACGTTGTGGATGGTGAGCAGGTGGGCCGCGACAGTCTCCTTGCCCACGTTGTGGTGTATGAAAGCCCTCGTGACGCCCAAGCCATCAACCCCGTCCCTGACATCGCCCTTGGGCCGGCAGCAGACACAGCCGCACCCCTCCTCGACCACGCGAAAGTCGTTGGCGAACTCGGAGTTCTTGAGCTTGAGCATCCCGGCCTTGGTGATGGCATTCCCGAAGCGCGCCGTCCGTGTCGGCCACACGCAGTCGAACATATCCGCGCCCAGCGCCACGCTGACGACCAGGTCCTCCGGGTAGCCGACGCCCATGACGTAGCGGGGCTTGAGCTCGGGCAGCATTGCGGTGCAGGCGGCGACGACGCGGCAGGTGTCGGCCTTTGCCTCGCCGCCGCTGAGCCCGCCGATGGCGATGCCGGGCGTGTCGCGCGCGACCATCTCGGCGGTGCAGGCGCGCCGCAGGGCGACGTCCAGCCCGCCCTGGATGATGCAGAAGAGGTTCTGCGTGGCCGGGTTGCGGTGCGCGGCGACGCACCGGTCCAGCCACCGCACGCTGCGCTCCATGGCCTCGCGCATGCGCGCCGCGTCCGGCGACGTCGTCACCAGCACGTCGTCCAGCTGCATCATGATGTCCGAGCCGATCGAGTTCTGCAGCGACATGGAGTGCTCCGGCGTCAGGAGCATGGGCGTGCCGTCGTGCGGCGACAGGAACCGCACGCCCTCCTCCGTGATGGTCGCGAGCTTGAGGAGGGACACCATCTGGAAACTACATGGGCGGTGGCCGCAACAGTGTAAGCCTTCCTGTCCGTTCTTTCGCAACCCCCAAATCCTACATGCGTTTCGGGTGCCGTTGGGCGAGGGGAATGATTGCATACCCTCCACTGTCCGTCAGGATGTTGTGTTTCCAGCCCTGTAGCTTATGTGCGCCGCCGATGGCATCCAGAACCTCCTGGCCGGGCTTCAGGCCGAGGTGATATGTGTTGTTGAGGCACAGGCGGCAGCCTGTCTGTTCCAGCTGTTCGGGCGTGATGCCCTTGAGCGAGGCCTGCGTGGCGACCGGCATGAACATGGGTAAATTGACAGGCCCATGTGGCAGGGTAAGGACGGAGGCGCGAGCTCGTGTGGTCTATCGCTGGTGTGGGCGCACCTGTCAGTGAGCGGCTCCCGACGAGGCTGGAGTAACTGGACGGCTTTCCCCAGAGATGCCGGGCAGCATCGTGACTTACAGAGCACTTGGCAACTAGCTCGAAGGTGAGCGCCCCATGCGTCGCTGTTCTCGTCGTGGACGCCATCGTTCTGGCCACCCACATACTACTCCCAAAGGGGACCTCCTGGTAGTATGGGAGTTGCTGTCGGGTGCTGGCGGCAACGAGGTGTCGCGTGCGAGGGCGTGAATAGATAATATAGTACGGATTTGCAGCGCGTGGGTGGCCCGCTACAGCCTAGCTGCAGGAGCCCTGCATGCCTAGCTTCTGCAGTGCTGGGGTGCTAACTTGAGCCTCCAGGGTCCTGGCCCTTGTCACTATGGCACGAGCTCGAGCCTTGGATACCCATTGACTGTATTTCTCATCCACGACACAGATAATGTGCTACAACGGTGGAGTATATGTGATGCAAATTGGATCTTAGGCTCTCCATCCTCTATCTCAATGACGCTCACTCAGCTCTCAATTTTCAACCTATAATACACTCGTGGCGGCCCTCAAGAATAGCGTATGCCTCTTCAATGATATCCATTTGCTCCGCCGGCCCTCAGAGCACTCAGCTCCTCCTGGTTCCGCCTATACACCTCCTGCGCTTCTCTCTCCCTCCTGCCCACAAAGTTGACCTCATCCCGCAGAGCAGCCAGCCTGTTTCTGACCGCCGCCTCCTCTGAAGCAGCCAGGATTTCGAAAGCGTGGAGAGCATTAGTGGCCTTTTCCAAGTCCGTTGCTGTCTCACCGATCTTCTTCCGCAGCATCTCAGCGCGCTGCTTATAGCCACCCAAATGCAAGTTTAACTTCTTCTCCAGCTTGGATCCCTTCTCGGCGGACGCGATCATGGTTTCCTGAATGTCGTCAGCGGCCAATTTCATGGCCTCCAACTCTTCATTTTCGGTGTCATCGTAGCAACCAAGACCCAAGAGCAGCGAGTTGTTATTGCTCTTGGCCCAGGCAGCCTCCACCTCCTCAGGCTTCGGCTTGTCCTTGATGTCCATCAGGATTTGCCGTCGTGCGTCCGCCAGAGCACTATCGTCAATCTGAGCCAAGCTGGGAACGTTCACACCGCGTGTGGCATCAGAAAGAGGGAATTTGGCGGCGTCGTAAGCCATGAGCAGTGCTGCTTCCCGCGCGATAGCCTTCTCCGCAGGATCCTCAAAACCCTCAGCCGCCTTCGAGAGCACCGTCAAATTGACAGAGACTGGTCGCGGAAGCCCTCGCTGCATGACCTGCGTGCGCCTCTTCCTCTCTAGAAGCTCCTGCGCTTCACGCAATTCTCGCTCCCTGCGGTCACGCTCTGAAGCATCCTCCGGTAGACCATTTTCGACCATTGCAAGCTCTTGCTGCTCCTCTGGTAGCTCAAGCTCCCATGCCTGCTGTTTTGGTTTGGGCAGAGATGCTAGACCTTGCTGAAGCCTATGCCTCAAGACCATATCGTTCCCCTGGCTATTGAGCGCAAAACTGTCACGCGGTGTCCGCAGGGGCGTTTGCCCTGGACGCAAGGGTGTAGCACCAACGCCATTTGAACCTGACCTGAGGGGGGTTGCAAGAGGATTGGGGGTGACGATATTCTGCATCCTTGGAGCGGCAGACTCAAAACCGGTGGAGCCAGCACCCTCGTGCAGGGGCGTGTTGTCGCCACCAAGGAGAGAGGACTGTGTCTCGGTTAATGCTCGGATGTTTTTGATCTCGTTGGCAATGTGGTCCTCATGAGCAGGCGCTCTTGGTGTTCGAATTGGCGCTCCTGTGTTGAGGGCTGAATACGAGTTGACAAGCCCTCGTGTGGCGTCGTTATCACCCTCCGCCATTGTGTTTGCGCGCTCGCCAATCATGCCCATCTTCACGATATCCTCCAGCTCGCCTTCGCCGACCTGAGGTGCTGGCAAGTTGAGGGCTCTTCTCTTGCTGCTCTGCTCAGCTTCCCTGAGGCGCTGCATTTGGCCAGCCTTAAGGGCCTCCCGGTAGGAAGCAGAGGGTGCATCTTTGTCCGCCTTCCTCCTCTTACGCCCTGCTTCGTCTTCCTCGTCTTGCTTCCTTTTCGCCTGCGCCAGCTGTTGTTTTCTGGGGTCAAAGTTTGCTCGCTGCCTGTCATTCAGCGAAATCTCTTCGGTCGTGTCGTAGAAACCTGGCGCAGCTTTCTTCTCAAAAGGAATGTCGGCATTGTAGTCCATCTGACCCTTCTTCCGCGTAGTAACCTTGATGTTGATTCCAGCAGTCTTCAGTTCGCGACGCTTCTGAAGAGCCGCAAGACGCCTGGACTCTTCTTGCTGTCGCTCACGGGCCTTGCGCTTCGCTTTCTTTCCCTGAGTATTGGCCAAGCGAGCTCGTGCCTCGCTGAGCATCTCCTTCTCGTCTTCATCGAGGTCGATGGTGTCGGGCCGCGCGGGCTTCGTCTCCGGATCGGGGTCTACCTCACCCGGTCGCAACTTTCTGACATCGTCTGCCGTCGGTGCGGACGTCTCATCTCCTCCTGTCAAGCTAAGCTCTGAAGCCTCCCTCTGCTCTGCCTCATCCAGGAGTTTCTGGTACCGTTCGATACACTGATTGGCGGTTCGGCCGACGAGAGGAGCAATGGTCCGCCATTGTGTGGGCATCAACTTCGCTAGGTGGAGCAGCTTCTCATCCTCCTCCTTGGTGAACTCGACCTTCTTGATGCTTGGGTCAAGCCATTCTTGCCATCTTGCTTTGCACTGCTTGGGTGTCTTTCGCGCAAGCAAAGACGACACACGAGCCCATTGATTCAGACCGTACTTGGATACGGCAGCTTTGAGGACTTCATCCTCGATGTTCGTCCACACTCCACCTTTGACGACAGGCATGGTGGCAGCACGGCTTTTCTGAGCGGGTGACGTTCAAAATTAGTTGACGCGAGAGAAGCCCAAGCCGCTTGCTAAGCCCACTCGACAAAAATTGTTGACAGGCCTGGGAAGGGCTCTCGATTGAAGGAGGAGGGAGGAGGAAGTAGCGAGCGAATAGTCAACGACTACGCGCAGGCCAGCGGACCAGAAGGAGGGAGGCTGTTGGTGATTTGAGACTTGGGTAAAGTTGAAGTTCGGCCGTAACATTGCAGGCAGATGGGTCTGAGGCCTGTAGGGTGCCGAGTTGCAGGGATTGGAGCCTAGCTGCACCAATCGATAGTGCTCTCTTATCAGACAATCGCGGCGCAAAGGCGCGTCTGGGAGCTTTCTTGTCGCATCATGCCCCAAGCTTCCATTGGACTTAATTGCTAGACAGAACGGCCGCCAAAGGCAATTTCCTTGGTATGAGACGATTGGTTTGCAACCACACCACCACACGATACCTCGTCAGCTCAGTCAGTTCAGCATGTCAAGCGACATCTCCGAGATTCCTCCAGCTGGAGGCACGAGTCTTACCCCAGCACCCGCGCCAGGACCGGCCTCCCTCCCCCAGAAGCGCGCCCTTGACGACGACCACGTACCTGCTGTGTCCTCACCTCTGAACCCGGACTTCACCCCAAGAAAGTCGCAGGTACCAGAGGAGACACCCATTGTATCACGGGAGAAGCGTACCAAGAAGGAGTCGCTCAAGAAGCGAGAATCGAAGGCTGCCAGTACTCCTGGTGGTGCCGATAGCTCTAGAGCAACTCCAGACCCGCGACAGACCAAGAAGGCTCGAGCCAATCTCCCAGCCGCGGAGATATCGCCAGCACGCTATATACTTCCTCTGCCCAAATCAACCGACTTTGAACCAGCTCGTGGCCCGCAACTTGCGTTCCATCACGAGGTGGCCAGCCCCGGGGGCGAGAACATCGAGTTCTTCGAGACACAAGAGCAGTAAGCAAGCATGCGTCGCTCATATGGCCTGGCTGGTGCTAACATAGATCAGCGTATACAACAAGAAGCAGTACTACTATACCCATTGTATCGCAGATCCCAAGTTACCCTCATCCTTCTACTACAGACAGACGGAGCCAGAGCCTTTCGGTGCCCATATGAGCTTCGAGGATGCCGCGACGCATCTGCTGTTCGATAAATCCGGCAGGCATATTACAACTGACAAAGGATGGAGAATGTCGCGAGCGAACATTGCCATCAGGGAGGGCCGCTGGTACTGGGAGTGTAAGATCACAAGGGGCATATTAAGGGAACCACCTCCACCGGGCTCCGACCAACCAGAGTCGCATGGCCATGTCCGCGTGGGATTCGCACGGCGGGAAGCCGCGGTGGATGCACCAGCGGGTTTCGATGCCTACAGCTACGGAATTCGAGATAAAGAGGGGCAGAAGGTGCACATGTCCAGGCCGAAGGACTTTTTCCCACCCGGCGAGGAGCTCCGGGAGGGCGATGTGCTAGGGCTCGAGATCAATCTGCCCTCTGAACAGTTACACCGGAAGGTTGTGACGGGTCATTTCAACCCAGCCGTTGACCTGTTGGCAGAGACAGACCACTCAACAACTGAAGCACCAAACATTGTCCGGGACCGACTACCGATCCGATTCAAAGCACACATCTACTTTGAGACACCCGACTACCACACCTCACCCGAGCTTGAGGATTTGATGAACCCGTCTCCGATGTCCACATCTGGAACGGGCGCAGGCCAGTCAGAAGGTCCTAACCCAACGCACCCGGTCCCTTGCCTGCGAACGCTGCCGAACTCTTGGGTCAAGGCGTACAAGAACGGTGTTGAGATGGGCACTGCATTCACCAATCTCCTATCCTTCTTACCGCAAGCCTCCAAGCCAGCCACGGCTAAGCAGCCTGACGCGCGAGAAGGCCTGGATGATGGCATGCTCGGTTACTATCCCGCTGTGAGTGTTTTCCGCGGCGGAGCAGCAGTGGTGAATTTCGGTCCAGACTTCTGGTATCCACCACCGGGCTACAGCCAGGGTCAGGAGAAGGAGACCGACGTTGTCATGACCGGCACAGACGAGCAGCCGACCATCACAGCTAAGCAGGAAGCTCCTCGGGCGATGGCGGAGCGCTATGACGAGCAGATTGTTGAGGACATTGTGTACGATATTGTAGACGAGGTCGATTTTTGGATGCAAGACGGCGCAAAGGTCATTGACCGGACACGGCGTAACGAGGCGGTCAAGGAATTCAAAGAGGTCGTTCAGGACGTGTAGACTGTTGGCCGTGGGAGAGTGGTGGTTCACATTGGGACAGGAAGCATTGCATGATACCCGGAATTTATTGACGACCATAAGTCAGCGTGATTCAAAGCAGTGATCATTACATCTTTCGTGAACGCGTATGTGCCGTACCCCTTCCTCATTAGGGTATCTCGATAATAATCATTCTTTCAGCAGCAAGCCACCTAACGCCATGCCCTATTTGCAAAATCCATTTTTCATCATCGAGCGGGCAGTTTGCCACACGCCGCAAGTCTCTCTTGTCATTAGTCGTAACGGAATCGATGCCCAAAGCCACCAAATCTCTACTTCCTACGCGAGCTCGCCCCGGAGCTCTCGATGCGCTTCGGGGATGCTCGCCCGCTGCGCGACTCGACTACAGAGTCGCCGTCCGAGAGCTCCTCGATTCGGCTGCCTGCCTCGACGGAGGCGGTAGACTTCTCGCGTTCGAGCCGAACCTCGCGACCGCGCTTGTGGCAGTACCAGAGCACAAACATAAGTACTGCAAAGGAAATATTAGCAACCCCACGACAGCGGGTTCGAGATGAGGAAAGGTTACTCACGGAAGAGTGCAATGCTCCAAATGGCGTTTGTGCCGATGAAGGCCGGCCACCGCACCTTGAGAAAGTTCATGATAGCCTTCAACATCCCAATGATCGCGCTAGGCTTGGTCACCAGCTCAGATACGTTCTTAGGTATTATGAGCTTCATGGCCTGGTCTTTGATACCCCCCTTAGGCGCATCGTCTCCCTTCAACCCCTGTGACTCCGCAGCCACGGCCAGAAGCTCCGGCGCAAGGGCGCCGGTGACCTTGTTCGGAAGGGTGGTGACCATCTTCTGCATGCTCTTGGGCAGCTTTTCGTAGTTCTTTGCCAGTGTGCCGTCGTGGTCTTCAAAGAGCTTCTTTAGGTCATTGGTGGCGGTGGGAACACCGTTTACCAAGTCCTTCAGGACGACCGTAAACAGTCCGACCATCTCTGCAGACTCCTTGGACAGAGAGAACGTCTTGTTGTTGCGAGCGGACAGATTCAGGTCGTCGAGGACCTTGTTGATGTCATCTTTCTCGCGCTCTTCTTCGTCGTGCGGCACCGCAAGATTGGTGGGTTGGAGGTCATCCTTCTTGCCGGTCTTGCGCGTGAGGAACGAGAAGCGAGAGGCCTGTTTGCCATCGCCTTTGCTGCCATCGCTGGGCTTCTCCTTGCCCTTGCCCTTTCCGCTGACCTCGACATCGTTGTTTCGTACATAGCTATCGTTGTCGCTGTCCCATGAGATATCGGGTGTTTTGACCCTTGGGGGCAGAGGGGGTCGCTTTCCATTCTCGTCGGAATAGCCGTCCTCAGACGTGAGCCTCTCGAGGAAGAGCTGCTCGTCGTCCGTCAGGACAGGACCTGACCCTGGCGGTGATTTGGATCGCGACCGGGCTGCTTCCGCTTCGTCTTGAAGCTTTGCCCTCTCTGCGACCTTCTGGTCCCGGTTCTTCTTGAACTTCCGGTATGCGATGTATTCGAGCATTTTGGTCTCTTGCCTCGATGGGCAATGGAACAAGGCAAGAATGTGTCAGGGTTGGTTGATGCAAGAAGAACAAGTGAGATCGGAAAAGTGGCAGCGACCCAGCTTTGCCTTTTGTTTGATCGAGCTAGACGGCCTAGAAATGTCATACAGCGTCGCACATGATGGTGTGTGGCGAGGCTTTGTCGAGGCCGCCCGTTTCGCTGCAAGCACACAGCCACTGAACCAAGCTTCTTGAGCCGTCAGTAATCGGAGCTCCCTCCCATGTCTCAGTGACACTGCGACCCCGCCAAATGGTTGTCCAGAATTCAAGGACACGCCCTGGCCTGGCCGTGACGGGAGAGGCCTCAAGGGTGGGTGACGTCACTGCTGCAAGGGTTACGCACGCAACAGTTCGACAGAGGTGTGCGACTTAGCCGCTTGTTTCATACGAATGCCATTGTCTTGTGGCTGGGTATCGTAAACTGTAAAGCCAAATAACGTCAAGACTTGAATAGAGCCCAACGAGAACGTTGCACAGCACCAGTAATACCCCTAGCGAGCAGTGTTCGTCCCAGCAAAAGCCTCCCATGTTTGCGTCGTGATGCCCAACGCCTTCTCATCCCTCTGAGTTTGCGAGCTCCAGCGCCTCCCGGCTTTCATCCATTGTGAGATTGTTCGAGTGGTGCCACCTGGTAGCCTATCCCTCCTCGCCGTTGTCACCGTCCTCCTCGACCTCTTCATCGGCCTCTTCAGCCACCATCGATCCATCTGCATCGCTCCTTCTTTTTCGACCGACGCGGCGATGCGCTGCAGCTGTTTCTGTGACGGCCTTCTCACCAACGTAGTTTTGTCCTGTCCACGCCGTTTCGCACCTAGGACACGTCCGTCCGCCTCTCCGCGTGCGCCAGTAAGCCTCTGAGCAGATGTCATGAATCCGTGCGCTGCACTCTCGCTCAGGGCATCTCTGCCCGACTGTCACAATCTCCTTGCATGCCTCACAGAATTTGATGCGCTGCCAGTCGTTGGACCTGGCGTCAGGGTCATTGTAGGCTGCCACCAACCACGTCTTTAGCTCCATGAGTGAGCGCGGGCTCAAGCTGTAAAAACCCTCATCACTCTCCTCAAACCATCCCTCGGCGACCAGACTAGGTAGTAATCTCTCGATCTCGCTGTGTTTCAGTGCCCTATCTGCAGTCCGTTGCGCAGGCTCCTCTCCGTCGGCATCGCCGTCCTGAGCTGGTGCAGATGGCCGAGCGACTTTCCTCGCTTGAGCCGCCGTGATGGCCATGACCTCCTGCCTGGGCGTGTTGTAGGTCTCGAACATGGCATCGAGCACTCTCTTAATGAAGGAGATCTCGTCGGGGGTCCGCGAAGTCGCCAGCTGAGTGCTCGGGTCGCTGTGCACATTGATGAGCGCCCATACTTGCTCTCGGTCGACTTGATGGTAGGTGTTGCGTATGTCGTAGTCTAGCGACGCCACCGCTTCGCGTGCTTTGCTGACATACTGTCTGAACGTGTTGTCGTCGATCGAATCAGGAGTCACCCTGCGAGCCGAGTCGTTTTCTGCGGACAGAATCGCGGCAATGATCGACTTGCCTTCGCCGATTGTTATAAAGCCGCGACCCATCAACGCCTGCATGAAGGCTCTGTGGTTATGGTCCCAGCCGATAGGCAGAATCGGCTCCCACTCTGGCATTGTGATCGAAATGTCGATATCAAGTGAGCCTGTGAGCGGCGAAAGAAGTACGTTCGATGCAAGACTGTGGAAGGACACAAGTTTGCTCTGTGAATGAGTGACGGTGTCAACTTGACAGTCAGACAGTGGAATTGAGAACAAATTGTGATCTAGCTAAAGTGATACTGTGGGCACACAATCATGAGGATGAATAGAGCAGTTGTGCTGGACATAGGTTTCGATGGATTGCGGCCATAGCTTCAGATTGCAACGACGCGTGGGCACGGGTAAACGCGTCTCAATACAGTACGCTGAACAAAGTTCAATCAATCGGCAGAGCAAAGCGCACGGTACGACAAGCACCCCGGAATAGCCCCTGTACTGTGAGAAGGCCCCCCAGCTGCAGGGCTGCAGCAGCAACCCGAATCCACCCCACCAGCCCACCTAACCGTGAGAGATCGCCCCAACCCAGCGGCGATCAAATCGGGCGCGCGGCGGACAAATATGATAGACTGATTCCCAATATTATCTATCTACATCTCACAGGGGTACCAAAGGCCTGCCAGGTAGACATAGGCATTCGTTTATCCCACTCTAGGCTACGCAGTTCTCACCTGGAGATTGTTCCCACATGGTGCTGTCCTGTTGAAGGTCATCTCAACTTGGGTGTGCTAACCAACGTTAGAAGTTAGACTGCATGCGCCCACAGACTTGAGTCGTCACCTGAAGTCGATGGTTTTCTGCCGGACGAGCTAGACGAGATGGCACGATGACTATCCAGCCACATCAACCGTGCCCAACACCTCCAACTTCCCTTTCGGCCCATCTACCCGCTGCAAGCAATCACCGATATTTAGTACTCGACCCTTCTCGGCCATTCGGATAGCTCCCCACAGCTTCGCCATCTCTGAGCCGAGACCGTGGCCTCGGGCTTGGGCCCGAAGTAGCTGGGGTCATGCGAAGCCTGCCGTGCCTGACTGGCAGCTGCATCAGGCGAGCAGGGGTAGCCCGACTTGCCCTCCCCCAACTGCCGCACCAGGCCCTCGAAACCTAAGCCATCTTGGCCCTCGCTCGTGGCAAATTCAGGAACATTCTTCGCATCAGTCGCATCTGATAATCAGCAGCATTCTCAGTTCCCTTATTCTCGGTACGGATGCTCGTGCAGAGATTGCATTGAGATCTACCGTCGCAACCCGACAGATATGCGAGCAATCACTGTCGTATTCCAAGGTTCAGCTCTGCCGTGCCTGACAAGGTCTCCCCTTCATGAACATGAGCTGAAGTAAATGGTCTATCCGACGGATCTTCCATCCAGCCACCCGTTAACGTGGCGTGCGTGGTTCTCATGTGCCAGCTACGGCCACAGCCTGTTATCCACTTGATAGCATTGCCACCAGACGGGTATTCTTCTCCCGGTGGAAATGCTCGGCCAGGACTCCGGGGTGTATACGAACAGCATGGTGATTGCTCGGCCGTGGGAAAATAGAACACAGATTCCTCCCGCAGATTAATGATCAGGCTCGGATCTTCCGACCGAGCTGGCGTCGTCAACTCAGTCTGGCCATGACAGCTGAAACTGGGTTCCCACAAGGACCCATCCGTCGTCGACTACTCCCTCGATTTGGGACCGTGGTCCATGTCAAACCGCACCTCATCCCTGATGTTTCGTCCAGTAGACGGCACCCCGGTGCCCGACCCCTGAACATGACATGCCCTCACGGCCTTTTTTGGACTTGCTAGTAGCTCTCTAAATGCCATCTTAGCTACGTCCGAGTACTGTTCGGGCCTTTCAACAAGTTTTGCTTTTCTCTAGTTCTTCCTTTTTTTGCTTGTCTTTTTTTTTCGCATTAACTCCCTGCTGCTTGTCAACCAGGTTGACAGCAAAGTCGCTCCTTTTCCTTTTTCCTTTGCCTGGATTCTCTCGTTATTTCATGTTACCCCCGGCCGTCTTTCAACCATTTCCTTCCGTTGTCCTTGTCTTGACCCACATTGGCTATAATCCTGCCTGAGCAGGTGCAGAGCCTCATGCCTACATCGCGGTGATGTCCGGTAGTATGTCTTTCTCATCCGACAATCTTCTGCACTCGCCGTTTTGCGATACATTGATTGTCAGACTTGCTGATAAAAAGTCCATACAGTCGGTCAGGAACTCCCGTCTGAGGCTGTCGGGCCAGCGGTTGGCGTATCCATCTACAGCTGGATATGTCTGCTGCTGAGCTGCGCCCTGCTGTGGGCGACTGTTGCCCACCGGGAGTGGAAGAGTTGTGAGTCTGTTCCAGCTTCGACCAGTCATTCGAGCACTGAGCTAACATACTTGTCGAAGACGTGGCTTTTTTTGCCTTCTTCACTTCCCTCAGTACCACAGCTTCAATAGTCAGTATTTGCCAAGGCTTTTCTGTTGTCTACAGGTCTCGAAGTCGATTCTCAGGATGCTAGGGATTTTGAGACGCCATAACTGCCCACTTCTACTGATATTTGTTACACAACTGGGATCTTCCAACTGACAAATCCCAAGGCACAACAGCTACACACTTACCTCCGATGGACGTCCATCAAGCTCGATCAGTTTGAATACGTGAGCGAGCACGCCGGCAATCCCGAACTGTCAGTGGCTGGAGCTTCTGTTGGAATCGACCTGTCACTTTTCTATATTCGTCAGTTTCCTGGAAATTCGAGAGTTGCCGTTTCAGCCTACTGACCAGGCTTAGAATATTATTGTTACAATGTTGAATCGATCCTGGTCGTGTCATGGTAAGCTCCAGTTAAAACAGCTACTTTGATTTAAACAGTCTCTTACAAGGAAGTAGGTGTACAGAGCTGGCCTACTCTATTTACCATTTGAAAGCAACCGGATCAGCAACTCGATATGGAAGTTACATTGCCAAAGCTACGGCTGTTATTCTGCCCATTATCCAAGTGAGCCTAATGCGCACCGACGTAGTTCAAAGCTCAACGATTGGGTTCTACTTTGTTGCGAACTTCATTAGTGAGTCCGACCCAGCTAAGACATCTTGACGAGACCCGCGCGGCTGCTGATCGTTCAACGCAGTGGGTGTCAGTCTTGCACTCAGTACAATTCTCCTTCTAGCGATCCTCGCGAGATACGTTGCGACTCGAGCTGCGGTGTCCTGGGTACGTGTGTCCTGTGTTTCCCCCGGTACAGCATCTTCCTGGGCGTCTCAAGTAGTCGTCCGCTTCCTGAGGCATGATTTTCTTATCTTGCGGTGCATCAAGACTACGCGTCGAGGACGATTGGGCATATCCAATTACCGAGAGCGCTCCTGAATTAGTTCAGATTATAAGAGAGGGAGTCTTTGCTGACAGAACGAACCAGCATGTTGGGTACGCCGATCGCTCGACTGTTGATGGAGCCAATGCTGCAACAACTCAAAATACTGCCGGCACTTTTACGAGTAGTACTGGCGGGGTTCCACTGCAACAAAAGAGTATTTACGATAGCTGGCTGGTCACTCGCTTCACTCTTGCCTTCGCGGGTTTATCGTGAGTTTTGGATGTGCTGATCGATCCTGTCCATCCGTGAAATGCTGACGCCATGTTTACAGAGCATTTCAGTTTGTAATCATCGCACAAGAAGTTAGCTTTGCTCGGGACACCGGCGAAGCATCCTCGGGCTCTGTCGTCAATCTGAGCCATCAACGAGCAATTATTGACGTCGTGACCTTTCTTCCTGGAGTTTCCGGCAGTCTCCTCGCATTCATAGTGTTCGGCACCACGAAGTCGTTCCGAGACTACTTCTACCGCAAGTTAGTACCAAGAAGCATACGCAGACGATGGAGAAAGACAATCAGGAGCCCTCCCGTCGTCGCGATACCAACTCGATACCCTATTCCGGACACGCCGGGGCAATCGGAGTTCTACGAACTTGATGGTGGCGAGTCGGGCCTGGGTCCTAGGATCCGCGAAGTTGATAGCCGCTCACCCGGCGTCAGCTCCGTGGATTTCGCGGGAAAGGGACATGAGGACGAGTTGCCTATACTTCCAATTAGGCCGCATAGATGAAATGGCCTCCGAGCCAAGTCCTCGCGTGCTCAGACACCTGTAACCAAGTTTATATGACGTACTGAAGAAAATGGAAAAACTTGGAATATATTCCTGACTCGGACCGGAAAAGCCAATTCGGCTGCGCGAATTCCAGAATTTCTGGAATGCAGAAAACTTATTCAGTCAGTGTCTCCTGACGGTTGGTGATGACTACCAAGGGTGGAATCCGTCGAAGCGATTCGCCTGCTTGGCATCACCAGCCGGACCAGGTAGTCCTGGGATCGAGCGCGGCTCTTGCTGCCCAAGTCGCATTAGGGAGAAAAAGCAATGTGACAGAGCGGTAAAAGCAACTAGGCGAGACCTCGCAAGCACGACAACACTAAAACGACCTAGGCGCTGCGCTACCCGAGAAACTCCACCCAGAGACGACAGTTGTTCCCGGACGTTGAACATTCTTAGCTAGTAACCGTTTTCCGACTCTCAACCGATGCGGCCAGGAAGTAACCTCAACCACCATAGCGATGACGGTCCGAAGCCCTCCTCGCCAGGGATATCCGGCCTTTAGAAATTGTGATGATGCTAGTGTGACTTAGAGATCCATCGTTAGCACTACCCTCAGGCTCACGGGATCAGGAGGATTATTAAGGGACCAAGTCAATTATCAGCTCCCGTCCACTTTTCTTCTGTCAGTCCGATGTGACAGAGACATTTCTTGTGGTCATGTCTCAGAGAACAATCGGTCAGGTTCGGGCAGGGCCGAGACAAAGTACGGCCACGTTGTTGCGAACCTGTTGATTTCTTTGTTCCTCCCTACCCATCATCCCTCACATTGCTCATACACATCACATTGCGGCCCCCTTGTCACCACCAATCGCAAATAACGCTCACTTGAAAGTGGCTTGACGTCTACAACCAACGACATGCTCACTCTGCGGTGTTCACTTGGGACGTGTTGCGAGAACCCGCGAGACACATCGGTTATCAACTTCACCGTCACTGCGAGATAACATCAAACCCCCACCAAGAGATCCCAGAGAATGTGCACCGGCCTAGCTTACAAAATGATGTGTGGCCATTACCTCGTGCACTGGTCCTCCCGATGCCCAAGGAAATGCGTTCTCCCCGACCGGCGCAACTCGCTAGCCTGTACCTGTGCCCAGTGCGACCCGGAGTTCAACAGGTCGCAGATCCTGCTCAAATACAGCGCCGAAAGGGACAGGCTGATGGCCAGACTCCGAGCCGCGCTGCTCGAAGGACGTGTGCAGGACGCCAAGGCACTCGAGAGGCGGCTGCGCGACAAGCAGTCCAAGCAGATGCAGGACTTGGTCCGAGCCAGGGTTGGCGGCCTGGACCCGGCAGTCCCCGTGCGGTTTCCGGGGATGTATGAGCAGTTCGTCGAGGAGAACCTTGGGAGGCCAATCGATTGGGATCGGTTGTTGAGCAAATGAGAGTTCTGCCGTCATCTCTTTGCTTCGGGGTTGTTGGGAAAGCAGGTACCTGGGGAGTGGGGCTGCTCTCACCACGTCCCCGGATACTTCTTTGTGAGAGTCGAGGGGAGCCCGACCGGTGCCATCGAGTTGGCCAGCTCCATGACGCTTGGAAGAACTGGTCTCTTGTCAAGCTTATCATTAGGATCCGACTTGGCAGACGCAGAAGAAGTGGCCGCAGATGCCGGGGAAGAGATGTTCATGGCGTTTTTCCCCCTCGTGAAATCCTTCAGCCTGTTAGTCGCCAGCCTCCCGTGTCGTTTCTTGTCGGTTGTACAACGAATCAAAGGCAGCTGGATGATGGCCGCAAATGTGTCGACAACTTTCTGACGGGGCACATTGTGTCTCTCGGCAACCTCATCCCATGGGAATATCGCTTCGCACGTCTCAGCGATGTCGACGATGAGATTCGGCGAGTGCTTCTCCGGGGGCGAAGGAGTCGGCGGTCGAGATGTTGGAGCTGCTGGTGGAGCAGGGGAAGGGGCTACCGTCGAGTTTGGAGGTGTTGGTGGCAGTGGCTGAGACGGAGTACACTGGCCTTGGGTGAGCTGAGCACGTTCTGTCTGAGACATGGTGGCTGGCCCAGGTGACATGTTCAGCTGTGGAGTATGATTGATCTTGTGAGCAGGCACCCCTTGGACAGAGTCACTCGCGCCCATGTCTGCTACCGGAAACGCTCTCTGCACTGGAGGAGAATACGGGACTTGGGCTGAAACGTGTGCCATGCCGTATCCCATCGGAACTTGTCCGTGGTAGAGATGTTGTGGCCTCTGCAAATGGCCCTGAGATACATCAGGACTCACACCGAAACCAGAAGTCGAGAATGGCGCAGGCTGAATGTGAGCGGGATGGCTCAGATGAGAGACGTCAGGGCCATGCCAGCCATGGTGCATATGAGAGGCATTTCCAACAAAGGGGTAAATGCTTGTCTTATTGTGCAAAGCCTGTTGCCGCATTTGCTCGCACGCGAAACATGGTGGCTTCGGAGGAAGTGGCTGCACAGTTGCGCCAGCATAGCCATTGCTGTTGTTTGCATGTTGTTGCGATGGTGTTGGTTGTGTCCGAGGCATTGGCCCTGGCGGAGTTTGAGGAGCTATTTGAGCAGGCTGCCATACTTTCTGTGTTCTGGAAGGCTGCATGGTTTGCATCGACTCGGGCTTTCCTGCATCATGCGAAGGATACTGATGGCTGCTGTGGGTATGCTCTACGCCCACTTCCTGGCTACGTTGAGTGACCGGCTCGGAACACTGCGCTGGGTCTGCGGACGTTTCGGACATGTTCGGCATTTTCTTCTCGTCGTGGACAACAGCAGATGGCTCAGGAGCTGATGGCTGGATGTATGTTGGCATCATCGGCTGACTGGGCGCCATATGTAGATTCATCGGCGTCTGTTGGACTGGTATGCCAGATGTCATCCAAGATGGATCGAAAAACGCTGGGGATTTAGGATCGTTGATCTTTGATGGAGGAGTTAAGGTGACTCCGGGGCCTGGGTGGGTGTCAGCTTGGCCTGGAGGCGCCGTTTGCGGTAGTTGTTTTGGAGACAGCATGGGAGAGCTTCGAGAGGTCCGGCTCGTGATTCTGTCTTCAGGTGGAGGAAACACGTAGTTCTCCATACTGGGAAGTGATACTCCTCGGTTGAAGGTGCTTGCTTCATGCAGCGGTTGACTTGTTGGGAGGCTCGGGCCGATATTACTAGAGGTGTTGCTTGGATGAGAATCTCTAGGAAGAACCGCCCTAGATATGTCAGGCGGGTTGACAACACGGTGGGCCTCCGCTGGAGATTCTCTGCTGCCACGACACTTCTTTACAGGCTTGGAAGAGACAAACAGGACCTCCTCCTCCGGCTTTCTCTTGATCGGAAAGGAGGCAGTGCCATCCTTGCAAGCCATACCGGAGTCCACGTTGGGAATGGGAGCGCTCCTATGGCAATCCATGGTACCGCTGGGAGAAGTGTTGCGGAGCCAAGTATCCAAGATAAGCTACAGTAGTTGTAGGGACGGGGTCTTCAAGAAACAGTCAAATCTTCAGGATAAATGGATTGCAGAGACATGCTCAAGAGGTGGAATCAAGCCTTGGAATCAAGCCTTGAAAACAGACAGCCTCTTCATCATGTTCCTATCCATCCTCAAGCACTTGCGGGACTTCCCAACTGTAGCACACCTTGTGACCGGTCAAGCCATACCGTGTCCCTGTGTGGCCTTGAACTTGAAAGAGTCTGCGGGAGTTGATAAAGAGAAAACAGGCCTGGACAATGCGCACTTGTAGGTTTCTCCTTGTGTGTTCTGGGGATGTTTGAGGGGGCAAAAGGAAGCTCACCCAACAGACAATCATGGAGTGCACTTGCAAAGCCATAGGCTTGGTTTGTCTTTGGTTATGCTGATTCTTTCGCGTCAGGCTTCTTCTATAGGAAAAGGATCTGGGCCCGTGTTTTTCTCTGCAAACCTCCTGACGTGAAGCAGAGTTACCATGAATCGGGGCCAGCTGCGCATCACACTCCCTCAGTCTTCTATTCCCAGCAGAGTGTGAATGAAAAACTGGCTGCTCCCTTTACTAAGGGATCCCAGAGCGCGAGAATGGCTTCAAGCTCACGTCAAGAACACTAACACCAAATTGTGTTACACTGCCTATTCATGAGCTAGTTGTTTATTGTTTTTGTTCGGGGTGTTCACCCTTGAGGGGTAGGTTTTACTTGGGAAATCTGAGCTGATCCTCATCATGTGCGCATGAAACGAGTTATTTGCTGTGACGTTTTCGACGACCAAATTCTTCTCGTGAATTCACTGGATCGAAATGATCGCCTGCTGGTAGTGCTGTTGACTAGACTTTTCTTATTCAAAGATATGTGGAAGCTGCTGAGGTCAGGTACCTAAATGGTACATGTGGGGAGCTCGAGCTTGGGGTGGGGCCCCGTGTGCGGAATGGTGAGCTTAAGCTGCTGGTGGGGGCCTTGCGCTTTTCAGGCAGCAGTGGCAGTTTTAATCTAAAAACACGGGAAACAAATTTTCAGACACGCTCCCAACTCCCTCCCAAAACACCGCACGGACCCATCACCGCTCTGCCCCGCCCCCGCACAAGGCGCTAAGATGACCAAAGGCGATAAAGGCAATGCTCTGCAGGCCCTTTTTGGGTGCTGCCTTGGAGAATCAAGCCGTCCCGCCTCACCAGAGCCCCCTGCAGTACCTCTCAACCCGGCTCCCGCTCCAGCTCCAGCTGTCCCTGCGCCAGTTCCAGCCAACGGCGGAGCTCAAGTGCAAGCTCAAGAGGACATTGATATCGACGTCGTAATTGATGAGCGCGTCGCCATCAACCTGCACAACGTCCCTTTCCAAGCGCCCCCCAGCAGCCTCACTTACTACATCACCTTCCCTCCCCACCAGCGCCCAGCGTCTCAGCCTTCTGCTGCACAGTCAGAGCGTCGAACCACCCAGACTCGCGCCAGTTGTCGACCTTTGTCCGCTGCAGCCTTTTACGGCCCCCCACCCTCTCCTCCTCCTCCTGGACCTCTCCCTCCACTCCCGCCCCACGCCGGCCAGAGTCAGACGAGCAACTCGCAGCAGGCGAACACTTCACAGCAGAGAAGCAATTCGCAGCAGAACAGCAACTCGCAGCAAACGAGCTCGCAGCAGGCAGTCGACTTGCAGCAGACGAACGCCCCTCAGAACGGGGAGATCTCTCAGCAGACTGACAACTTGGAGCAGTTGCTCGACGAGTCGCAGCAGACTGGCACATCGCAATACAGCGACAACTCCCAGGAGACCAGCAGCTCGGTGCAGACCGAGGAGCTGTTGCGCATCAACAACTCGCAGCAGACCAGCAATTCACAGAAGCTGAGCAGCTCGGAGCAGACCGACTACTTGCAGCAGCTGAACAAGCAGTTCCACTCGCCCATCATGGAGTCTGCTATCCTACACCCGCTGCCCCTACTCAATATCGGCGACTATGTGACGAGGCACTTCTTGAGAGAGCAGCCGGGTCCTATTGTCGGCGCACTGTTCGGCCAGCAGAACGGCCGTGAGGTGACTGTGGAGCATGCTTACGAGGTGCAAATCCTTGTGAATGGAGACCAAGTGACCCTGGAGCCGGGTTGGTTTGAGACGCGTCTGGAGCAAAGTGAGTTTGACCTGAGCGCGTCTCCAGGATTGTTGACCGTACTGACCTACTTTAACAGTGAGAATCGTCCACAGGGATCGCACCCTCGATCTGGTGGGCTGGTTCACCTTGGCCCCCAGAAGCGGCCCAGGAAGCCACCTTATTCCAATCCACAACCAGATCCTCTCCTACAACGAATCGGCCATTCTGCTGGGCTTTCACAGTGAAGAGATCGGCGAGGAGTCTGTCGGCGGCAAGCTGCCCTACACCACCTACGAGACTGTCTACGAAGTCGACGATGGCGCCAAAGACACCAATGTTGAGGGTGAGGACAAAGAGATGAAAGATGGCGACTCGCAGCTGAAGCTCAAGTTCAAGGAGATTCCTTTCACTGTCGAAACGCACGAGGCGGAGATGATCAGCATGAGCTCCGTCGCTGGAGCCGCTGCTAACGCTGCCTCGGAGCGAGTTCAGGAGGAGCTTCTGAAGCTCGACGTCAAAGGCAAAGGAAAAGGCAAGGGAAAGCAGGCTGCCAAGGAGGACGACAATGTCGACCCTGAGAATGCGGCTTTGTCCAGAGAGGACCAGGAGATGATAGCGGCCCTCACCACCAAGGCGAACGCCATCAAGATGCTGAAAGCCCGGATCGACCTCATCACCAAGTACCTGCAGCGGCTTCCTCCTCCGTACATTGAGGAGATCAACTCCGAGGTCACCGACGGTGACTACACCGAGCCCTCCCAGTCTTTGCTACGCCTCGTGCAGGCTCTCGTCCACCGCTTGAGTATTGTCGAGCCGTCTGATGCCGAGACCTTCAAGGAAGAGCTTCTGAGTGAGGAGAATGACGTCAATACGATCGAGCTCCTGAATGAGCTCATGAACCGCGTCGGTGATACCAGAGACATTGGCAAGAAGTTCCACGTCATTGAGACTGAGAAAGCTCACAACAGCCAGCGTGCGGCGACCTACGCGTCTCAGGGAACTGCCTATGGCCACTCTCAGCCAAGCAAGGGTGGCCGTCCTGGTTCCTTGCCTTCGGCCGGCGACTTGATGTAGGAGGCTCTTCTTCTCATACTTTTCGCATGACACTCTATGAGCAGGGCTGGCGTTGGAAAGGCGATTGGCATTGTGGCATTTACAAGAAGCACGGAACAGCACGGCGTTTTTAAGGCCCCGGAAAAGGGTATGGTCATATCTCGATAGACCTTGTGTTATGAGTCCTTTGCCGTGAAGGACAATTCGAGAGCAGGTTCTATTGCTCAGGCCGGCTGAGGGGCCCTGAGAGACCGATAGTCGCCATCACGACTTTGCCAACCTCGATCACATGACTTGGCTGAGGAGTCTCGCAGACTGGCTGTATGGTGGTCGACTCTGACTCAGTCCAATTTGGTCTCTCGCCGGCACATATGGAAATCAATCATTGCTCTTTTGGTCATTCTGATGGGTTAATAACGATGTTAGAGTAAATTGCCCATAACATTTCCTACATAGGAAAGACAGAAAAATCACGAATCTTCTCATCTAAACTCCGGCTTTGTGAGCGTGACTCTGACGAAGTGAGGCCAGATGATGAAATAGGTAGCTGTCGGCAGCCAGCGGCCAGGATTGTCCACCTTGAGCAAGACGTTGCCGTCCTATGGCCATACTCAGCAGTGTACAACTCGACAGTGTATGTCCCATCGAATCTGCCCCGTGGCTCTCATGGTATTAAATACAGAAGCGATCAAAATGTGAAAAGCCCTCTGTGTGGCTGTTGCTCCGAGTACTGTACTCTGACTCAGTTATAGAACCAGGGTAGGTCTGGCTCAGCAGACATTGCCACTTAGCATCACTCATTATTGGAATACGGTGGACGCCGATGTGTGTAGACGCGAATGAGCTATGTGGCCATACAGACAGAAGACAGTCTGGTCATGCATCCTATTCTGTTTCTGTTCAAGCTAAGTATCTATCATTCTGACTTTGTGCATCTAGCTTCATTACTGGTCCAAATCACTACTCAGGTGTATAGAAAATACGGATGGTCTAAAATCTAAGCGAACGCTGCTAGAAGATTCCTAGGGGGTAGAAAGCCAGGTCCTGTTCGTCATTCGTGCCAGATAACAGCGGCCGTGACCAGAATTAAGCCTGTGTTGGAAGCCGACATGAAGAGGAAACAACAAATGAGACGCCGAGTAGAAGAATGAGATCACGCCTCAATCACAACCTTAAGGACCATCCTGCCCTCGTCATCGATCGTCCGCCCCGCAAGCTCGAAGGCTTGCTTCGCATTTTCCAACCCTTTAAAGCGGTGCGTGACCATATCATCAAGACTGGGTAGCCCAAAGGCCCCGCCTTGCTTCTGGGCGCAGAGCAACCGAATTCCCACGGCGTATGTGTTCACGTAGCGGAAGATGCCAAGAATGTCCACCTCCCGCAGGTGTGCCACAGACATGGGGAGCGTCTGGATCGGCGTCCCCATGCCGACCATAATCACCTTGCCCCCAGGCCTCGTCGCGTAGAGGGACGTGTGCATGCACACCTCTTTCCCCGTGCACTCGAATGTGAAATCAAAGCCGTCGTCCTCGTCCTCGTCCACCAGCAAGGCTGATGGCGAGGTCTTGGAAGCAGCGATGATGTCCGCCGCGGTTGCCTTGGCGCCCTCTAGCTTGCTGTCCAGCGTCGAGAAGATGCTGCTGGCGGGCGTCATCGCGCCGTCCGCGCCAGGGGTTGATATGCCGGAGACCGAGGAGCTGCTGGATGACATGTGCAGCGGCCGGGGCACGACGTAGCCGTGGGTTGCGAAACCCTTTTTAAGTGCGTAGTCGACACGGCCCTGGTCCACGTCACAGACTGTGACTGTCGTGCAACCTGACTGCCGGGCCATGGCTGCCGTCAAGAGGCCGACTGTCCCGGCGCCAAGAACCAGGGCTGTGGAACCAGCCTCAGGTCGCGCGCGGTTTCCGACAGCATGTATGGCGACGGAAAGTGGCTCAAGAAGAGCGGCTGCATCGAAGGAGACGTTGTCAGGGAGCCTTTGCGTACCAAGTTAGAAGCTGATGCCTCACATTCCCGGCTGCGTGGTACTTACTTGTGACACCACACCGCTGGGTGGTTTATCCTATCCTGAAGCGTACCCTGGAAGTGGGGGAAAGACTTCGCGCTGCTTCTGAATCTCATCTTCTTGCAAAGGTTATATCGCCCCTTGCGGCATATGCTACATTGCCCACAGGGCACACCAACCTCCAGAGCGACACGGTCACCGACCGCAAAGCCACTCACCTGAGGTCCAATGGCCACTACGACTCCAGAGGACTCATGCCCGAGCGAAAGTGGCTGGCAGGCGCAGAGATCACCATTCGCGAATTTCTTGTAATAAGACACATCCGAGCCGCATATACCAGTGGAGCGCAAGGCTACTTGAACTTCGCCCAGTGCGGGCTCATTCAGGGTCCTGCATTCCTGTACGTTTTTAGTCAGCGGCTCTGTCGTTGGAAAAAGGTACGCGGCTCTGCTGTCAGCCCGCAAGCTCCGTTTCCCGGATTAGGTAGTTTGCGAGATCTTGTGTAACAGTCAGACTGTCAAGATGGCAGCCCGAACCAAAGAATCGAGTGAAGCAACGCCAACTCACCAATCGCAAGTCCCTTGGACCATGTAAGACGGATGCACTGATCTTTGAGGCTTTAGTATGGGGTAGCTGCATTGGCTCCATCTCATCTTGAACCATGGCGGACGGCGCCATGCTTCAAACGTGGGATGAGTGTGGGATGGGAGGGTGGTTTCGTGGCGTGTATTGGTGGATTGGCCAGGAGGCGGACCCGGGACAGAGGGACAATTCGTGGGGGCAAATCTCGCCTGGGCCAGGCAATTGGGGAAGTAGATGTGAGTGGTACTTGTTTGAAATGCAGGTAATATTTTTTTCGGACAAGAGCGCAGGATATCTGATGGCGCGATGAAAGATGAAGAGAGGAAGGAGGGAGTCGGTGTCCTGAAGGAGGAATGCCATTTATCTCTGCGTCACGCACTTCAAAATACGCCACGTCCGAGTACATATGACAAGGCCGAGGGTACCATACGTTCTTGAGGTGCTCATTTTGGGATTTTCGTCCCGGTGAGCCACAAGTCTTCCGAGCTCTGGTTGATGTGGACTGGCACGCACCATGTTGCATGGTACAGATGTTGCCATTCCTGCTATTCGAGGGACAGGGTAGGAAAGGTTGAGGGGCAGCGAAGGTCGTCTGTCCACTTGAAGGCAAGGCAGGGGGGCCAGACAACGACCGGATGAACTTCTGCTGGTTGATTCAGAGGCATGCCTTAGAGCAGCGTTAGACACTCCAGGAGCCCGCCAGTCATCTCTCGACGACTTATCAGACCGTCGACGGAGCTTGATGCTGCGGAGGCAAGGATAATCGCTTGTATCCGAGCCTATTTAGCAGAGGTAGACATCTCCTGCTTGGATGCTGGCCCCGGTCAAGCATAAGTTTGGCTCTCTTCACTCCGTCCACTGGACCAGGTTTAGCGAAAGCAGAGAATGCATGGGTCTCTGCAGCGAGAATGCATGTTGGGCTTCGGCACACTTGCATAAGTGTTGGGATAGCCATGCACTGCATGTACCATGATAATCGATGGTATGATGAATAGAACGATGGAGTCCCAATGGAGGAGTCCACGAAAGCTCATGGATTGTGACATGAATTTGCAGCACACGAGATGAAAGATCAGACTGGCCGTGTAACTCCTTGAGTTCAAGGTCAACAACCGGGAGAGGTTCTTATGAATCTCGGGGGGGGGGGGTGTTCAGTGTCCAGGGTTTTTCGTAGCCGACAGAGTTATAGACCTGTATTGCCAGGTAATAGTTGCCAACCAAAAAGGGAGAGACGAGGTAAAAATGATGGTGCGACCACGATGTTTTTCCCGCCGGGATGAGGCGATCCCATGTGACGAGGCCACTTCGACAATGAAGTGGAGGGGGTAGGCTTCTAGCTCGTCACGAAGAGAGCGCCAGGCCTGGGCCCTGGGTTACAAGATTCTGTAGCCTTTGTGTCACAACATTTGTGCCGAAATCTGGATGAATCTTATCTCGATAATGCCTCTCCTTCAATCACAAGGTCGCCCTTTGATCCACAAAGGCTGTTGTGGCAACCAATTCGGTCGGGAAGACTGAGTGTGTGTGTATGGTTTGCCATGATACCTCGGTCTGGGCGGCCCAGGCGGGTCAGATGTGGCCGCGGCGAAGATATCTGAGCGAGGACTTTGGATGAGCGGTACCTTGCTTCCCCAAGCAAGCAGCTTCTGATGGCAAGCGTCAGGGGTGCGTGAACGCAAAAGTCATGGTGCCATGCTCTTCGGTGTCTTGTATTGCATACCGATTGCTAAAGTGCGGCTGCACTTGGGACCAGCCGAAGCACTGCCGGGGCTTGCAGAAACTAACGCGGTTGTTCGGTGTAACCAAGACAGCCCAGATGACAGCCAAGGCGAACGTCAAGCAATTGTAACGATTTCCTGAACCGGGTGCCAATGCCTTTTCTGATTGGGGAAAGCCCGTGATGTGCAGGCAAGGAACGTGCCCTCAGGTAGCGATCCAGGCAAAAGGGGCGAGAAAGGCGAGACACTTGTACGGTTAAAAGGCTTTCGCATGTTGCGAGATGTTTCCAAGATGTGATGTCCTAAACTAATTTTGCCGAAGTCTCAGGGTCTGCACATCGCCCGCATGGATGGGTATGGGTCAGCCCTGTAAGAGATTGGAGACTTCAACGGCCGGATGCAAGTCGTTCGCCCCGTACCGAGGATTGGTCAAGTGTAGAGCGGTCAAAAGGAACAAGGCTGGAGTTGGTTTTTTCTTTTTCTTTTTTGGGGAGCGCCGGCACGTGCAATCGGTATTGGCAGGCAGCGCAATATCTCGAAGCGCCGGTCACAAGTGAGAGATCGACGTCGAAAATGATAGCAAATCTGCAACTGCATCTGCCAAAGCCATCGAGCCGTGCGACACTCCAGCTTCCAGGAACGTATTGAGCACCTTGTTGGAGAGGGGCAGCACTGCTCCGCCCAATCCTATCTTGAGATTGATCGGCACAGGCTTGTGACAGCGGCGTCACTGGCGACGTGGACAAAGTTGCTTGTTTGCCATATCGGATTTGCCGCGAGCTGCTGCTTGACGCATGCACGCACAACGGCCGGTGTCAACTCAGCATATCGTGGATTCAGTGGACTGCATCGACTGCATTCTGAACCACCAGCCGCCACAAGCCGGGGGAAAACTGGATCTGCAGGACGGGAATGTCCAGCCTGAAGCAAAGCGGCGCGACTTGCCGGTGGACCGTCGGTGAGCCGTTTGCGCAGCCTCAACTTGATACAGGATGTGCAGATTGCAGCGATCCAAGGACTATTGAACCAAGGCTGGCAGCGCTTCCTTTAGTGATAGCGCGGCAAGTGATGGCGGCAACCACAATAACGGCGGGATTGGGGATCATTGGATGGGCTATGTAGTATGCTGATGCAAGCCCATCACCGGGGATTCGGATCATGCCTCGAGGTGGACAAGTCATTATCGCGTAAAACCAACAGCGATCGAAGACGTATGTGCAGTCGATTAGTGACTCAGTACTGGTACCTGCCCAGCGAACCGAGCGAAGTCTGGTTGACCCTCCTCCGTTGTAGATGCAGAAATGATAGTCGATCGGCTCAATTGTAAGTGGTGCAATCCCGAACTGCGCCGGCAGCATCCGTAGCATTCGCTCGTGGAGGCTGCAGAAGGTCGCTTCACGCCTGCAGCTTTGGCGTCACCGCAGGATCCAACCGACAACAGTAAGGCCAGAGGCCGAGAAAAGGGACGAACGGTGAGATGACTACGACAGCAGTCTGTCGAAACTTGCCTAGAAGGGCCGCCATGCTGCTCGTATCACAAAGGTAGCCAGTAAACTACGTGGGATTCGCCAAGCTATGCAAGCATGGTATCGATGGCCGAGAGAGCACACGCAGTGCATTGAGCCGCGGTCGCATGGATAACTTCGGTTATGTTTCCGAAACGATGGCTTCCTGTGCTGAGGCCGCGTTGTCGAGCTACCATCACCATCGTGTGGACGAAATCAGAAGAGGATGTGCAAGAGTGTGTTCATACATCACCGAGCATTGACGGTTGCTCACCAGAATGATGCCTGTCTCTAATGCACCAAAACTCGGCCAAGGAAGTGGTATGGTGCCGTGGCACATAATGTCATAATGCCGGCTGCGATGATATGTACGTGTACGACGTTGCTGAACCCTTGTTGATTTCCCTATGCCCTCCTTGGGGATCATGACCTATTTGGGACTGGAGGAGCAGGACGCTTCGAGCACCCGCAGCTGTCATCATACAGATGTTATATGCACCGCACTACTTCAAGGCGATTCCAGATAAGAAACATATGTGTGCCTTTTCTTGCATGCGTTATACTCATGTAGACAGGCAGAATCATGACTCCACAACGGATGGGTTAATTCCAGTAGGCAAGTGGGTCCCTAAGAAGCGTTCCCGGATCATGCAGCACGGTTTCAGTCGCTTGATGACCTGGTTATGTCGCCCCTCCGTGTTCCTAAAGCCTTCTTCGAACATAGTTTCTGGGGAGTGCAGGGTTGCGGTAAAGGATGAGATGTGGGTTCACATACAATAATTACAACAACCTGGTAACCGATGCTTCTGAGTGTGCCCTAGGAATGCGTGCGGATTCGCGGCTTAGACCTTTGGAACTGCATGCGAGTAAGCTTCTTGACATGCGGACCTTAGAAGGTGCTCGTAGCCAGCCGGCTCGCCGCGTTGCGGGCATCCACTCTGTCTTCGTCATCCTCGTCATTCTGTTCGGCTAAGCCGCCGGCCGGAGATTTCGCACTCTCCTCCTCACCGTCTCCCTCCTCAGCGACGTTGGACATAAAGCTGGCGGATACGCTCCTTCCCATTGGGTCGCCAGTTCGTCGCGGTACGCCGCTCCATGCATCCCCCTTCGGACCCTGGCTTGAAGCCATGCTGGTTCGACGCACTACCGGGTGTGCTTCACGACCCAGCCTACTCAAACCACCAGACGCGTCAATGGCACGTACGTCAGGTCGTACGTTTTCGAGCATGGCCAAAGTCCTGCGCTCGGCCTCAATCTCCTTGCAGACAAACTCGCGGATGCTGGCACGCAGGTCGGCGGCGGTTCTCGTGAACCACCTGTGGCGTTCTTGAACCAAGTTCTGTGTCACACGCCTGGTCTTTTGATAAAGATAGGCCTCATTCTGTTTCGCGTCCTCTAACAGGGAGATTGCTTCGTCTACCTTTTCCCGGCGGACATTCGAGCTGGCCTTCAGACGATCCGCGGCATTGAGCTTGCTGCGTGTATTCTCTTGCGCCTGCAGGAACTCGCGAATGAGAAGTTGGCGGTTCGTCAAGGTTTCCTTGACGATGAAGGCGTCCGAAGAGTGATACTGCAGGGGATCCCCGATGGTGAACGCCTCTGCAGTAGCCTGTGCTTGCTGCGAGTCACCGACCGTCTGAACGATTTTCCCAAGTTTGCGATATGCGTTGGCCAGGCCCTGGTGTGGTTCCTGTACATGCATACTTCCAAGCCTGACACCAAACTCGGATTGTCCAAGACCGAGCCCTGCTTTAAGTCAGCACACGCACTTGACCACTATGCCATTGGTTTTTGACTCACCACGACGGGATTTAACCAGCCTGTCGACCTTGTGGCCCGCATCCATGGATCCCAGGTAAAATAGTTTCACTATTGGCCGAGCCTCGGACAGATCAGGAGTGTCATCTGGAGGTGGCGCGAACTGCTTCAACAGTTTGCGTCGCACACCAGTGGCAGGCTGCTTTTTCTTTACCATCGGGCTGTAGCCAAAGTCACTTTCAACAAAGAGAACCATCTCGTCGTCCCTCGCGAGTACCTCGTTACTGCAGACATAGTTGAACCATCGTTGCATGAGTGCTTTAACCCTGATCTCGTCCTCGTCCGTCCCAGCGCCGGCAGATGTCAGAGGTGGTGGGACAGCCGGAACGATCGCTTCGGGATTCGCAGATATAAGGTACTCGGCAAGCTTAACAAACTCTGAGTGCAGGCGTCTGACATCTCGGAATTGGGTTGTTCGGAACTTTGGGAGGTTGGTCTACGACAGTTAGCATTTAATCGCACACGTTCGCCTGCGGGTAATAGGAAGACTTACGTGAACGTCGAATCTTAGAATAGGGTCTTTTCGCGCGGCGCGTTCGAGGCCAGTGATCTTGGCTTGGAGCTTGTACAACGGCTGCGTAGGCTTCCGAATCTGAGGCTGCTCCTGACTAGCACGCGCAGTATCCCCAGACAGCCGATTGGGATCATTTGGCTGCGAAGGAGAGGTATTTGCATGCTGCTGTCCGAACGCTGCCTCCCCGGATGCTGTGTCTGTTGGGGGCGCTTGTGTGTCACTGTCAGAAATGGTGCTGCCGGTAGCTGGTCTGCCGAAACCATGGTCTGATGGCCCAAAGCCCTCCTCTTCTTCGTGATCTGCGGCGAAACCGTTGCTTGGGACGCCTGAGTCAAAATGGGGTGGCGACGCTGGGGGTTCGCCGGCTACATCGCCAAAGGTTGTTCGGTGGGCGTGAGGGGAGGGCGCTGGGGAATTGCCCCAGGGCGAAGCGCCTGTCGGATGATCGGCATCGTGAACGGAGGCGCTGTAATCCATGAGAGGCGCACTTGAGAAGGGAAATGTAGACAGAAAGCTCGGGTGCGGATGACGTTGCTGGTCGGCACGTGTTGGGGTGGGAGGAGAGGAGGGGGGATCCTGAGAGGCCCGGCGATGCGATCACGCTGATGGAGCGCGGATTGGATATCGTAGGGTTGCTGTCCTGACGGGGGCCGATGCGGTGAGCCACATACAGAAGAGAATCACAGGCTCCCAAGAGGCTCGAAGGGGATGACGACGAAGACCTCGGACTGTAAGTAAGCTTGAAGTCGATGGAATGGGCTGCACCTCCCTAAGCTGTACCAATAGGCAGGAAGTGGTACAGTCTAGCTAGTAGCCTTGGTGAGCGCCCAATCAAGGTCCGAGTGGGTCCCCAAAGAACAGGCAGGGGGGGGGGGGGTGCAGATACGGAAAGTTGATGGCCGGGTCACACATAGCCAGCCATGAAGACAACTTTTTGGCCTTCTCCCAGCAACAGAAATGTTGGTATCATTCTCGTGGACCGTTTGTCCACATTCAAAGTGCCGAGGAGCCGAATGAGCCGCAATGCCCATGCCGGCGTGCCTTCTACCAGGCCGCAGAGCTCCGTCAAAAAGCCTTGCTGGCCTGCTCAGCCACGCATTGATACCTCGACTTGGCTCTGTACAATATCGGTTCTGCCTTCAACGCTCTGCGCAGAGATGGGCACATTTGGCAGCTCACCATGAGGCTGCGGTTGAAAACATCCGAAACATAGGCATCATTGCTCATGTCGATGCCGTAGGTGGTCCCAAGTTCTGACAGAATCTATTCCAAATTTTGGGTGTTGTGGGCTGACTCTATGCCCAGGGGAAAACTACCACAACGGAGCGTATGCTCTATTATAGCGGCAATACACGGCATTTAGGAAGTAAGACTTATACAGGATCTCTCGCTTTTCTATCCCACGTGCTGATGTACATATCCGCCAGATGTCGACCATGGCGACACAGTCACGGATTTCCTTCCCATGGAGAGAGAAAGGGGCATCACAATCCAGTCTGCTGCCATCTCGTTCAACTGGCCTCGGGCTGAAGACTGCGGTCCAGGCCATCACGCTAAAACTATCAATTTGATAGACACACCTGGACATCAGGATTTTCAATTTGAGGTTCTTCGGTGCATGCCTGTGCTTGATGGCGCCGTATGCGTCATGGACTCGGTCAAAGGCGTCGAAGCTCATACTGAACGAGTCTGGGCCGCAGCGCATCAGTACCAGATCCCAAGGCTCATCTTTGTCAACAAGCTCGACCGGGATGGCGCTTCCTTCAAAAAATCGGTTTTGGATATTGCCTCAAAGCTGAAAGCTTGGCCCTTGGTCTGTCAGATTCCATGGTGGGTCGGTGACGATTTTGTCGGCGTAATCGATGTCATCAAGCGCGTGGGTTATAAATGGTCGGCCGGGGGATCGAAGAAGTTTTATAACCGCGATGCCCTTCGAAGTGCACTAGGGTCGGAAAACCCATCTCTTAACAAAGAGGTTGAACTTGCGCGGGAACAGCTCATCGAGAGACTGTGTGAAGTTGATGATGATCTTACGATGGTGTTCGCCGAGCACGGAGCCGACCTTTCTAATGAGGCTGTCAAGCTAAGCATCCGCCGTGCTATTAGTAATGGCAATGGCAGCGTTGTGCCGGTATTTGCTGGGGCCAGTTTGAGGAATATCGGGGTCGAACCTCTGCTGGATGCTGTCGTCGACTATCTACCCAACCCTCATGAACGACCCCCTATAGAGGTCACAACTGCGCAGGGGACACGCAGATTAGAGGAGCTGATCGCAAAGGAGACGACAAGGTTGAAACAGAAAGGTGCCAACGTTGCTGTAGCTTCCGTTTTTAAGGTTGTCAGCGATGTTCACCGAGGAATGTTGAGTTTTGTTCGTGTGTATCACGGCGTACTCCAGCGCAATGCTGCTATGTGGAATTCAAGCCAGCGTATTGCTGAGAAGCCACTAGCAATGATGCAAATTCTGGCAGACAAGCACAACGATATTCCGCATCTCAAGGTCGGGGCCATTGGTGCCCTTGCAGGCCTAAAAAAGGCCCGCACCGGAGATACCATCATCATCTCCCCTGAGAAGGCGACTGAGACTCTTATTAAGAGCATGCAGATCCGGCCCGCAACGATTCCTCCAGCTGTCACCTTTATCTCAATTGAGCCATTCTCTGCTACAAACGAGGAAACGCTGAAGAACGCACTGACAGATGCGTCAAGAGAGGACCCCAGTCTTCGATGGACCAAAGACGAAAAGGCTGGCATATATATCCTTTCCGGAATGGGTCTATTGCACCTAGAGGTTGCGATTGATAACCTGAAGAAGTCCAAAGTCGATGCTCTGTTTGGCACTATACAAGTGGATTACAAAGAGTGTATCACATCGCAATCACGGCCGGAGCAATATACCATTGATCGTGCCGTGGCAGGAAAGACAGGAAAGGCAGCCTGTACGGCTTTTGTTGAGCCCGTCGACACGGAACAACGGACAGAATCGTGGCGTGACCGCGCCACTCGCCTCGGCTTCACTGACCTCGAGACCGAGGATGAGTTTCACCACTCGAGCTACGAGCGAGATGGCAATATCATTAATATCAACATCATACGACCGGTTCATGATCCAAAGTTGTTTGATGTTGACACCGTCTGTCACAATCTCCAAAATGGAGCCGTCGCAGCTTTGTACAGAGGTCCGAGGAAAGGCTACCCTCTACACGGCTGCAGTATCGAAATAGTGGTGGACTGCGCCCAAGACTTCTTTGGCGGAGCCTCCCCTGCTCATTACCAACAAGCGAGTTCTCACGCCGTCCGCAACGCGTTCAAGAACGCCCACGACATGCAGAAGATAGGACTGCTGGAGCCAGTGATGAAGGTTGAAATCGTCTGCCCTGAAGCGGCGGCGGCGCAAGTGAGGCACGACCTGTCCTCGAGGCACGGAGGGCAAGTCATGGAGACAGAAGACCTGAATGAAGCGGCTTCGGGTGAAGGGGAAATCGATCTTGAGCAGGTCTACGCGCCACCAGACCCGTATGAATCTGTCTCCACTTTGCGTGCGCACAAGAAGGGGGCAACGAGGATGCTCAAGCTGAAGGCAAGAGTGCCACTCAGAGATATGTTGAACTATGATCAGCATCTGAGGAGCCTAACGGAGGGTCGGCACAGCATCCAAATGGAGCTGGATAAGTTTGAGAGGGTCACTGCAAACAGAGAGAAACTCCTATAGCAGGTCGTTCGTCATAGTTCACCGGACCACTTTCATGTACACCTATGGAGCCGATATTGTATGACTATAGTGTTTCAACTGGATCAAATGAGCATTTCTTTGCCCACCTCTGGATATTCTCTTCAGCATACGTGTCTGCGTCCACCAAGTTGCATGATATTGCTTCCTGACTTCGCGTTGCTTTTCCAGGGACTGACTGTGCGCGTTTTCAAGTCTTGTGAAGCCCGGTGGCCGCCTGAGCCATAGCGTTAGGCAAGCTCTGAGAGTGGGGCATCCCGCCCTTTCAGCCCCCAAAACACAGCACGCCCAGGAGGGACTGTACCTCCAGCAACTAGACTATTGCAGGTGGGTGCTACCCAGGGAGTCTGGCATCTCGGACAACCTCGCGAGCAACTTTCCATTCTGTTGGAGGCTGGCTGCTCCAGCGTTTTCTTTCAATCTCACGTTCGTCTCACTTCCAACCCCGCCTCCGTCAACACCTACAATCGGCTGCAGGTTGACCAAAAGTGACTGCCCGGAATTGTTTCGCCAACCCCAAGTGATTTCATGACGGCCACCCAGTCGAGAGGCAACTCTTTAGGCGGTGTTGGGATACCCCTTTGTGGCTGTTGGATTCCATCTGAGTATCGTTACTCGAGCATTTTTTTGAGAAAATGGCACACATGACGAACCCGCTGGCAACTGCCGAGCAATTGTACCAGCGCAACAATCTCAGCTCTCTCCCAAATGACTTGCAAGATGTCATACTTTATGTGACTCAATCTCTGACACAGGCCGCGGGTGTCCTTCTCCAATTGCCTCAGTCTGCCACGGCACAAGCGAACGTGATTCTTGCCAGATATTGGCTGGCAGAGTCTCGGCCTCTTCTCACAACTGAGTTCAGTGTAAGTCCTGCCCATCTTTCAACTCTGGCCAAACCGCTCTGCTCACTTTGGCACGAAGGATGTCTCAGCCGCCTGTGTATTCCTTGCTTCCAAGCTCGGCTCTCGTGCTCGCTCACCGCGGGACATCTCAAATGTCTACGCATACCTGCTGTCCAACAGCTCGTCCTTCATGAGGAGCAAGGGCACCCAGCCGCCTGTAGAAGATCCCTCGTCTTACTACCTGAGCGATGCGGACTACTTTGCCTTTCACAACCGTGTTCTAGCACTGGAGGCGCGGATTCTTTACACTCTGTCCTTTGACACGCACGTGGCTCTGCCTCATCCCCTGGCCGTCACGTATCTCCAAACTTTGGATTTCTGCAACCAGCCAAAGGAGAGAATATCGAGGCGAACGATCGAGTATCTCAATACAGCACTGCTCTCTCCGCAACTTCTCTACTTGACACACCAGCCGAACATGCTGGCAGTCGCGGCCATCTACAACGCCGCCAAGGACGTTGGAGCAAAGATGCCAGAGTGTGAGTGGTGGGAAGTCTTTGATGTCGAGCGAGAGGAGCTCGGATTCCTCGTGGTTGCCATGCGCAGCCTCGAGGGGTGGGTGAACAAGCAGCGGGAGGAGCTTCCGTGGATGGCAGACGGAATGGTCACACGCAAGGCAGTGCAGACAGAGCTGCTGACAAGAGGTATTCACAATGGCAATGGCGGCCAGGTTGAGGATGAGGAGGCAGCGATGATGATACAGATGGACAGAACGATGGACCAGGCAGATTCTCGGTCCTGAAGTTTTAGGTCATGCGCACTGCTCGGGGACAGGCAAGACATGTCGATTCGGCTCTTGCTTGCTGGTCATGATCCCGCACCGGTACCGCTGGGAGCCTGGCGGATACACGCCACTCGTACCCGACAGCTTAATCTACTCCATCGGAAGCCGCGTTACAGGCCGTTGTGCCTGGTGCACGGGTCTTATGGCCTGTCACTGGTTGTCACACGGTCCTCGGTTACAACGTGAGGGCTGTCGTTGTTCGGACCAATACCATCCTCGTCCTCCGCCAGGCATCACGGACTTCCTCTCTCCCGACTCTTGCTCAACACTTATGGCTGAGCTCACAATTCTTCAGGCGATGCTTCACATGGCCATCCAGAAATATTGGGGGAATTAATACTACAGTGCCGTTTGGCGACGCAGCTCACCCTGTCACAAGCTTCGCCCAAGAATAGCAACCCACTCGTACCGGAACTCGTACCGGGACTCCCCACCTCCCTTTACGATTGCGAATACGAGAGAGAAACGTGCTGTCCGGATGAGTAGATAACTTGGCCATGTTCGTTAGGAAATCGTTGTTCACAGTTGATGAAAAGGGAATTGAGCAAAGTAGTGGATGTAGAGTGACAGCGGAGCAGTAGGGTCGGGAGGTTATAGCGCCGGCGGTCATCTCGGAACTTTCGGGTGAAGGAATGTATTTTGTGCCTACAGCTATTTGCCTCTACATAGCTCAACCACAGCGAGTAATTCTGATTGTTCAACAGATTGCCCGGGTGTGCATGTCGATCACTGTTTGCGCGTGGCACATCCACGGCCCATCTCATCGAAGCATCCACCTCTAGGGCAGAAGCACGTTGCGGGATCTTGAATATGATGTACTTCTTGGCGCAGGCCAAACGCATCTACGGTATCTCCAGGGCCATGGTTACACGAGAAACTGCTACTGGTATAGTGACGTAGGAGCGCCATGCATGTCAAAGCAGCACTGACACACAGAAACACCCGGCCGGTTCGGATGGTGGGCGCACGAGATGGCCCCGAGCCCGAAACACAGTAAAGCAGAGTTATTCAAATAGGCCATCAAGCTGCATGCCGGGATGAACCCTCAGAGCACGTCCACGCGTCGTCTTGGAGGGCTTTTCAAGGCATGATGGAAGGGGGCAGGGCAAAGCTCACACCTCGGACTGCCGGGGAATTCAGTAGTCTATCAACACTACAGATACCTACCGGCTGTGCAATTTGTGCTATGAAAGGCATGTACCTATGTAGTCTATGTATCCGGACAGAGGTTCAGGAGGCTTTCGGGCTCTCAGCGCACAGACAATCCCGCAAGCATGAGCTCATGAGCTCATAGGGGTACGTTGTGGGCCAGCATATCTCGGTACCGCGTACCGGCGCCAAGCATTCGAATTCGGATGTTCGCTGCTCACTTTCCCATCTTTATTCATCCTCCTGACTTTCACGTCTCACCGGCTCCCTCAGACATCTACGGCCAGGAGGATCGGCATGCTCAGCCTGTCAGACGAATTCACGCCGACAAGATGACCGCCCTCTGTGCTTCCTAACAACGACTCCGCTGTGCCCGTCCAGCCGCACCACCTTTGTGCACACGCACGCGACCTATCCTCCCTCGCTCCGATACCGTTAACCTCGATCTGGCCCTCGATCACTCTTGGCCACTGCTACTAGCATCGAGCTCCGATTCCCTAACGAGCAGACCCGGGCCTCTCCTCGATCATGCCGGTTGTCCCTACCCAATAACGGCGATCCCTTGTCTGTCATCAACCTGCTCCCTCCGCTGAACCGCCATCATGCTGCTGCTTCATCAGACCGGCAGCCTGAAAATCGGGGAGACGGTTCGATATACAGTCACCTATACACCATCGCAAGATCGCATCTTGCCCTCTCCCGAGTGCCTATATCTGCGCATTAGAAATAGCTCCGCCATCGCACTCCGCGCTGCGTTCGTACATGGCCCATACAACCTCTCCGCTGCCGCCTATCCTGCGACCTTTAACCCCAACGAGAAGTTTGAGGATGCGCGCCTCTACGGCGTGCCGGAGTTTGAGCCCATGCTCAAGGCCGGTGGCACTTGGACTTGCCACCTGGTCGTCCCGGACACAATCAGACAGACTGCGGGCACCGGAGGCTCAGGCCACTTTGGAAACGGGCCTGAACACGATGGCGAAAGCGTCTCATGGATCATCGAGGTGGCATCACAGGTGATATTTTCGGCCTCTGCTGCCGTCCACTATGACGTACTGCTGGCGCGGGATGAGAAGTCTTTGACACTGTCCTCGGGTATACCGGTTGTTGGAAATCACGCCCAGGTGCCTCAACCGGGGCGGGTCAGCGACTTTCAACAGAGCAAGGGCGCCAAGGACGGTCGCCACAATGCCCAGAGCAAAGGTGTATTCTCCAGGGCAATCCATTTGAGAGTCGAGGACACGGCCAGCCTTTGGAACACCCCCCAACTGCCGGGCATGGAGCAATCACCGCCGCAGGCCGATGCTGCCAAGGGCACAGACACTGAGGCTACACAAACGGCTCAGGCCCCCAGTGACACCCAAGACAAGGATCGGAAACCGAGAAAGCAGAAGCATGTGCACTTGGTCATGCTCACCCATGGCCTCCATAGCAACCTGGGTTCCGATATGCTGTTTCTCAAGGAGAGCATCGATGCCGGGGTGAAGCAAGCGAAGATCGATGCCAAGGAGAGACGAGCCAAGGAAAAGCAGAACCAAGGTCAGCGACCCAAAGACTCGGGTAACGAAGAACATTCCGACTCAGGTGTGATGCTGGATGATCCTTATGATGAAGTCTGGGAGGACGAAGAGACCATTGTACGTGGATTCTCTGGCAATGCCACTCGTACAGAGAGGGGCATCAAATACCTCGGGAAAAGGCTGGCTAGATACGTCTTATCCATCACTTATCCCGATCAACCGTTTCTGCCGGCTGGTAAGGCAGCTCAAGAGGTCCTTTCGCATGGCTTGAAAGGAGACCCAAATGCCCAAAAGGACGCTGGAGGGAAGCCGTCCCACAAGCATAGTACCATCCACAAGAACGCGACGGGTTTCGAGGACAGAGGGTACAAGATCACCAAGATCAGCTTCATAGGGCACTCTCTTGGCGGCTTGATTCAGACCTATGCTGTAGCCTACATCCAGAAACACTCGCCCCAGTTCTTCGACCTCATAAAACCCATCAACTTTATCGCGCTGGCAACACCTTTCTTGGGTCTCAACCATGAGAATCCAATGTACGTCAAGTTCGCCTTGGATTTTGGACTCGTTGGCAGGACGGGACAGGATCTCGGATTGACTTGGAGAGCACCGACAATTGCAAGGAATGGTTGGGGCGCAATTGTCAGCAATCTGGGTGAGAATGCTCATAAGAAGGTCATGGGAGAGGCACAATCTGAGTCGAAGCCGTTGCTCCGTATACTGCCCACGGGCCCAGCACACATAGCCTTGAAGAAGTTTCGGAACAGGACAGTGTACTCCAACGTTGTCAACGATGGTATCGTGCCGCTTCGAACCAGCTGTTTACTATTTCTGGACTGGCAGGGGCTGGACCGTGTGGAGAAGGCCCGTCGGGAAGCTGGTCTGGTCGAGACTGTCGTTGGATTCGGATGGGCTGAACTCACCGGCGCAAACGTCACGTCCCCCAGAAGTGGTCCATGGACCCCCAGAGAAGGCAGCGAGAATAACAGTCCTGCCTCAGGAGCCGCCACTCCCGTCGACTCCGGTGATTCTCACGAGGTGCCTCAGCCTCCAACTGATGCCATGATGGAAGACGACAGACAGAGTCTCAGGGCCGTTGCCACACCATACCAGGACGAAGGATACTCATCATCCACAGCTGTTACTAATAACACAAATCCTTTTTCCGGATTCTTCTCATTATTCAAGCACAACAACGATTCTCCAAAACAACCTTCGTCGCCCACTACGAAGCAGAAAAAAATCTACCAGCGCAGTCAGACTCTGCGCTTCGACGAGAACGCATCAGAGTCCTCACAGTCCTCCCAAAAGTCTAAGGTCACATCTGGCCATGAGCTGGGCACGGATGCCGAGACCAACCTATCAGCACCTCCGAAGACGACTTTCTTTGAGTCTGCAGGAGACCTGCTCAACCCAAAGCTACCTTCGGTGGATTACCTCATCGATCCTTCAAAAAGACCGAGAACGATCTTCCACGATCGAATCTACCATCCTTCAGATATCCCTCCACCGCCCCTGAAGAAGCGCCCCACTGGAACGCTGGCTCTGCGCAGGAAGTCGTTTAACACAGTGGGATCCTCCTCCAGCCGCAACTCGCAATCTGGAACTTCTTCGCATCATCAACCTCCGCCGCATCAGGATTCCTTGTCGTCGACCAAGGATTATGACGACACCGAAAATACGAACCCAGACAAGGATCCTTCCGAGGTCATTGACAGCTCAAACATGAAAGTAGAGGAGAAGATAGCCCGAGCCTACCACCGCGATCTTTCTTGGCGGAAAGTCTTGGTCAAGCTGGAGCCAGATGCCCACAACAACATCATCTGTCGGCGAATGTTTGCCAATGCATTTGGCTGGCCTGTCGTCAAGCACCTCGTTGACGCCCATTTCAGCGACTCAAGCGCAGCTCGTCTGCGTGATGAGGACGAGAAGAATACTGAGCGGGCCAAAGCGACTGGCCAGCCTCCAGATCAAGATGGCGGCGAGACCAGATCAGAACCCGGCCCGACAGAAGAAGCCATGCGGCCAAATGTTGGCAAAGACAAAGAAAGCTCACAGAAGACATCGGAGCCCAGCGGGCACAATCGCACGGTGAGCGAGGCCCTTGAGGCTCGGGATAGAGTCCTGGACCTCCCGGGTAAAACGTCTCGAGAGAATTCCGTGGAGCATTCCTCGTCAGCGACACGTCCTGTGCGGGAGAGACAAGATTCTGTGGATTGGAGCGACCGGGATTGGGCAGACTCCGAAAGCGAGATGGACGAGTCGCAGGCCAGTGCGGCCCAGAAGAAAGATACCAAAGCTGCTCCTGAGCGCACCTCAAGCCCCGTCAGTGGATTCTGGACAGAGAAGATAGTCGGGAAAGGCGCGACAAAGAGAAGGAGCAACTCACCGACAAACCAGCTCCCAGAAAGCCAAACAGCAACCGAATCTTCGAAGCCTGTGTCGAGCGTCCCAGGCGCTCCAGCCACGAAGCCCGATGATGTGGATTGATCTGATGTGTGGCTATGGTGAAGAGGCTAGAGAAACAACATTGTCTGCGTGGCATTGTACAGAATGGCGAGGCAACAGCGATGCGCATGTTTGATACCAAATACAACTTACTACTACTAAGACTAATACAACAACATGCATCCTGACATTAGTGTTATCTCTGGGTATGTACGAGCGACAACTGACGAGCCCTGTTTTGCTACAGGGCAACTACGAACTGTGCTCCCATGAGGCTGTGACGTGCACGGCGAGTAAGTCTATGTATTTGTGTCATCACTCGGCTCGCTCTCCGGGTGGCCGGCCTTTGCGCTGGGGGTTGAGAATCGGGAGCGTCGGCTTCCCTTGAAGGGAATGTCCAACCCGGATCCGACTCGGACATTATCAGTCGCCCCCGGCGCGCTTCAACTTGACGTATGCAGTCCAACAAAACCGCGACCTACGGAATGGCAACTTTGTGCGACTGGGGCGGTCGCACTACGAATAGAGAAATGCATACAACTAAAATAGTCTGCGTTTTCGTCAGAATCAGCAGGACCCGAGCCGCGAAGGATCGGCACCGAAGCGCCGGGATTCAACGGCGGAGACAAGGTGGCCCGTGGTTCCACGACGTGCGCGAAGCTAATGGCTCGCCATTCGAAAAGCACGCTCTCGCCCACAGTACCGGTGCCAACCAAAGAGCCTTTGCTCAAGGGGCAGTTTCATGGACGCCGCGGATCTTGATATTGGATGGGCAAGCATCTCTACTGTATTCCAATCCCGGGCGTCAGAACCCGTGAGGAAGCATATCCCCACCGGCTGCGAGATTGACCCCTGTGTCTGACGGCATGCGTAGTTCTGGCCGCAGCGCACACGCCCGCCATCTTGGTGCGCGGGATGCTTCACTTTACGGTACATTGTTGGCCGCGACCCGAGGGGCTCGCTACAACAGGGAATGTTGGACGCCGGCAATGTAACCCACCCGCCCATCGTCCCGCTCGTCGCGACAAATCACAAGCGGCAACAGCGACAGGACTACCGCACCCAAGGAAATGGCAACCACCTGTTCTGACAGTGTTGTGCTGACAAGAAGACGGCCCTGTTTGAGGCAATGCGATCCACTGTGCTCTTCATCAACACTGGAAAAGGGGAGATACTCTTGAACAGGGCAGAATGCTTCAATGGGCCATACTCCGGTTCGCGACCATTGGTTCTAAGAGCCACTTTCTACACGCCGAATACTACAGCGGCGATGAGGACTTTTCAAGATCTCCGTTGGGACCATAATACCCGTTTCAAGCTCTACACCAATGAGGGCCGGTATGCTAAGGTGAAGGCGTAGCTGTGTTCGAGCTGGTGACTGTTTATTTGTACATTGTACGCCAGCTCGACACGGGCATCTTCTAGGTTGTTCTAGAAGCACTTCAAGGCTGAACCAACTGAATGAAACACCTGCTGCAGTGGCACCTCATGAGCCATGTCCACCCAGGGCCTAATGTTTACTTACCTACCCAACTAGGTAAGTACAACCCGTTGGACACGCAAGACGGAGCTATGCCTGAGCCATTATCGCTGCGTAGATCGCCAATCTTCCACCGTCGAAACAGGAAAAGTCACAGCCAGTCGGCGGTTCGCCTCAATCGATGGCACGGTGGCGTTGTAGGAGCAACATGTGAGATGGCTCGAGGTACTTTTCAGAGTCATGTGGCCGTAGGTGCCGGCGGGCCAGAAGACGGTATGAAATATACCACACAACTCAGTTAGAAATGTATCACGTTCAATCCGGTTCCAAGAACGCCGACGCTGCATGTGCATCCAGTCAATCGGAGTGTCCGTTGCAACGGGTCAATAGGATATGAGGGCAGGGCGGCCGGACTTTAGCGGAGTGACTAATCCACCCCGTACACAACCCACCCTGCGAGTGATGCAAGCGAGGGTTTGTAATGACAACAGGCCTCGCAAGGAACAACATTTCCTAGCTTTCTAATAGAAAAAGCCCATCTGCATCAGCAATGGGAATAACTTTGAAGCAAGATGGGTCTTCTGGGAGTTTCAAGGCAACAGCACAGGGGCGACCTCACGCCCTTTGTCCTCGACACCGAACCAACCATCACAGGGGACTTCGACTCTCCCAGGCCGCAACACACTATCATCGCCAAAACGGGAGACAACAGGACGGCCCTCACACAACATGGAATCTCCTAATCATGGATACCCCTCAACGAACAACTCTGCCTTTACCGGTCGATACCATCTCATTTGCCAAATGGACTAGCTGGGGACAGCACCACTGCTTGTTGGCTAGGAAAGGCAGCCAGCCCCCCTTCATGCGAGTACATTGAGGCTGTTCATGGGCACTTCGAGAACTAGCCCCCATATATAACATCCCGGGCCCAGGGTCATCTCAAACTTCATATAAGCCGGCCTCAGGTGCTTAATACCTCATGGGTAAGCAGTCCTAGCTTCGGATCTTCGGGCTGGAGAACTGGGTACAACTTGTAAATTCCTACCTCCAAGACAACCTCACACCCCCTTCACCCTGTCACACGATGAACTACACAAGAAAAAGTAAGCCGGTCCATCTTGTTTCCTCCTGAGACAGAGTCATCTAGTAGTGGACACAGACTAACAACTCTCAAGGAGCTCTCCTCGCCTGTGACTTCTGTAGGCACCGGAAGCGACGGTGCGATGGAAACCACCCTTGCTCTACTTGCATCGAGGCAACTGCAGACTGTGTATACAAGGAGCTCCCCGTGGATCGGTGAGTCGTCGAGACCATGACTTATCAAGCCAACTCGACCATGTCCCTAGCTGACTGTCCTCGCAGTGTCGAGCCCTCATCGTCGTCCCAAGGGGTAGTCGTCGAGAGGCTGAGCCGAATAGAGGCGTAAGTCGACACCCACACAGCGTTCCCAGGCTTCCATGTGGCGAGAAATGTCCTCCTTAGTCCAGGGCTTCTGCTTCGTCATCCCCACCTCCATTTTTGCTGCCACCCTACAACCTTGATGTTACTCGCCTCCGCTGACATTGGTGGGCAGGCTGTTGGAGGAGCAGGGGAAGAGGTTAAACGACATGGCACAGGCGGAGCACTATGCTTACACTTCGACACCTGCCTCCTTCCCGTCTTTCCGCTCTTCCCCTCTGATCCCAGCTGCGTCACCTCTCTCTGTGTCCAATCGATCGCTGGAGGGTGCCGATGTCAGCTTCGAGAATGCCCAGTTTCTGGTACCCCCAGGCCACACAGCAACTTCTATCTGGTTACTCTCACTCCCAGCCATCCAGTCTGTGATAGGGGATTTTCCCAGGGCCTACTTCCACGACCTTGAGGAGAGCACACCGCTACCTCGTCCCTTGGATCTTGTGAATCCGCAGCCCATCAACTGGCCCTCCTTTGCGCCCGAGCTACTGCAAAAGCTTGCTGACGCATACTTCAAGGATGTCTCGCCTCACCTCCCCCTATTCTCTCGGCGATACTACGACATCCTGCTGAATGATTTCTTGGAAAATGGGCCCACAGAAGACATCGAAACTGCCATCTGCCTGTGTATCTGGGCCCTAGGTTGTATGGCATCTCACTCAACGAAAGCTGCTATCCCAGAGCACGAGGTTGAGCCTGTCCAAGACCTAGGCATTGACTTTTTTCAACCGGCCCTGAGGATTATTCTTTCCAAGTCTACATGGGGCTTCACACCTAATCTCCGGGTTTGTCAGGCTCTCTTCCTCGCAGGGACGTACTTCTCCTATCTGGGTCGACCGCTCCATTCCTGGAAGATGGTTTACACTGCTGGTCTTTCCATTGCAGCCAACAGTGACCTAGAACAATTTCCGAACGAGTCCGAACAATGCCACGAGGACCGCCTTCGTGTTTTCTGGTGTTGCTTCACAGTTGAGTGGTGAGCATTTGCCCGAGCCCTTGGTCGCAGCTGACACTCCCGACGACAACAGTTCAAACCCTTCTCCTTTTATTCACTCATCACATGCCACTTCATATTTCAGCCTTAGACTGACGAACAGCAGCGATCGAGCAGCTACTCTTGATGTCGCGCGCTCAGGTATTGAGCCACTCGGAGACAGAATGCCGCTTCCTCGGAGCGTCGAGGTCAGCGATCACGATGATCTGATCTACTTCGTTGCCGAAACAGCCATACAAAGGCTGATCAACAGGGTACACAGCTCGCTGTATTCCCCTGACAATATCGACATTACTGTGCTTTCAGAGACGGTACCGGCTGCAAACAATCCGAACTTGAACAGGCTCTTAGCTATCAGCTCTGAACTAAACCGGCAACTCGAACAATACTATAGCTCGATCCCCATAACGCCACCCATTACGACCGACCCTTTCTCAAACGACAGAAGACGCATACTCAATTTGCGTTATCACCACGCTCGCCATATCATCTACCGACTCTTTGTTCTCTACGTCGCCTCCTACAGACACCCCCAGCCGTCGCCAGTTCCCCAGCACTTGTCGTCAAGGTCGCCAAGCGCGTCACTTGTTTCCCTATCTCCGATGCCCAGAATCATACTCGAGAAGTGCCACATCTGCATCCAGTCATGTGAGGCCTTCCTACTGGATGCTGTTGAGATCCTGGACAAACGATCGCCTTATCTGTGGTCGATCTCAGACGGTGCGCTGGCATGCTTCGTCATATTGTTCATGGCAAGCCAGTCTCCTTATATCAGGCACCTGACACCTGACCTGCAGGGTCTGGCGGACGTGGTTCTAGCAAAACTTGAGAAGTGGGCCACGCCTGGGTCGGTATTTGAGGCGCAGGTGAGGATTGTGAGCAGGCTTCTGAGCCGTTGAACTTGTACATTTCTTCATGCGGGGGCGGACGAGACGGACAACATGATTTCATTCTGTGTCCTAATTTTCTCATGTTGATATCCGTGTATCTAGCTACTGCCGAGCATTCGGGTTCTCTTTTGAATCCACCAGAGACGCGTATTTTACCTAGGCCATCCTACTTAGACAGGTAGACAGGTAGAGGTAGACAGGCTATCAAGCAAAGCTCCTGGGCTGGGATTGGGACCAGGCAGCTTGGAATACACAATACACAATAGAATAAAGAAAAGAAGCGCATTCAGTCAAGGCCAGTTGTGTGCGATTTTGCTCGAATCAACACCCAGAGAGCAACATATTATCAGCGAGGGATTGCCGCCAGAAGACTGGTTGAGGTCAATTGTACTGCCCAGGTGCTTACGTACTGTCACTGTTGGGTACAGTACATAGGTGTTAGGTAGACAAGCAGATGCAGGACAAGGTACCGTGGTATGGTGGCAGCTGTGCGCGGGGTCCAGGAGTAAGCTTCCGGTATGCAGCGTGGCTCCCGCAGTGGGGCGCTTCTGATTGCCATTCACAGCCCAGGATCAGAGGTCCCCTTCGTCACTGGCACTGGCCTTGTTTCGTCGCTTTGTTGGTGGGGACGCCGTCATGCGGTCGGGTCGGCACTCTGCTGTATCCTGTCCCTGAGATCTGTACATACTGTACTGTAGCACCGCCGCCGTCACTTTGGGCAGAGAGGCATGAATCCATCCCACCACAGACCAATTCTTGAAACCCGTCGAGCCCAGTTCCATTCCAAGTAATTGATCCATCCGCAGCAACTTGCGACTGTCATCATCCAAATCCGGCCCCAATATCCCAGCCTATACTTGGCCTGGCCTGGGCCGCAGGCAGCGAACGAGCCCTCCCTACCTCCATCCCTCTCTCAGCGCCGCCCAACCTCGAACCACGACCCCTTCCTTACCGCCCAAACGACACTGCGAACTCGTCAGAGGCCGACCCGTCCCTCCCAACCGAAATCGCTCCATTCCCACCGCCAACAAGTGCTTTCAAGCAACTGTGGTTTTGAAGAGCCTTCTTTCAGCACAGCGATCGGCGTCGCCCCCCTTGCGCCCCCCTTAGCAAGAGATCCGCCATTCCTGTCCCGAGGCATCTTCCGGCGGTTCACTGCGCCGTGTGACAATTCGTCGCCAATATGGGCGCTTCCATCTTCCAGATACAGCATGACCGTGAGGAACCCCTTTGCCCAAGAAATAGAAAACGTCGAGCTCCAAGGCGCTTGCTAATCGTGATCTGCCAGTCATCCTCAACACCCTGAAAGACATCACCCAAGGCGACGTAAGGAAGCCCACATCCCGCCATCTCGAGGCCACAGCGACTAACTTGCGGTGCCCTCCTAGTGGAAAGTGCTTGTCGTGGACGAGTTCTCCAAGAAGATCCTCGACAATGTTGTTAAGGAAGATGACATCCTCAACCAGAATGTCGCCAGTATGTGCCGAACCCCCCAACACCCCAGAGCCTCGCCTTTGCTTACGCCGTCTAGATATCGAGCGCATTGAGGATAGACGAGACATGAACCCGACCATGGACGCCATATACTTTGTCTCGCCCATGCCGCACATAGTCGACTGTCTGCTCGCCGATTTCGACCGAGGAAGATACCAGAAGTCATTCGTGGTTCTGACCGATCTCCTCGAGCCACAATTGCGACGCCGCTTATATTCCCACCCACAAGCACGAGAGCTCATAGCCGACTACAGGATCCTGAATATCGACTATTTTCCCCGGGAGTCGCACTTGGTCACCTTCCGTGACCCGTGGAGTTTTCCCGTACTATTCCACCCGGGCTGCAATCATCTTGTCCGGGAACATATGCAAGCATTGGCGCAGAAGGTCGGCACTACCCAATCCCCCTCGCTATAAGCAAGCGTCAAGTGGGAACTGACATGTCCTCGCTCAGGTTACGAGTGTGTGTATCTCGTTGGGCGAATACCCCAAAGTGCGATATTACCGACCACAGAACCCCACCCACGATGCCAGCGTTTTGTGTACTCATCTCGCCCGATTCATACAAGAGGAGCTTGACAATTACGCGCAATGGAACCAGGCTTTCCCTCCGCCATCCAACAGGCCGACGGGTGTCCTCCTGATAACGGACAGGAGCATGGATCTTATGGCGCCACTAGTTCACGAGTTTACGTACCAAGCCATGGCACATGATTTGCTGACCATCAAGGAGGGCGACAAGGTGACATACCACATGACCATCAATGAGGGTCAGGCGGATGCCGAGGAGAAAGATATGGAGCTTCAAGAGAAGGACAAGGTCTGGGTTGACAACAGGCATCGGCATATGAAGGACACAATTGACAAGCTCATGGGTGACTTCCAAAAGTTTATCGACCAGAACCCGCAATTTACAGATGGGGACCAGAAGGCCAACCTGAACACCATCAAGGACATGTTGGCGGGCTTGCCCCAATTTCAGGAGATGAAGGAAGCTTACTCGTTGCACTTGTCCATGGCGCAGGAGAGCATGAACATATTTCAGAACAACAAGCTGCCAGATATCGCTTCCGTGGAGCAAACACTGGCAACTGGGTTGGACGAGGATTTCCGCAAGCCAAAGAACATTCTACAGGAGGTTGTGCGATTGCTGGATGATGAGTCCATTGTCAAATCAGACAGGCTGCGCCTACTCATGGCCTACCTTATCTTCCGAGAAGGCGTCGTTGAGGAGGACGTCAAGAGGCTCGTTGCGCACTCAGCTCTCGAGCAATCTCAATGCAGCGTCATAACTAATTTGGATGTCCTCGGAGCTCACATCCTCAAAGGGCTCAAGGAAGTCCGGCCACCTCGACCACCACTTTTCCCAATCGATAAGAACCAGCAGCTGAGCGAGGAATACGGCCTCTCTAGATTCGAGCCGAACGTGAAGCATATGCTCGAAAACCTGTGCAAAGGCAGTTTAGATCCGACCACGTTTCCGTACACGAAACCGCCAGCAGATCCTAACGAGGACATGATGGCAGGACAGGGCTCCCTACGCGCGGCTAAACCAAGCTGGGCCGGCGGAGGACGTCGCGTGGCTGATAATCGGCAGCGCATAATTGTCTTCGTTGCAGGCGGCGCAACATACTCGGAAGCCCGGTCCTGTTATGAAGTCTCGGAAAAGCAAAATCGGGATGTCTTCCTAGTAAGCAGTCATATGGTGACACCGAAGATGTTCGCCCGCCAAGTCGGCGATTTATCAGTCGACAAGCGGCGCCTGGATCTCCCCATGGAGCGCCCTAAACCGAAAGCACCAGCTCATCTGTTCGAGCGTGAGAGGCCAACCCCACCACCGATGCAAGCCGGACCACCACCACCCGCTAAGGGGGGCCCGATGGGCATGGCACCAGGGCAGCCGCGCCCCCAGCGCGCCCCGCTACCGCCGGGCGCGGGAGGACTTCCGGGGAGACCTGCGCCGCCTGCTCAGCAGATGTCACAGATGTCACTCGGCGGCAGTCCGGCGCCGCCCAGACCCGCACCCCCGATGAACGGCGGGGGCGGCAGCTACTCTTCGCCGACACCACCAACGCCTGACGACGGAAAATTGCACAAAAAGGAGAAAAAGAAGCGGAACATTTTCGGCATGAAGAAGTAGCGAGTCTTAACCTAGTCCGCTAGCTTATAATGGCATTTGTGCCCATTTTTGGATCTCCTGGGCGGATTTGTGTATAGACGGCATGCGGTAGGGTGGGGTGTGGGATTTTTTTTTACTTTTTGATGTGAAGCCCGGTCGCTGTCGACCGGGTTAAACATGTACACATCAAGCATGAGCACGGCGTTCTCACACGGAGTTGTTGGCTGTCGGCGCATTCACAACCCCTTGTTGTGAGTGAGGCAGACGCACGTGGGTCGGTAGAGATGGAGTGTAAATATAATCTTGATCACCATTAAGGCCTTCGGGTTTCCCCAACCCCGCATGCAACATAGAAATTTCACGTGCTTCAATTCCCCAGAGACGTGTTATTCATACTCTCATTAAGACCTATTGACAACTACGCGAATGCCTCCCCTCTTGGTCAGGCCCTGTGATTGGGTTGAGCGTCGAGTTCCACCATGCCCCTCCAGTGCGTCAAGCCAGTATAGGCCCAAACGCCCAAAAGACTTCTGTCAAGTCGGCCGTCCTGGTGTGTGCTATTGTAGGCCCAAAGACCAACGTGGAAGATATCAACAACCTCAGACTCGGACTGAGTTCATCATTATCACTGTCAAAGATCCTCGGCCCGGCCCGTCACCATTGCTGCCAGTCGGGCTTGCGTTGCGGTTTACAATTCAGTCGTTGCTACTGCACTCGTGCTTCTTCTGCTATCTAGCGGCGGAATGGCGCCGCGCCGGGAGGCGGCATTCCACCGCGCCCATCGAAAGGAGCCCCAAAGACCATACCATCCGGGCCAGGGAAGCCGCCCATCATCATGTGGCCAGCTCCAGGCGGGGGAGGGCCCCCTCCGAAAAACCCTGGTGGAGGCTGCATGTTTCGAGGTGGTCCGGGAATAGTGTCTGGTGGGAAAACGCCCGGAGGCATGTTGGCGGGGTTAAACATGCCGGGCACCGGACCGTTTCGCGGTTGACCCATGAGTCCGGGAGGGGGGATCATGGGTCGCTGGACAGGAGGCATCTGCTGGCCTGGCTGCATAAACTGTTGCTGTTGTTGGTGCTGCTGCTGCTGCAGGGCGTGGTCGAGGCCAGGCGGCCTCTGCAAAATCTGTGTCGGATGCAAAGGGCGGCCATCGCCTTCAGAGTGTCGGAATTGCTCATCAGCGAAGCCAGGTGGGCCCTGTGGACGCATTTGTCGCTGTGCCGGGCCACGCTGTTGCAGGAAGTCTGGCTCACGATCTGGGAAATGAGGAAGCGAGGCTTGGCGCTGAGGTTGCGGCATGCGCATGATTTGTTCGATACGTGGTTGTTCAGGCGCGTGGCGACCGCTCTGCATGAGCTGCATGAGAAAGTCCCTGCTGGCATTCGAGCCATGTTCAGCTCTACCGCTGCCTTGACTTTGGGCATTGTGACGGTGGCTGAGGAGGTCTTGTAGCATCTGATCAGGACGAGCAGATGGCGGTTGACTGGGCGGAGGCATAGGGCGCGGTGCCAGAATCTCGGGTCCTCCTGGAGGGACCGAACGCAGACGAGGTTCCTCTCGGCGATCCATGCCGTATGGATCTGAGGGCTGAGGCGACACGACATGGGCTTTCTGCGCCAGAGCTTGGGCAAGATTCTGGATCGGATCCTGGGACATATTCTGCATTGGTGGTGGAGGCGGCTGCGTGAACGCGCCGGCATTTGGCGGTGTTGGCGTGGACTGTTGTTCGCCTTGGCGCGGTAGATGGAGTTTCTGCAGCAAAGCTTGGAACGCCTCTTTCTCTGCGTTGTTGTGCTGGACAGGCTGAACATCCACAGATTCCACATTCGGGGGCGGTGGGCCAGCAGCTGGAGTACTTGGCTCCGTCCGCCCGCGCGACTCGCTCGGTTGGGGCACTGCTTGAGCAGAGAATAGGTTTGCAAATCTCGAGGACTTTCCAGTCGGGGCGTCGAAGCCGGCGGGCGCTTTGACTGCCTGGATAGCCTCAAGCTTGTCCCCTTCAGTCGAAGGCAACGATGTCAGTTTAGATCCAGCGAACGCCTCGAAGAACTTGTCAGGACCCCGCTCCACAGCTGGAGCGGACTTGACGGCGGGGGGGTCCGCGAAGAATGAAGCAGGGGCGGGTGATGGCTGTGCTTCTGTGGTTTTCTCTGCGGCCTTGCCCCCTCCTTTGCTCGCCTTCATTGTCTCCATGAACTTCTTCAGGTCAGCTTCGGTATGGCCATGGCTCTTCTCCTCAGCTGGCTCATCCAGCCACTCTGGCTCCCGCTCCGATGCCCGTTGATCTCGGTCCTTCTCCCATCGACGTTCGTGCCGGTCACTGCGTTCGCGATCGTTGCGTTCACGGTCATTGCGGTCACGCCAGCTCTTGGCCTTGTCGATGCGCTCGCGGTTCGATGATCGTTCGATACCCTCATTAGTCTTGTTGTTGTCTTTAAACCAAGGTTCTGACCTGCCCCGGTTCAACCCGTTCCTACGCGGTGCGTCTCCCTCATCACCATCCGTGTCCATGTTGCGACGTGGTCGATCCCTGAGACTGTCATGCTCGTCACGCTCCTTGGCCCGACGGTCGTCCTTTTGTCGCTCACCGCCCATGCGGCCAGTGAAGCGCTCAGCACCCTCCTGGCCAAAGCTCTTGCGTGGTTTGACTGTACTCCATCCCTCACCGTCACGGTCGCCATCGCCACGTCGCCGTGGGTCGTTTTGCCTTGCGTCACGGAAGCGGTCGCTGACATCGTCGCCGCCAATCTTGCTCCGGAGAAAGCGGTCGCGGGCTTCAGGGTCGCGCGGGGCCCTCTCGCTGCGGTCGCTATCCCCGTTATTCCCTCGCAACGTGGAGGAGGAGAAGCTCATCCTGGGAGGCCCGAGGATTATGCCATCGGAGCCTTGATGAATATCAGTGTGGGGTCTTCCGAGATTAGGGGTTGCGGGGCGAAGGTGATCGTACTTGCTCCATTGCGTGACACATGCCGTTCAGCAGTAGGCCTACGAGTGCCTTGTTCGAGGGGTGCTCCTCGATCGTTGGTGGTCTTGTTCTGGGGACGAGTCGGTTCTGGAGGGGGGCTGTCTCTCGATTAGCTAAAGAGTACATGCTGAGTGAAATGGCACTCGTACCCCATCCATTCCTCCCGTGGTGGAAGGTCCTTGGGCTTGATGCAAAGCGGGGACTCTCTCAATCGAAGCAGCACCTCGGCTTCATAACGTATTGCCACAGCCATGACAGGGTCTTAGGTCTGTGTCTCGAATGATTTAGTATCCTTGAGCCACCCCAGCAACATATGGGCAGGCTGGTTCAGCTCGAGGTGGACGCGAAAAAGGTTGGAATTGAGTTTGCAGCTAGCAGCTGTGGAGGCCGCCCGAAGTCGGGCTCGTGGAGAGGCCACTTGAGGACGAGTCTGTTATTTTGGGATCTTGTCGAGTCGAGGGCAGTATCTTGTTCTGATGGGGGAGTCTCTGGGACTGTCAATCGGATGAAAGGCTTCTTCTTTTTTGATGGTCTTGTTGTTGGCAGCCTGGTGGATGAACGTGGTGATGTGGTGGTGGTACAGTGCCACCTGATGACGGGGTTCGTTCGATGTCAGTCAGTCAAGGTTGGCAACAGGAGAACACAGCACAGCCTGGCAAAGAGATGATACAGAAGGTTTGGTCCTCGAAGTCACTAAGTAGGTTGAGATATCGAATGTTATCGAAGTGAGCTGGCTGGTCGTTGAGCTGCTGTCGCAGGCGAAGTTGTGAGGTGGAGAAGGCCTTGCTGATGTGTGGTTCCCGTCCCTAGTGTGTGTCTCGACATTGAGGCAGGAGACCACCAGGCTACCAGCTTGGTGGTCAAGAGGCCGCTAGCTGGTCTATGCGCTCCTCTTCTTAGCTTGCCTGACAGTGGGGGGCCCAGGGAGTCTAGCTTCCCCACTTATCCTTCTGCTGATACTTCTTGTACAAGACAGTCTACATACTGAATCAGGTACCTGTACTTGAAAGTCTACACACCTGGGCAGACAGGGCCTCACTGAGTTCTTGGGTACTCTTCCGACAAACCCAGGAACAGTAATCCTGCGCTGGCACACAAGCTCTTTTTAGACTTCATCGTGCAACATGGCATCTCCGAAGTCTTACTCGCAATTCGCAAGTATTTGAATAACATATTCCTGCTCCGTAGAGTCGGTCTTTGTTCAATAGGATTTAATCATCATCTTCATCTGACTTACACTCCGTCTCCCTAACCTCAATTCACTATACCAACATCTTTGATACCACCATTACTCCAGACAGCAGCACGCTCCTTGTCCGAAGTCTCCCATATCCTCCTCAGAAGAGCCCTGTAAGTCTCACGCTCCTGTTGCAACTCGCAAGCAGCACTCTGTGCCTCAAGCCAGCTGACAATACCAAACCTAGTGACCAAGGTCGTGCTTCCGCCTTCAATGCACGTCGACCGGTAAATGATCCTCAGTATCTGCGCTCTGAGGTTCTGGCGTAGGTAGGGATTGCTTGCCAGGGACAGTAGCCGCTCAAACAGGCGCGTGTTGTGGTACAGGGCCATGTCTGGCTCCGCTTGTACACCGTCTAGGAGATAGGAAAACAGCCAGCTGAGCTCTGAGTAATAAGTATCATCAAGTTCAGGTCCGTCCTGTAGAATGTCGTAGACCAAGGGTAGCTTGTCGAGCCTCCACGTCGGTCCTTTGATGAGGAATGAATTCAACTTCCCATACAGGCAATGCAGAGGGTCTTTGAGCACGTCAAGCGCATTCTGTGCAAAGGCTACAATGAAGTTCGGTATCGGCCCCGTATCGACGTGGCCTTTGCACGATTCCACGAGTTCAGACAGGAGCAGCCAGACCTGCTCTTTCTCCTCATACGACGAGTCTTTGATCTTGGCGGCCATTTTTGCGATGTTGACGAGGGCTTCTTTCCGAATGCTGGTGTGTTCAGAGGCGAGTAAGGATACAACAGACGCTGCGTATCCCTCCTCGACAAGCTCGTCCGCCTCTTTGGTCGCCCACTTCGACAGTGCTGAATTGTCCTGGACCAGAGAAGAGGGCGCCGAAAGAAGATTGGCCAGTGCTTTCTCCGACAAGATTTGGTCGGCTTGTTGCTTATCCTCTACCTGGGAACGATGTTCATCCTCCCCCGTCGAGAAGTCTGCACCCCAGCTCTGCAGCTCTCGTGCGGCGTTTGCCTGCTTTGTGTATTTCTTGAGCAACTTCTTCCCAGTGGGCCTCTCAGAGAAAGCCAATTCAAACTTCTCAAGAAGCGCGTTGAATCCATCCCCACCGTCGCTTGTACCTTTTGTGTACAACATGTAAGTGGATATGAGGTGCGCCAAGACTGATATTTCGTCTTCGCTCGCTGAGCTTATAGCGAATGGCAGCTGCTCCAATAGGGCAAACGTAAAAGGACTCAATGAGCCCGAGGACTTAGTCGCTTCACTCTGATCGTCAGACACAAGGTCCTTGATCATCTCGAGGTACTTGACAGGAGCCGTGGCACATCGTGATGTGCTATTGTCGAGTAGAGCCCACAAGGCATCACAAGAAGCCAAGTTTCTCGAGTCTCTTATGGAGTGAAGAACCGTCAGTAAAGGCAGTGGATCGCCGCTCCCAGATTGAACAAGTTGGTGTTCTTCTGCGACAGCTCCCAGAGCACTCTTGAGTCCCTCGAGTGATACGCCGATAGGAGCAGCAACGGAAACCTTTAACAAGGCCACGAATGGTGATAATGACAACCCTTGTGTTTTGGAGAACCACCTCATGCCAGGAGAATAGCCAGCAACCGCGAGCAAATTTTCCAGCTCAACCAACCGCAGTGCTCTATCTTCAGGGGTTTCCTCAGCTTCATTTAACCGCTTGATTGCGGAGATCAGCAGGGGTGATACGTCGAATTTGGCCATCAAAGCCACCTGCGGTGTGACTTCGTAGTATAGCCTCAACAGTTTGCTTGTTGCTTCCCGCTGGAGGAGATCCGAGTCACCGACTTCTCGGTAGCAAGCAATAACGTCTTTGATGCCGGGTGCTCGCTGGCAAAACGCATCGACGAGCTTTCTTGCAGAATCATTCCACAGCGGCTTGTTTTGAGCTTTGGCTGCCTCCTCGTGCATCATTAAAGCGGCCTGGAGCTTCTGTATCGCCATCACGAGCAGTCTGACTGCCACGAATGATATGAGCTCTACCTTTTGTGTCAGACACTTCACAAGGATCTTCTGATCCATTGGAAGCGGCAGTATGTTATCAATCATGATCGATGTCGGTGGAGGAAGCATGGCAAACCCATTCTTGTGGCCAAAGAAATCAGGCAAGGGCGATTCGATGGTCTTGAATAAAAACGCCGAGTAGCCGATCCACGTCGCTGACAGCTTTGGTTCAAATGTGAAGGATCTTTTGTTGATGAAGTAGTGCGCAACTAATTCAGGAGCAGCTTGGAATACAGTGACAAGTAGCTCGCTGTGTTTCTGACTTGACCATGGGCGTAAGCTGGAGCTTTGGATGAAGTCGGCCAAGATGACGTTGCGTACAGGCACGTCGTCTTTGAACTTATACATCCATACTATGCTCTCTAGCCCAGGCTCCACCTCATCTTCAGCTGAAGGGAGTAGAGCAGCATCTGGATCAATGCTCCTGGGATAAAACCCTGACTGCGGCCTCAGAACGCCGGCAGATGGCGATGTGCAAGTCAGGGTGAGGAATTCATGTACGGCCTCTTCCACCGTCGTCCGGGGGCCCTCCTCCCAGGAACCGTTGTGCTTGTATTGGTAGAGAGACGCCAGTCTTCCCAGAGTCAGAGAATTGAGCAGCTTGCTTTTCGAGTAGCCGGCGAGCTTACCGTCCTTGACGACGTGATTCCTCAGCGTGTCAAGGATCTCAAAGATTAGATATGGAGGGTCATCCAGCAACGATTTCGTCAGCGCTGGAGCAAGTTCCCTTTGTAATAGCAATTCGGCCTTTCCCTCTGCGGGGAGGAATTTGAGGGCACTCAAGAAGAATCGAATGGCATTTGTACGGGCCGAGGGTCTTTTGAAATCCTCAAGCCCCGTTCCAAGATGCTTCATTCCCATATTACGGGCCAGGGACTTGAAGGTAAGGCTCTGACCGCGAAACATTGGCTTAGCCAGAGTACCACCATCGAGGCATATGACCTCCCTGAGAAGCCTCAAGGTTGGTGAGAAAATGAATTCTTTGCCTTTGTCAGCTGACAAATTCCGGGCTATGAGTTCCTGATGTCGTGTCTGCAATAGCGTACGGCCGATACCTAGCCCAAGCGCCGTAAAATCAAGCCGTTGGGATATGAATTTCATCAGCAGATCCAGAGTCACTGCAACCGCGGACATGATGTTGTCGTTGTTTGCATGAGCAGCGAAGCTCCAGGTCTCCATGATGTCCGGCAAGGAAGTCGCTTCGAATTCGCCATCTTGCCGTTTAGCTGACTCGAGATAGTCCCTCAAAATCTGGACCTTCTCATCGTCGGCACCATTCTTTGACAGCAGTCCGTCGAGAAAAACTTTGAATGATTGCAAGCCTTGAAATTCATTAGTGAAGAGTCGAATAGGGACAGAGTGATTTCGCAATACCATGTCTTGCTTTCTGCAAATCTTGGTCAAAGGAGAGCAACTGCATCAGCTGCCGGCTCGTGTGGATCTCTTCGCTCGTTGGCGCCTCGTGGACAACCTTCTGCCGCTTATGCGGATTTGAGGCGTCCGCCCCGCGCGCTCTCTTGACCATATCGAAGATACCTGTGAAACGATGCCCAGATGAAAGGTATCAAACCTCTCAGTGTCTTATTACTAACGCCTTGGGTGAAAAAGCCGCTTTGGTCGACAATACTGAAAGCACCTGCTGACGACCGCCTTACGAGGGAATCAATCACACGGCTAGGGAAATGATCGATGTCGTCCCTAGAGTCCTGTCCGGGAAGACTGTCGCCTTCCTTTGATACTGGGGTTGCCGTTGCAGATTTCCCAAGTGTCGTCCTGTTTCCAAGGATATTTCTTTTCGATTTCAGTCTGCATGAAGTATTCTCTGTCGAGGTTCTGAAGTGATTGTCAAGGCATGGCCGTCTCCTGGTCTCGAAATTTGGGATTCTGCCGTTGTCAAATGATCGACCGCTTTTGCCTTTCTCGGTTATCAATCTATCAAAATGTGGGCCTACTGAGCCGCTAGCAGGGGCCAGGCCCCAATGATGGACCCACCACTGTCGCGTACAAGGTCTTTTCAATTCACACCGTCGTCTTTGCCGCAACAAGTAGACTACACACGATCAAACCGTTCTGCATTCTCCAGAACACGTGGGAGAGCCCATGGGACCTACCAATGAAGTCTCAAAGCAAACCCTGGGGCATATACAATAAGCCATCATCAGTGTAATTGGTAAAGTAGTTCTCGAACTCATTAACAGCACTTCGGGTATCAGACTTGCCATCCGGGGGTCTCAAATCTGTCCCGGCTCGTATTGTCTTGCTACTCATTCGATTATCCTCTGCCAATGCATGGTCATCCAACTCGGCTTCCACAGAGCCGGGTGGAGTTCAGAAACAACTTTGAAATCAGCAGATGCTAATGCTGCCTATGAATCAGAAGACTTGGTATCGATACCACATGCCAATCGCATCGTCTGCCCCGTATGCCCCATTGACCGTTCATTTATATCGTTTCGTACGTACAGTATCACAAATGTCTCCCAGTATACCCCGTACACCTGTAAACCTAAGAATCCACCCAACCCCGCCTCCCAACGTGTCATTCATTGAATATTAGATGAAGTAGAGGTAGCATCCACCACAGTTGAAACGCTCATAGCATATCACTCTGGGGCGAGTTCTGAACAAATGTATTCGGCATCTTTGGGATCGATCCAGGGCCAAAATTGGGATGCGACCACTGTGGTAGATTTTCCCGAGACCGACTGCCTGTCAAGCGAGATCGAGCCTGCTGCGCAGGGCGCTTCACCATGTTCTCGAGGAAGAACGATCCTTCGTCTTGCTCCGGAAGATGCCCGCTATCTTCCATGTCAGAGAAGAGCTCATCGTCTGAAGTGAAATGCGGCAGATAAGATGCCGGCGCCGATGGCGAGGTCACGGAACGCGAGTGGAGGCCAGGCCGGCTCGCGGCCGTCGCAAATGCACCCGGATTCTTGTTGCTGCCATCACGCGCTGGCCTTTCAGCGAACCCATTCTGGAAGGATGCGTTGCTCCCAGCCGCGCTCAGGATGGGTAGAACTTGTTCGTCATAAAGTTGTGCTCCAGATTCTGAAAAGGTATCTGGCGTGTACTCTGTGATTGTCCGAGAGGATCGCCCGTCGCTTGGTGGGCTAGTGGACAGATCATCGAAGAAGTCGTCAAGACTGTCCAGCTTAGACGCCAGGTCCGCGGGACCAACTTCTCCACGGGCCTCGTCCGACATCATCGTGTCAGTCCTATCTGGATTTGGGAAGTATCCATATGGGAACTCATCTGCGTGGAACTCCACATCTGGGGTCGGTGCCGATTCGATGATGATGCCTTCGACGCTCTGGCACATGTAGAAAGAGGCATGAATATTTGCCCGCGTCGAATCTGTCTTCTTGGCAGGAACTGGGATCGCCCATCCAGAGTCTTCCGGTATACCAAACAAACTCTGCGCTCTCTCGTACTCTTTGCGGACCGCTTTGGACGTGGGACGCGTCATGCTCATCCGCAAATGATGCTTGTCCATCGAAGACCCAGACATCGTCATAATGTTATCCAAGACATCAAGCGCCTCCATGCAAAATTCGGTTTGGAGTAGCCTCAGAAGAGGGGAGATGAGATCCGAACCATGACCCGCCATTTCAGGTTTTCTCAGGTCAATCTCGGGAATGACGACCCGCAAAATTCGCATAGTGCTGGTCTTGACCCAGCCCAATTTGTTCGTAAGCATTCCCATTAGAGTTGTGACCAACGCGAAATCCAGCTTTGGTAGAAAAGTCTCCTTCAGAGCCGCAAACATTCGTGTCACGAAATCTTTGGGCGTGTCATGGTGTGGCGAGAGATAGTCGTTGAGAACCAGAGCCACCGTCGAAAGACCCTGTGTTACCGCAACTTGGAGAAGGGTCTCGGCAGTCTGTGCCACATCACCGCTTGGCTCGCCTTGCTCCAACGCATGGACGAAGCGAGGGAAATTGGCGACAATGGCGAAGAAGATACGATTGTCATCTCCGATTAAGGGATCGGCTGGTAGCGTGACGACCCTGCTCATGGTCTTTAGGGTCGTTTCGAGGCATACAGAAGAACGGAGGCCCTTGTACAGCAGCGGCTGCAGTCCTTCGAATGCACCCTCCCATTTCGATGGCTGCCCGTCCATGAGCAATCGCCGGGTGCTTGCTTGTTGAAGATCAACCTTGTCCATGAATTCGTTGAGCATTTCCACGGATTCAAGATACTCGCGTTCGTTGATAGACTCCATGCATGCACAGGTTGTCCAAAACAGCTGGGGAAATGTGATCAACTTCTCCGCTTCAAGCTTGGCAATAAGGGTCTTCAAAGTCGTTAAGATCTCCATGGCGAAAGATTGGATTTCGGCGTCCTCGTCAGCAACTGTGTTTGACAGCCGAGCGAGCATGTCGCCCAACATGTACTGATCCAGCGAGGTCAGTATGCAGCGGAAAATCTGGAAAGAGCGGCAAGCCAAATGGCGGACAGGACAAGTTGTGGCCCATGTCAGAGATAGTCGACTCCATTGCTCCTTAATCCCTGCGAAAGTGATCTCGAATGTCTCCACAATCCTTTTAGTAAGAGACTCCATGCTGGGAGGAACCTTGGTGTCGTGATCATTGACCTTGCCATTGCTATCTTCGTATCCCCAAACAACGGAGCGATCATGCCGTCGTATCAACTCAATGAGGTCCTCAATAGGCTTCTTCACTTCTTCTGGAGAATCATCGTCGAGCTTCGAAATGACCAGTTCGTGTATCAGATGCACGAGCATCTCCCGGGCTTGTTCTTGAACCAGAGGCGTGTAGTGATCCCATAGAACAGTGACCACTTGCAGTAATATTGGTATACTCTCCTTTTGCAGGTTGACGGGGGACACCATAAGATCCACGAGCAATATCAGAGAGAGCTGCCCCAGAGAAAATCCGGCTTGCTTGGTACCAACCGGGAGAGCGTCGGTCAAGTCAGCACAGTAAGGGAAATGGTTGACGTCTGACGGCGGTGGCGCCGTTTCCCGCTTCTCATTCGGTACCATTGCTTTCGGCGTGATCTGAAGCAGTAGGAACTCAACGACTTTGTGGCCAGGGTTGCTGTTAGTGCTCGCAAGGAACACTACAATCTGCTTGGCGTATTCAACAAAATTCTGCTCTCGCCGCTCAAGACACAATTGCATGATGAAGTCGAGCACGAGCCGCACGTTTCCAGGGTAGGGGCCCGCCGCGAGCGCTTGCCAAAGAGCTTGCACCTCGTTGTGGAGCGCGGCGCTTGACTTGATCGTGATCTCCAACAAGTTCGCCAGCAGAACATAAGACTGACCAGTTGGTCCACCATTTGGGTCCACTTTCAGTTCCACTGACTGGATCCAGGGTAGTATCACAGCGATGACGCTCCTCTGGTTGACGGGCTGTAGGTCCTTGAAATAGAGGGTGAATTCGGAGAAGATATAGAAAGCCAGGTCCGTGTGCTGCTTTGAGAGCCTCTCCGAAATTTTGTATTGAGCCAGTTTGTATACTGCCTTCGTCTTATCAGAGATGCTGATATCAAAATCCTGGATCTTGGATGTCTTGGCGTGTAGATGTCGTTCCTCGATAGCATGAAGGACCTGCGCAGACTTGGTTCTGATATCGCTCTGATCATTGCCCAAGGTGAACAGGCATAGTCCCAACAGCTTCCAAAAGGGAGAAGGATAGTCGGGGTACTCATGAAGGACCTCGGTGACCACAGTGAAATAACTTTCGAGGACCTTGGGGATGTCGGTAAGATAGCATCGTAAAATGCAGTGCTCCAGAAGGTAGGGAAACTCCTGGTTGTAAACGATCAAATTCTTCAGCGCTCGTCTTCCGATCAACTTCATCCGGTCATTGCCGTTGCTGAAGATTGTTTCCAGCCACGCCAGCATTCGCCGCACGTCAAATTGCAAGGACGCACCGCTTTCAGTTGTGACACTGATGGGGCCTGCACAAAGCGCAGCCATAGCACTCAGGGCAGATGTCCTGAGATTGCGCTTTTCGATTTCCATCGCAGCCGATGCTGTATTCCTCTCACCAAGGTTCTGTTGATCAATCATCGACTGTCTCATAGTATCTTCTCTCTGACGGATCTGAGATTGGTTGGGCGAGAATCCACACCACTCCTCCATCAACGCAAAAGCTGACTTGCGGGCTTCAAATGTCATCCATCTCGATGGGTCACTCGTTCGATTGATGCCCTCAAAGAGCTCCTCCATCAGCCCGCAGTAGTGTCGCCTTAATTTTTGAAACTCCCAGTCCATTTGCACTTCGCCGTCCATTAGGAACAGCTTCAAATCTTTTGCGTACGAGACGAGGTTGTTGAGTATCCATTCGTCTTGATATACCTCGGGTTGTTTCAGGAAGTGCGATGTGAGCTTATAGACATGGGTAATCTCGGTCCTCAATAAGTCCATCTTACGATTTCGGCGCGGACTGCTGTTCGTCCGCTGATGGATACGAGCTCTCGCCTCGTCATTACACCTGGAGGCATAACCCTGCAGTTCCTCAAGAAGGGTACGATATATGTAGATGTTGATAGAACCCATCGCAGTGACCACAGCTTCCCTGACAGATGCAGACGAGACGGAGAGGAGTGGGTTGAGATACTTGAAGAGAGTCCTCGCCGACACAATCTTATCGGTCGACGAAGCCAACGAGCCCTTGCGCAGGTGCTGGTTCCCATGCAGTGGATTAGATTGCGGGTTCCCGGGGTCCGCGAGCGTCGTACAAGCAAAAACTAGGAACAGTTTCCATTGCTCGATCAAGACATCCGGTTGCACTGTGGGTGTGCGTCCGACAAAACGAGCACTCCCTGGGTCTGACCCATAGTAAAGACCCCGGGAGGGCTCAGAGAGGAGTGTAATTGTTTTGTACATCTGGAGGATGCGATTGCAGATGAGGTCACGCCCAATAGTGACAGTGAAAGGGCATTTCTCGTACGCGAGCCGGATCAAATTGGGAAAAAGTTTGAACCAGAGCGTTGTATCGTAAGAAACGTCGCTTGTACAGAGCTCGACAAGTGCGCTCTGATTGTTGCCGTCTTGCATCCCTCTCTGTATACGACTTCGTTCGGCTACCGACAGCTGGTCATCCTTGAAGTTCATAACTTGCACGGAGTCATTTTCAAGAATGTCGATCAGTCTCAACGTGTCCTTCTCTGGGCTTGTCGACTTGCCAAGTGCCGTGTCGAATTCAGTGATTAGCCGCAGGACCGTGATTGCGAAAAAGCGTACAGTACGGGACTGCGAGCACAGGAAGAACAAGCCGTGCGCTTCGATCTGATCAACCTCGGCCCAGATACTGGATATGTCCAACTGCATGCCTCTTTTGTCAGCAGCACTGCTCTCACCAGCCTCCGTGACAGCGTGCCTCTGTTTTCGCTTGATCTCTTCAATCCAGATTTGAAGTAGTTCAACGTAGAGCCTTAGGGTGTTCTCGACATGACCAGGGCCCAGCATTCCGCCATCTGACATGGTTGAGTACCTATCGTCAAAATTGAAGATGAAACGGGAAAACCCAGTAGCCACGGGTTGTGCATAAGACTGCCGTGCGATGGCCTTCAGAGACTGGGCCGATGACTCGGCAATGCTGTACTGCAGATGGGCCGTCCCTGTACAGAGCAGGTTGATAAGTGAATTGAAAGGGATATCGGCAGACAGGCAGCGTGGCAGGGCTTGCACAGCAACATGAAGGAGTTCGTAGAATGCCTGCTTCTGATCTTGAGGGCTCTGGTGATCATCGCGGCGAAAGTTGAAAGTCTCTGAAATCGGAGTCTTTGGACCAGGACTGCTGAACTTCTCCTCCAGTGCAGCCTGGCCACCGAATGTATTGTCGCAGATCATCGTGATCTTGCCTAGAATCTCACAAAATTTGGCATAATATTCTCGCACCGCGTCATTCAGCAAGTGGCTCAAAACCGGACTTGTCTGGGCTTCTCCACCAGGAGACGTCGCAGCCGGGCTGGACATAGAATCATCCCTTGGGGAGGAAATGATCGGTGAAGTAGGCAAACGATCCGGTGGCGGCGTCGGGGCCGGATAGTACTGAGGAAATGGCGGCCGGCCTTCCTCTCCCCTTTCCAGATCTGATATGACAACCAAAAAGGATCTAATACCGATGACTATTTTGTCCGGATCGAGATTTTCAATCTTCAAGTCCTTGTTGGAATTGAACTGGTCAGCGCTGACGAGAGGGAAAATGAGGTTTTTGAAGCAGTATTCAGGCTGCTTGAATCCGATTATTCGGATGATCTGTATGAGGGGGTCCGCAACGGAAGTGTCACTAGCAAGCACGGGGCGTCTTCCTGGGGGCAAGACTAGCTTCAGAACTTCATCGAGCTTCCTGATTGTGCCGGCTGCGGTGTCAGTGGTCCGCATCAGATACGTCCAGACGAGACGTGATAGAACCTGCAGGCATACCGGCCTGGCGTAGCGATCCTTCAGCTTTGTCTGTAATGATAACACGAGCTGGAGCCATTGTGATGAAAAGGTCTCGGGGGGCGACACGCAGAGCATGGTAGCCGTCAAAGGAAAGGCAAATGTCCAGTGGCGTGGCTTGACAAATATCTGCCCCAGTCGAGGGCTGATGTTGCTGAGGACTTCAGCCCACTTCGGGTGACTGAAGTCGCTGTTGTTGGCCGTAGCAGCGATAGGAAGTAAGAGCATCTCCAGCATTTGACAAAACGCAGACTTGACCTTTTGACCGTGTGATCGGCCGAAGAGCCTGCCCAGCGCGATCATGAAATTGCATGTCTGGTCCCAGGATCCAGGATTGCTGACCTTTAGTCTGAGATGCTTCATTCCGCCGAGGACTAGCTCGATCTTTCCCTCTGTGGCATCCCGACTTGCAGATATGGGGCTCTTGAGGACCCCATGTTCTTGGAGTGAGCGGTCGAGATCGGCAATGAAGCGCTCGGTGACGCCTGTAAAATTGATATCGCTCATGACCCCGAGAAGTTGCGCAAAGAGGTTCCAATTTGCCAATTTCAGTGGCGAGAACATCAATTGTTCTGTGTCGGCGATCTTGAGTTGGCTGAAGATAATGCCTTCCAACTTATCCTCCATCTCAGGTGTGATGGATGAGAGGGTGCTCTGGCCGATGACCTCGAGTAAGACTCGGCACAGAATGTAGATGGAGACGAGCGACCGCCGTTCAGCTTGAGCTACGAATTCCTGTCTCGACGCAACAGATGATTGACCATTTTGCTGCAGAGGGTCCGCCATACCATTCCCGTTGGGCTGCACTGGCTCCGTGTTCCTCCTCTGTAGAGGGCCGGAAAGGGTCTGCCCTTTGTAAGCCGAGCGCGCTTCATTTGCAGCGTCGCTTTTGCTCTTCCTCCATAGCATCATTGAATCGATGAGCGCCTTCGGTTTCGGACTGGCGATATGACCAAGAGCCACTATGCTCTGGTCGAAGGCGGGATCTACGCCCGGGCCACATATTTGCTCAATTTGAGGTTCGGGCTCGAAAGGCACCGTTATAGATTCGTTCAGCTTCTCCTCGGCTTGGCCAATAAACTATGACAATGTTAGCATACGCCCTAGGGTCGGTATCCGAGATATCATACCGAGGTAAACAACACATGCAGGGCATACTCCCCAACTGTCTTTTGCTCATCTCTGTGGTGCCTGGAGTGTGAATGGTGATGCGCGTGGTCGCGCTTGCTCTTGCCGCTATGCATTCTTTCCACCTTTCTCTGCGTGGCGCTTATGTCTATCGCGGACGAAGTCCGCTCTGGTATATGAGGCCCGGCAGTCAATGTCGCGCCTGACATGGCAGTAGAAGGGCGTGAACCGAGAGCTGTGTCTCCATAAGGGTGCATCTCAGCTCGTTCTGGCGTGAGCCCAGTCCCGGCCGCGGCGATAATCTGGGGGCTCAGAGGGCTGGACGAGGAGCTGGCTAGACTTCCATTCCTCGAGTGTTGTATTCCATGCACGATAGAGGTCTGTCTGTGATGTCCATAGGTACCCCTCGAGTCAATAATTCGGTCGAATACGCTGCCGAGGGCCGAGCGAGAAGATGCAGCTGCTTGTGCGCGTGGTGCAGAGGAGGGTGAATGCTGTTGGGAATGCGGTTGTTGGTGGTGTTGCTGGTGGGACAGCGATTGCGACGGGGAGATGGCGGGTTGTGCGCCAGCCTGCAGCTTTTCTAACGACGACTCCCGGGAATGGGCTATGTATTGGGCTTTCTGCGGATCCAGCTCGCCAGACGTTACGGTCTTGTCCCAATCCTCATCCTCCTCGTGTATAGGCGACCGGGGCGAGAACTTCAGAGTATCGTAGGCATGGTCGGGCAGGGTCGAGGAAGGAGCTATACGGGCAGCTCTAGTCAGCACACGGCAACGCGCAATCCGAGTCTCCAGCCGGCAACCCACAACCTCGAACGTGCAAGGCTTGCCCACTTGTCCGCAGCAGCAGGTTTGCTCTTGGGCGGACTATGGGGGATCGCAAATAATGCAAGAGCGCAGGAGTGCAGGTAGTGCGGTGTCAGGAGAGCAACAGGGATGGGTTGAAGCATTTGGAAACAGACATTGCTGCCGGAGCGCAATGGTTCGTTCCCCTCTTTTGGCAGTGTTGTGAAACAGGTGAGAGGCTCGGTTTGTGCACAGATGGGATGGGCCCGCCACCCGAGCTGAGAGCGTGCTGTAACCTGTTGTTTCACACCCAGGATATCCTCGGGTGTCGAATGGACGGACTTACCCATGCTGGGCCTCTTTCCAGGCCCCTTCTATATAGGGGCATCAGACTGCCTCGATGGAAGATGACACACCCCAGCCAGGTGGACAGACGAACAGACAGACAACGCACAAGTATGCCCAGGTGGCAGTGTGGAGGGCAGGTATGGTAGGTATGTAGGTCCAGATGGTCTACACCATCGGTCATAGGTGGGTGGGCGGTTGGGCGGGACAGTTCTCTTGCAGGCCCTCAAGCGTCAAGAGTCGTGGTGTCTGGGTACCTGAATGCCTACCTAGCTAGGTAAGGGTATGAACCGCTTGGATGAACCAATCCAGATCCCTTGCATGCTCTGCGGCGGCTTCCGGATCACCACAAGGTGAGGTTCGAGAGTCGTAGCGGGCGCTTGACTTCCCCTAGTTGGTTAGATTACATGGATTGTCTACCTAGGCAGAGCGCGCGACAGCTCTGTCACAGGCGATACTGCAATTCATCCTTCAGGTCGCGAGCCACACTCCGGACAGGCCTGACAGACCAAGAATGCAAGGTACGAGGAGCTCGTGGCCAATCACACCGCTGCCGTGGAGACGCTGCCGAGGGGGGCCCTTTCTGTCTCTGTGGTTTGGGCTGCACCATTTGCCAAGCCACCTACTGTGTGTACACTCTGGCATATGATGATGAGGTGTCACTGAAGCTGCCTCGATTGCTTATTCTGTGTATTACCTGTGAGGTAAGACGGTAGTGCCCTCACAGACGCTGCACGACCATCTCACCGGGAGAGCAGGCTTCGGCATCAGAGATGGCACCAGCTCCACCTCCCCACATCACCAACCACCCCGGTGACTGGGCTGAACTGGATCCCGGTCGGACCCATAAAACTGTTCCCGGAGTCGGAGGCGCGGGACAAACTTGAGGCCCATCAGCCCGGGCTCCGTGGCCCGCAGCCAACTCAAGTCTCCATAATAAACTGATCCCCCAGCGGCGCGGACCAACGCTGGAATCACAGCCCTCATCTGAGTCAGCTACTGCAATGCTGCCCACTAAGTTGTGCATTGTCAACTGGTACCGTGCATGCCGGCCTCCAAGGCCTCCCCGGTTGCAGTCCAGATTCGACGTGTTGGTCGGTTCACTCGGAACCGATGCCATCGCCGATATTTGGGACGGGGGCCCAGGTTGCCAAGCACGGGACATCATATCATGATCACTGTCAGCAGGCGTCAGCGCAGGTTGTGACATGTAGACTGCAGTCACAGCATCGCAACGGTGCATGGCAATAACGGTCTATGACTCTATGCGCATTGCATGCCATGTCACTGCCACTGCCACTGCCATCACCGTGCCTCGGTACAGCAATCTACTCGTCATCCAATTCCGTTAAGTTTTGGCGTCTCAGCCCTCGGGTCTCAAGACGGGCGAAAGCATGGAATATTCGAGATGGCCTCAGTGCCTCCTGGGTTCAGGTCATGCCCCAGGCATCTGGCTGGAGGGGATCGAGCCGTCGTAGGGTTACGGTTGCCGTGCTTACCTGCAGCTGGATGTAAGCCCTAGGCAAGATTGATTACATACTCTGCCCATTCCCGCTCGCAGATGGCGAACACCTACATACTAGTAGGCGTACTGTGTCGTACCGCACCGTACCGCACCGTAATCGTAACCGTATCTACCGGGCTCGGGAAGAGGAACCGTAGGCATAAAAGGACGGTGGGCCAGCGGCAACCCGGCCTCGCCATTTCAGGCCCTCGGGCAGCTTGTGAAGACCGTGAGATCCAGCACGGAGAGGCGGAGCGAGGGAAAGCGAGAAAGAGCATTACTCGTAAAACGGCCTCGGGAATGACTGTTCCTCCTCTGGAGGTGCCCCTATGCCCAATACTGCATAGATACCTCGTGGGTACATGGATATCTCGGCAGGACAGCGCAGATCAACGCACGTGTTAGGTACACGCAAAGTATATGACCAACGGCCATCAAGACCTCGCCAAAACGGCCCAGTGCCATGGGGCCGACGTTGGGGAACCGTGAGACTAGGCTATGCCTAGGTCGGAATCTAAAAACTGAAGTAAAAGCATCTAGGCCGCCGCAGCACAGGCGAGGTCCCCTAAAAAAGAAAAGCCGGCATTTCCTTAACAGCCCACCCGCGGATCCCCCCCCGAACAGTTACACTTTTTCTCTTCCCTCGGATTAAAACCGGACCACGAAAAGCCCGTTATCACTTATCGCTGCCCCCGTTCCCTTCTCGTTCTCCTCCACTCCGACGCCACGTTTGAATCCCAACACGCTGCGCTGTCTCCTTCGTTCCCGGCCCTTATAAAACCTTGTTGTACTCTGCAAGGCGACTTCCCCCCCCTCGACCGCAGTGTTGGTGGCTGACCGTGTCATCTTCCCTCGAGGGTCATCAGCCGGCAATCCTGCCACAGACGACAACCCCGGGCCCTTCCGCACGAGCTATCTATCCCAACGAAGCTCTTGGCGCCGCGAGCCACCCAGAGGTTGCGCGCCATCTTCCGTCCTCTTCCTGTTCTAAACACCTCACACCATCCGCTGCCCTACCCGGTGCCCCAGGACGCCCAAGGTCAGTTCCCACAACCACTCATGATGGCTTCGTTCTCGCGCACTGGCTAACAGTAAGCTTTACAGCCTCCTCAGCACCACAGTCGCAGCGCCATTGGCTTAGCACGCGTGCCTCGGGCACTGGTCGCCAACATGGCTGAACTCGACACTCTGGACATTGTTGTCCTTGCCGCGATCCTCCTCGGGACAATTGCATACTTCACAAAGGGTAAATACTGGGGAGTCACCAAAGACCCATATGCCAACTCATTCGCCAACGGAAATGCCGCCAAGGCCGGAAAGACCAGGAACATTCTGGAGAAGATGGAGGAGAGTGGGAAGAACTGCATCATTTTCTACGGATCTCAGACCGGAACCGCCGAGGACTACGCCTCGAGGCTTGCCAAGGAAGGCAAGAGTAGGTTCGGGCTCGAGACTATGGTTGCTGACCTCGAGGACTATGACTATGAGAACCTCGACGCTATCCCTAACGACAAGGTCGTCATGTTTGTTCTGGCCACATACGGTGAGGGCGAGCCCACGGACAATGCTGTAGACTTCTATGAGTTCATCACCGGGGAGGACGTGTCATTCTCTGAGAGCAACGACCCCCCTCTGAGCAACCTTAACTTCGTCGCATTTGGTCTCGGTAACAACACCTATGAGCACTACAACTCCATGGTTCGCAACGTCAACAAGGCCCTCGAGAAGCTTGGCGCCTACAGGATCGGTGAGCCCGGCGAAGGCGACGACGGAGCCGGCACCATGGAGGAAGACTTCCTCGCCTGGAAGGAGCCCATGTGGACTGCCCTGTCTGAGAAGATGGGACTGGAAGAGCGCGAGGCTGTGTATGAGCCGATTTTCAGCATCATTGAACGTGAGGGTCTGACCAAGGACTCGCATGAGGTCTATCTGGGAGAACCCAACAAGATGCATCTCGAGGGCACTGCCAAGGGACCTTTCAACGCGCACAACCCCTACATTGCCCCTATTGTCGAATCTCACGAGCTGTTTTCTGTCAAGGATCGAAACTGCCTGCACATGGAAGTCGATGTCAGTGGTTCCAACCTGAGCTACCAGACCGGTGATCACATAGCCGTCTGGCCTACCAACCCCGGTGCAGAGGTCGATCGTCTGGTCAACATACTGGGGCTTTCCGAAAAGCGCGATCAAGTCATCAGCGTCAAGGCGCTGGAGCCCACAGCAAAGGTCCCCTTCCCCACCCCAACTACATTCGATGCTATCGTTCGTTACCACATGGAAATCTGTGCCCCAGTCTCCCGTCAATTCCTGGCTACCCTGTCGGCGTTCGCCCCTGACGAGGACTCCAAGGCTGAAATGACTAAGCTCGGTGGTGACAAAGATTACTTTCATGAGAAGGTCAGCGCTCAGCATCTCAACATTGCCAGGGTCCTTGAAAAGGTTGGAAACGGCCAGCAGTGGACCAATGTCCCATTCTCTTGTTTCATTGAAGGCATCACCAAGCTGCAGCCCCGTTACTACTCTATCTCCTCGTCTGCAATGGTGCAGCCCAAGAAAATTTCTATCACTGCTGTCGTCGAGACACAGGTTCTTCCCGGCCGAGAAGACCCATTCCGAGGTGTTGCTACCAACTATCTCCTCGCTCTGAAGCAGAAGCAAAATGGCGATCCAAACCCTGAGCCCTTTGGTGCTACTTACGAGCTTACTGGTCCCCGCAACAAGTATGATGGCATTCACGTTCCTGTGCACGTGCGCCACTCCAATTTCAAGCTGCCCTCTGATCCTTCAAAGCCAATCATCATGATTGGACCTGGCACTGGTGTCGCTCCGTTCCGCGGATTTGTCCAGGAGAGGGCAAAGGAAGCCGAGGATGGCCAGGCTATTGGCAAGACCATTCTCTTCTTTGGCTGTCGCAAGCGAAGCGAGGACTTCATGTATGAGTCCGAGTGGGAAGTAAGTAGTTGTATCATGTGTGTGTGTATGAATACCTCCGTACTGACAGTCTACAGCAATACAAGAAGGCCATGGGTGACCAATTTGTCATGCACACTGCGTTCTCAAGGGAGGGGCCGAACAAGGTCTACGTGCAGCATCTCCTCAAGCAGCAGGGCAAGGAGATCAACGAGCTCCTCGAGAAGAAGGCCTACTTCTACGTCTGTGGTGATGCTGCAAACATGGCCCGTGAGGTCAACACCGTCCTGGCACAGATAATTTCTGAGCACAGGGGTGTGTCAGAGGCCAAGGCGGAGGAAATTGTGAAGAACATGAGGGCTGCAAACCAATACCAGGTACGTCTGAGCAGTGGTCATCCCCAGCAGAACATATGCTAACAAATTTCACAGGAGGATGTCTGGTCATAGAGAGTCAGCAAGCTTTGGTCGCATTTTCTGTAAAGCGGACGGAGACCATTTGTCCCAGGGTTATATCTGGTCGAATGGCATGGTTTGATAGGGATACAGGAGTCTGGCATATTTCAAATTTTATTGAAATTCAGCAAGCCTAGAAAGAACGATGTGTTTGCCGACGTTCATAACACAAATACCACTTGTTAATACCTTATCTCTTGCTGGACCACCGGACAATGCTCGAAGACGACCCTGCAAGACCCAAGCACTAACCATACTTTTTTGTGTGGAACAGGTATTCAAGCTATCATCTATTCTCGTCTTCAATTCTCGTAGAAGCCAATGTTAAATTGTCAAACAACCAATCTGATGAGCAACAGTCGGCCCCGGGCATTTTCGACGACCGACCGGCCTCGCCCGGATCGACAGACCGGGGTAGCCGAAATCGGTTCCGAGCTATTTCTAGTTCATTTGACCACGAGCTTGTACGAGTTGCTCCGATGACGTCGAGATATCCCCGGAATACCACAATAGCCACAGCCTTGGTTGTCCGAAATTGTAGCACGAGGCCGTTTGGCCCGATACGTGTTTGCAGATATGAAAGATTGGGGCAAACGACCGCTCTGCCGCCATGGAAACGCACGCACCGAGGAGGTGCCGTTTGCTTTTTCTTCATGCAGCTCGCGACGAGGTTGGTAAGGTTTGTTTGCACCGGCAGCCCGAAGACGACAATCAAGTCGAGTACTCTATAATTTCACGCCGCCGTTCATCGCCAATCTACAGGATGTTTCGTGGCCGACTGCATCGCGGGGGCGAACGATGGGTGCTGACCATCCTGCTGGACCATGTGGTCCCAGAGGCTGGTGGACGAATGCGCGGAGGAGGACGCCGCCTCGATCAGCCCTGATACGTGCTGGGCTTGAAGTTCGCTCTTCGAGTCCATGAGCTAGGTCGCCTCGGCGGGCCCCCTTCGCGTTGAGCATGCGACGAGACATGGCAGGCCCAGTCAGAGAGGCAGGAGTAAGACAAATGGAGACAGGGACGTGAGCCTCGCCCGCACCCGCGTCATCTCCCGAGATGTTCTGGAGCTGCCTCGCATGCTTCCAAGAAAGTGTCTCGCCTTCCCAAGGGGGGACCCTGAGATTTGCGACTTGATCGACAATGTCAATTGTCATTTTTCTGGAAGCCACGTTGCGCCGCACGCTCTATTGGACCCGGTTGCCGGAGGGGGGAGAAGCATGTTGACGTTTGTGTCGTGCCGCGCCTGCCTCAGTTCCTTTTTTCCTTTTTCACCTTTTCGCGTCCCGCGTTTCTGGCTGGCAGGAGGCCCGTTCACCTCTAGCCTCGTCCTTCGTTTTCAATTCAGTCCTGCCGTTTACTAGCTTGCGGAAAAGGGTAGAGCAAAGGGCGGGATATGGTGGTTTCTTGCATGTTGGCCGTCGAGGGTCGGCGAATGCCTTGTTGGTCTGCAATGGCCCATAAAGGCCCTGTCTTTCTGCTGCCTCGGCGCGTCTCCTTTCTTGACACTGTTGCTCCCCCCTTCAGGCTTGGGCTTGAGTCTGGACTCCTCAGTGGCCGCTGTGAGGGCCAAGCAAAGCATCGACGGTAGTCCACATGACGTTCTTCTCGCCGGCCTGTCAATATTGTTATTGTTTAGATATCTTCGCTGGCATTTGTACACCGGTTTGTTGGGCCTTGGAAACTCCCACTACACATGACCCACGATTCAGACAACCAGACTTTGTATAAGAAGGGCCTCTACCTCTGCCGGCAAGGCCCCTCAACTTCTCTTGGACGCAGAGAGATTGTACATTTGGAAGGCGTGCATAGCTGCTTGAAGTCGCAGAGTTGCAGAGTCCGGTGTGTTGGGTTCTGCGGCCCGACTTGGGAAACCACGCTGACCAGGTCAATTACGGACATCGAAGACTTTAATTCAGGTAGACATTCACCTCCATCCCGCTGATAACTAGGAAGCTGCGGAGTGTAAGGGTTGTTGACATGTCTTGTAGGTAGTTAAGGGATCGGTGCTGAGAGTGGAAAGAACAAATGAGGTGAATTGTCCTTTCCTGTTGGTTCCTACGGACTTTGAGCAGTTTTCTGACCAAGTTGCCTCTTGCTCTCTTTTACAGGACGTCCAATATTGGGATCTGAGCAGTGAAACCTCCAGCTGTTTCTTATTCGCTCTCCTCTGGGGTGAACTGCGTTTTCTTACAACGTCTGATGGTCCCAAGTCAGTGGCCACGCCCTACCTCAACACTCCATCCAATGACTGTCATCTCTGGGTTCTGGCTACCTTCATCCAATATCGTGCCTACCTCGATCTTCGATCGTTACTTTCAACAACTGTGATCAGCCAATCGTTGGGGCAATCATTTCACATTCTTTCTGCTCTACGGTGACTCCTTCTTCGAGGAATTTCAGCATTCATTACTTTGCCTGGGTAGCTGCCTGCGTGCCTCGAAGGCTGACCTGTACCTGCACTCGCGTCTCCATCGGCCTCTGTCCTCCTTCCACATATCGCGCCTCGCAGCTTCTCTGTCGAAATCAGTGTTATCTGTGCTCTGGGGCAGTCTGTCTTTTCAGTATCTCTTCCTGTCTCGCTGAGGTTTGTCTTCTTTTCCTCTTCTTCCCTTGATCACCAGCATCACAGATCGATCACTCAACCAGCTTGCTTCATAGCTCCATTCCTACCCCCATACCACTCGCTTCATCCCAACCCCCCCCTTTGACGCCAACATACCATCCCCAGGTTGCCAGCTCTGTCGTTCATCATTGTGCCTGTCTCGATTCATCTGATCTTTTCAGCTCAGTTGCGGGGTGGCTTGACGACGGCAAGGTCAGTCCTATTTCATCTTTAGGTGATCTGACTTCGATGCCTTTCTGCTTTGGCTATCGCTACACAGCCTTCAATCTTTCAACCACTGCAGGGCTCCTCGGAAAACCTTGCCCAATTTCTTTGCCTGCTCCTCTTCACACAACCTCGCACTCCTTCTGAAGCCTGCCACAAAAGCTTGGTCCAAACACTTCACTTTGAATCCTCTCAGATCGAAACAACCCAGCAAATTGATCCAGCCAGCATCGTTGCTGTATCTTTCGTTTACTCTTACTGACTATTTTCTGTACAGCTTTGACAGCATCCTCATCGATACTACCAATCAAGGTGAGTTTCTTCGTTGCCTTTTCCCATCGCAATGGTAATGCCTCAGGCCTGAGAAAGACTTCCCCGTTGTGCTTGACCATTCACATCGTTGTTTTGGTCGAATCCCATGGTGTTGTGGTTTAAGCAATGCTTTCTCAAGCTTGGCTTAATCCAAATGTCACATTTCACCTTCAACTAGCCTCTTCGTCTCCACATGAAACGCTGCTCCTGGCTTTCCTAGGCAACGTGTCTAACTTCTCCTCCGATTTAACCCCATGATCCACAACATGTACGATACTCAGCGCTGACAATTAACTCTGTAGAAACCACAATGTCTTACCACAACCACGCCACTATGGCTTCCGATGCCAACAATCAGGGCCCCCGCCACGCAGTCGGAGCTGCTTACATGGCTGCCCAAGGAGCTCATGACGTTGCCGGACCTCGTGGCATTCACTACCCAGCTTCCCATCATGACACCCTTGGCGGTCTTGTCAGTTCTTTCGGCGCTCTCGGCCTGGCTAATAATAACGTTCCTCAGGGCGCTGCGCCTGTTGCCATTCCTCCCAGCGGCTACATGCCCACTGACGCTTCGGTTGTCTACTCTGGCTATGGAGCTCACATTCAGGCTCCTTACAACATGGGAATGGCCCAAGTCTCCGACTCTATCTACGGCCCTGGTGTCTCTGCCAGTCACTACATGCATCAGAGTGGCGTTCCTGGCGGCTATGGCACCTACATGGTCCCTTACACTCCTGGTCGAGCAGCCTCCTATGGTGACCGGATCGAGCGCGGACTTCGTGACCTGCCTGGACTGGACAACCGCAGAGGATCCTACTCCACCACTGCGACCGAGTCTACCCCGGGTACTCCTTTCTTTGGAGGCATGGGAGACCGACACTCTGCTCCCCGGGTCATTTCTGCCGACCGCTCGAGCTACACCACTCCGTCCCCCCAGCAGCTTGCCGTGTCTGGAACCCTTGGTCCTGTCAACTCCAAGGGAAAGCGAGTTGCAGAGGCTGAGCTCCGTGCTCTTGTCGACCAGGAGCCCGTTATCCTCCCTGCTGTGCCCGCTGTCTTCACTACCCCAGAGCAGCGCAAGACCTTGGACCAGTGTTTGGAAAACCGCATCGAGGGCAACAAGAATGTTTACATCCGTGGCCTGCACCCAACCACCGATGATGAGCTTCTGCTGAAGTATGCCTCCCGTTTCGGTGAGGTTGAGCAGAGCAAGGCAATCATTGACACTACTACCGGAGCCTGCAAGGGGTAAGTACCCTTCACATTTTCGGGTTCTTCATATCAAGTCTCTGACCTTTGCAGTTTCGGCTTTGCCAAGTTCAAGAATGTCCGTGACTCCGAAAAGTGCATCCAGGCCTTCTATCTTCTTGGCTACGAAGTTGGCTTTGCAAGGGAGAGCTTTAACGCTCGCCTCAAGGCTGAGGGAGACGATGAATCAACCAACCTGTACATCTCGAACTTGCCAAAGTCTGTCACAGAGGCGGTTAGTATTTCCTTTCCCGGACTTGGAGCCTCCATAGTGCTAACATTTAGCAGCAACTTGTCGCAATCTTCGATCCCTACCAGATCATTTCTAGCAAGATTCTTCGCGACAGTATGGGCAACAGCCGCGGCGTTGGATTTGCCCGGTAAGTCGTCTCTCAAGACTCTGGCATCAAAAATATCTGACCAACCATCACAGTTTTGAGAGTCGCGAAGTTTGTGAGGAGGTCATCAAGCGCTACCATGGCCAGGCCATTGGCGATGAGTGCTTCCTGATGCAGGTTCGCTACGCTGATACGCCTTCTCAGAAGGAGCTGAAGCGCGTCACCGCCGAGCGTCGCCAGTACCGCACCAACGAGTACAACATCGGCGCATACGGAACCATGGCTGTCGGCATCAACCCTTCTATTTACAACACGCAGCCCAGCTGGGGTCGCACTCCCCGCTTTGCCAGGTTAGTCGCGCCAAAATGAATCCTTCACATATTGATTGTCTTGTAGAAGCTGACATGTACTTCACAGTGCTCCTGGAGCTCCCCATCGTCCTGTTCTCACTGCCAAGAGCGGAAACACGAACATGGCGAAGGGTCGAATTCATCAGTAGGACTTTTCGCCCTGGCCTGGCCTCAAATGAATGCCTTTTCCTTTTTGCTGATTATTTCACACAGACAGAGCGCAGTCGCGTCTTCTTCGGATGATGGATCTGCCGATGAGGGTGTGACGATTGTTGACTCGCCTACCAACCACAAGTCGCAGTCATCTCCCATCATCAAGAAGGAAGCTGTCTAGAGGAAACCCATCCTTTCTGGCCATCATACTTCACACACTTTGGACCACGCTCTTTCGACGTCAGCACTCCCGGCATAATTTTCAGCATCAGCCTTATCCCAAGGGCTTGTGGAGGTTGTTCGATGTCAGCAGGGTCCGCAATTTTGGTGTCCTCTCTTAAACTCTGGTCTTATCATCGCAAGTATGTCCCTTAACGCAAGAGGCTGTCCACCTCGCATGAAGGATCTGCTTTCTAGCAGTTAAAGCAGGGAAGATCAGTACATTCATCACCGCCCATCTTGTCTTCTGTACCATATCACTTTCCGTTGTCTGGACCTTGCTGTAGCAGCAGGATCGCCAACCGGCAATATACATTCATGGAAGTCGTTGATAGAAAAAGCGGGTGCCCAAAATTCACAAGTGACTGCTCTGAGTGCTGTGCAATGAAAAGTCTTGGCAGCCTGCCGGGATCAAAGCCACAAATTGGTGCTCCAAGTTTTCAATTTGGTGATGCTTTTGGCCTCATGAAGTATCTTTGATGTCTAATTTTCCCATGCCGTCCAGCTTCCCGTCTAGGGTTCCTCCCTGAACCTCGGGATCCTGGCCGGCTTCACCATCAGGCTCACCCTCGTCCGCACTCGTGTCGGCCTCGTCCTCCGAGTCTAGACCTTCGTCTCCAGACACATTATCCCCACCCTCGTCTTTCGATTCGGCCTGCTCTCTTATGGCGGCTTCGAGGTCCTTTGACATCTTCTTCGTGAATCCCGAAGCCTCCACCGCAACGTCGATCTTCCTGGCGCCATCTTGGCCCACGGTCTTTCTCGCATCTTTATAGAAAGGACCAGGCTCAGTGCTCGTAAAATGAAACCTCCTCTCGAAGAATCGCTTGAGGCAGTTCACATCTCGATCAAAGTACATCTCGGCGTTCTGGTGGTCCATTGAGATCATTTGTGGGAAGTCAATGAGAATGGGTGTCAGTGTCACAGCAGCCTCTGCAGAGTCTCCCTCGCCATCGTCGTCAGCCCTTTCCTCCTTGATGAGAATATTGAATTCGTTGAAGTCGCCATGAATCAGTCCGTGTTTTGCTAGCCGTAGAATCATGGCAATAAGTTCCGCGTACAGGCCTGCTGGGTCGGGAACGGCTGATATTTGTCGTAATGGGTAGGAATCGTCGATGAATGACATGAGAATGGTGTGTCTTGACTGCGCGATTGGCTCAGGTACTGGGAACCCCTCCTCCCTCAGAGCCTGCATGAAGGCGAACTCTTTCATGGCCGACAATCTTGACAGATACATCCACGAGCCGCCTTGCCGTTTCTTCAGATAATCTCGGTTCGTCTTGACCGTGCGGAACGAGATGCGCCCCAGCCTGTGTATTTTCAATATTTTCTGCTGCCCTCTGTCGTCCGCCACCATCATGATGTCGCTCTCCTTGCCTACACCTACCCGGCTGCCCACGCTGTATATCTGTTTTTTGGAGGAGTAGGCGTGCAACGAGAGGTAGTCCAGCCCGCCGTATGTCAGGCGGTAGCCGTCGTATTTTGCTTCTTTCACCCGGGCGATGAGCCCGACCTTGGCAAGATTCGATATGGACTTGTGCACGCCGCTGCTGCCACCGCGCAGGCGGGCAATCTTGTCAATCATGGGTGTCGGGACGATCTCGTGGTTTTTCGAGCCCGTTTCTACCTGGTCGTCACTTGGTCAGAATACAAGCGGATACACATGGGGGAATGAGCAGCCTACTGCTGTGAGGACCCGCCAATCCTCAGGCGCGAGGTGGCGCATGGCCTTCGTGTCCAACTTCATGATGACGGACTGTTCCTAATGGTGCGGATAGGTAGGCCTCCCCTTGACTCGGGTGCGAAATCTGTAGGGCTATTAGGCAAATATGAGACTTGTTCGTGTCCCAAATCTCAGGATAATGGTAGATGGCGGGTTCAAGAGGTCGAATACAGCCAAAAATTGTCTGTCAGCATGGCCATGAAGCGTACAGTACTCGCGTTGCGATCACCAAGTCCCTCTGAAATTTACATGTGTGGTGGGATAAAGTTGCGGCTTATCTTATCAATGATTAGATATCCATCGACAGGGGCGCACTGACCAGCCCTGCCAGCCCGCGGCGAGGTGGGCCCCCCCTGCTTAGCCGTGTCTGGATGATGACCTTGCTTGCCATCTCCAGGCGGCAGAGACTCGCGTAATGAACCAGGTCCGGGAGCTAAGCTGCGGGCTGGCACTCTACGAAGCTTCCAGCACTAACATCAACATCACTTCACTCCATCCACCAACAGTCTCCGGCCGCTCTTGGACACCACATATACCGAGACGCGAATCCTCCGAATCTCTTCACTCCCTCTTTGCGACCATCAATTCTCCTTCCTGGCTTCTCTAGGCGCCAGTTGACGCAAATTCCGTCTGCGCCGACCCTAAAGCTGCAGCGTGCCTCTTAACCCCAGCCTACATCCATCATGGCTCAAGACAGCGACAAGCCTACTGCCGCCGACAAGGGAAAGGGCAAGGCGGTTGAGAATGGCAAGCCTGATGATGTTCTCAAGGAGAAGGATAAGGATGGCAAGCCTCTTGCGAATGGAAAGAAGGCCGACGACAAGGATGACAGTATGCGCCGCCATCCCATTACTTGCAACCGCATACTGACCTGTCAAATCTTTTAGCTACAGAAGAGCTCAGTGAGGAAGACCAACAACTCAAGAGCGAGCTCGACATGCTCGTTGAGCGCTTGACGGTATGTCCACCCCGCATGCCTTTCTCCATGTTGGGATCAACCAGTGCTGACCGATCACACCAGGAGCCCGACTCGTCCCTCTACAAACCAGCCTTGGAGGCCATGAAGAACTTCATCAAGACATCCACATCATCCATGACCGCTGTCCCGAAGCCGCTGAAGTTTCTCCGACCCCACTACGAGACCATGACCGACCTATACGAGAATTGGCCAGCAGGCGACGACAAGAACTCATTGGCTGACGTGCTGTCCGTGATCGGCATGACTTTCTCAGATGAAGACCGACAAGATACTTTAAAGTACAGGCTGTTGGCACCAACGCAGGACATTGGCTCCTGGGGGCATGAGTATGTACGGCATCTGGCTCTGGAGATCGGAGAGGTCTACGCCAAGAGGATCACAGCCGAGGAAACCACCTCCGACTTGGTGGATCTGGCGCTGTCCCTAGTGCCTCTATTTCTTAAGAGCAACGCGGAGGCCGATGCGGTTGATCTGATGAGCGAGCTGGAGATCATTGAAAAGCTTCCGGAGTTCATCGACGAAGAGACTTACTCCAGAGTTTGCTTGTACATGGTCTCTATGGTCAACCTTCTGACATATCCAGACAACGAGCTGTTCCTTCGTGTCGCTCATGACATATACAAGGAATACAACCAATACACACAGGCCATGGTCCTGGCGATCCGTCTCAATGATACGGAGCAGATCAAGGCAGACTTCGAGGCAGCTACGGACCCCACACTGAAGAAGCAGTTGGCGTTCCTGATCGCGCGGCAGAGGATATTCCTTGACTCGGAGGATGAGGATCCCGAAGTGCAAGAGAGTCTCAGCAATCTTCGTTTGTCAGAGCACTTCAAGACGCTTGGCAAGGAGCTTAACATTCTCGACCCCAAGACGACCGAGGACATTTACAAGAGCCATCTTGAGAGCAGCCGTGTGGCTGGGATGACCAACCTGGACTCCGCTCGTCACAATCTGGCTGCAGGATTTGTCAATGCCTTCGTGAATGCTGGCTTCGGCAACGACAAGATGATGCTGGTTGACAAAGACACTAACAGCTGGGTGTGGAAGACCAAGGACGAAGGCATGATGTCAACAGTTGCATCATTGGGAACTCTGCTCCTTTGGGATGTCGAGAATGGCCTCGACAAGATCGACAAATACACATACTCTGAGGAGCCGCAAATCGTTGCGGGCGCTATGCTTGCTATCGGAATCATGAACGCCGGCGTGAAGATGGACTCGGAGCCTGTCATGGCCCTGCTTGGAGAGCCCGAAAAGCTCGAGCACTCCAACCCTCTCATCCGTGTTGCTTCGATCATGGGACTTGGCCTGACATACGCCGGCTCTAACAAGGAAGAGCTGCTTGAGAAGCTTCTGCCTATCATTAACGACACAACACAGGATATGCAGATTTCAGCCATGGCAGCGTTGGCCTGCGGTCTGATTTTCGTCGGCACATCTCACCCAGACGTGACAGAAGCAATCATCACGACTTTGCTGGATGACGAGCGTCAGAACCAGTTGAAGGACAAATGGACACGATTCCTGGCTCTGGGACTTGGCCTGCTTTTCTTCGGCAAGCAAGAAGAAGTAGATGTTATTCTGGAGACACTCAAGGCTATCGACCACCCTGCAGCGAAGCCCACCGCCGTTCTGGCTGAGATATGTGCTTGGGCAGGCACTGGCGCTGTGCTGAAGATCCAAGAGCTCCTGCACATGTGCAATGAGCACATGGAGGAGTCTGACGAGAAGAAGGGAGATGAGTTGGTGCAATCTTACGCCGTACTTGGCCTCGGCTTGCTTGCCATGGGCGAAGAAGTTGGCCAGGAGATGGTGCTTCGCCAGTTCGGCCATCTGATGCACTATGGTGAGCCCAACATTCGCCGCGCCGTTCCTCTGGCCATGGGCTTGATCAGTCCAAGCAATCCTCAGATGAAAGTCTACGACACCCTCTCACGATACAGTCACGACAACGATAACGACGTTGCGATCAACGCCATCTTTGCCATGGGCCTGCTCGGTGCCGGTACAAACAATGCCAGGTTAGCGCAACTGCTCCGGCAATTGGCAAGTTACTACCACCGTGAGAAGGAGTCACTGTTCATGGTACGAATTGCTCAAGGTCTCCTGCACATGGGCAAGGGTACCATGTCACTCAGCCCCTTCCACACTGACCGACAGATCCTGTCGCGGGTCTCATGTGCGGGTCTACTAGCTGTGCTCGTCGCCATGATTGACGCTAAGCAATTCATCACCAAGAACTCTCACTATCTCTTGTACTTTTTGGTTACCGCCATGCACCCACGCTTCCTCGTCACGCTTGACGAGAACCTCAAGCCCCTAACAGTCAACGTCCGCGTTGGTCAGGCGGTTGATGTCGTCGGCCAAGCTGGTCGCCCTAAGACCATCACTGGGTGGCAGACGCAGAGCACCCCTGTACTGCTGGGATACGGCGAGCGGGCGGAGCTCGAGGACGAGGAATACATCAGCGTGAGCAATGTGCTCGAGGGTCTTGTAATTCTCAAGAAGGTACGTTGATCATGGCCCATACTCTTTTCCGATATTTGCAATTAGCTAACATTAAATGGCAGAACCCGGAGTGGGAAGACGGTAAATAAACTTAACCTGGGCACGTTTACATAACGCGGATAGGTCGGATGAGGGGCCGTGGGGGGCCTATTACTGTACAGTATTCGGGGGGCTCTTCAGGTTGGGGCCGCAGGAGTGAGCTTCATTCAGGTACCGAAATGAAACCATAGACGAATGGAAATGACTTTTCAGAAGTCTTTGCGGGTGCCAACGTCCGCATCCAGCCTGACTCTTGCGGAAGTAATATTGTCAAACACATGGTCTTGACCAGGCAGAATATGTCTATACTGATTAGGTCATGTAACAGGCAGCAGGAGACACGATGCGCTGCAGATCATGAACAAGGTCATGTTCATTGGGCTACTCATTGAGTAATGACAGCCATGATTATAGGCTCATCTTGCAATGCGCACAGGTTTATGTGTGATCATAAGCTACATGCCGCGGGGAGTATGGTAGGACATCTGACATGGAGGCAAATAGCGTCTAAATCAACATCGTTCAAACACTCTGTACAAGCCCTTCAGATTGGCAACCTCCAATGCGCCATCCTTCATCAGGCTGTTTGTTGCCACGAGTCGAGCCTTGAATGCGGGAAAGAAGACATGCTCGACAGCCCAGCGGACGTGCTTTCTCCTTGCTTTAACCTCCTCGTCAATCTCTTCCGCAGCGGCTGCCTCGGCCTCACTTGGCATTGGTGGTAGCACCTCGGGCACATAGAGCGATGCCAACTCCTTCAGAAAAGTCTCGAAGCAAGCCCCCTCCTCAGTCCAATCAACGTGCGGGCCTAGTCGAAGCAGGAAATTTGGCAGCTTCGCCATGGACGGGGTGTAGCCCTTCACAAGCAATGGTATGCTGATGAGCTCTCCGGCAGGAGAGATCTCGAACGAGAAATACTCCAGTAGCATCTCGCGACGCTCAATAAGCTGTTTTGATACCAGATCGACGACCTCTTCCACATCAAAATCATCCTCTGGGGTAGAGCAGTTCTCCTTCTCATGCTCCGCTGCTATTCGCAGAACAGCACGGAGATCTAAAGAAGGACTGAATTTGACAACTCCAAAATTTCCAAAGTCAGTCAACCCGACCTGATAAAAATATTCGAAGCATGCGCGACCATAGTCAATAAGATAAAGCTTGACGCCGCCTTGTATGGCTGCCAGCCGGCGCCGCTCGTCGACAACTCCGACAAAGGTATGCGTCGCAAGAACTTCGGTAAGCTCGTGGTGCATGTCATCTCGGACATCAGCGCGCAGCTCCCGGACACTGGCGAGGCGGCACGGTACTTGTTCGCGATCATTCACCTCGTATTCGATGGCTTCGGGTGGTTGGGCGTCGGGAGCAGTGGTTGGCGCTGCACTGGAGTCTCCAGGTGTGGAGTGTGACCCTTCGGCTTGGGCGAACATGCTTGTTATCTTGCGGAGATTGGTGTCTGTTCTGACGAGACTGTTTTCATAACGTGTCTTTTTCCCGGAGGCACGGCTTGTAGATGACGGCGTTGCAGCGTCTTCGGCCTGTTTCTGCGCGGATGCCCATTCCGCACCTGGAAGCAGCGTTTGTGTCATGAACGTCCGGCTCTGGTCGACTGCTGCGAGTTTACTGCGGATATGCTCACAGACAGCATTAATAATCTCATCCTCATTGAGAAAATTGACTTCTCGTTTCGTCGGATGCACGTTGACATCAACCCGCCCAGGATCAATTTCGAGGCTTAGGTACACGAAAGGATGACCACTCTTCGGCAGGAATGCTGCATATGTCTGCTCAATCGCTTTTCTGATGTTTGTGGACTCAACACAGCGGTGGTTTATGAAGAGAAGGAATGTCGTCTTCTTTATATGATAATTCGCATTTGTGGCGTATCCTTCGGCTTTGAAGCCCCAACGATCATCTGAGGTAGAATATTCGACCAGCTCGTTGGCGACGCTAGCACCGTAGATTTGACGGACACGGTCGACGACAGAGGCTGCCGCCGGCACAGATATGCTTGTAGATGATTCGCCTTGCTTTTTGCAGGAAAAGGCGACATTGCTGCAGTGGATGGCATAGCGACCAACCATGTCGATGATCTTGTTGTACTCGTCGGAGGCTGAGCGAAACGCACGACGCCTTGTGGGCACATTGTAGAACAAGTCCTCGACAGTGATCTGGGTACCGTTCCTGCCGGCCACTGGCTTGGGCTCCGGGGTCTGTCCCGGCTTAGCGGGCTCAAGCTTGCCACCGCCGTAATGAGCACGCCACGCACAAGTCGAGTCTTTGGTTTTGGTGGTGACTGTCAGGTGGGCTATGTGACTGATGCTTGCCAAAGCCTCTCCGCGGAATCCATATGTTGCTATAGAGGAAAGGTCCTCAAATGTCTGCAGCTTGGATGTGGTGAAACGCTCACATAGGATGGGCAAGTCTTCTTTCTACACAACAGTCAGACACTTGCTCAATCATCACGATCATCGAAATTCAAGGGCGCAACTGTTCTGCCTTGGGAAAGGAGGGAAACGTATGAAGGGTGTAGTGAGAATGCAAATACACACATCTATGCCACTGCCATTGTCAGTGATCTGGAGGAGCTTGAGGCCGCCATCTTTGGCCAGAACCTCGAGGGCGGTGGAGCCAGCATCAACAGCATTTTCGATGAGCTCCTTGAGTGCGTGAACAGGGGCAACAATGATCTCGCCGGCTGCGATCTTGTTGATGACATCTGGGTCAAGAGCTTTGATTCGCCGTGGCGCGGTCGCGTCAACTTGGTCAGCCTTCCTCTTGACGCCACGAGGGCCGTCAATGTCCATTGGTTCGGCCATCGCGGGAGGCTGCAGACATGGCAGGTCTCGGGCGCATGAGGCAAATGGAGATGATCAGGCTGATGAAAGACGGTGGAATTGGTTGCCGACTATCATGGGGAAGGATGTACAAGTGTTACCGCGACCGTGGACGACGAGAAGAGGAAGAGATGTGCTGCAAAGGTGCTGTACCGTACCGGCACAAAATAGACACAAACAGGCAGCAATTTGGTGCTCAGTATCAATTTGCCGTCTTGTATCCAAGTCGTCGCTCAACAAGGCATCTGCACCGACGCGCCTGCCGTGACGCGAGCAGCCTTGTAATAAAGCAGCGTGCAAGTCAGGAAGTCGCGTTTGCAAACGGCTGACCAGGTAGGAGCTGCTGTGCCCGCCAGCACTGCACCCAGTGCATTTCCTGTTTCTACCACCTGCCTTGGCACCTACACAGTCCAGAATTACTTAACTACACCGCCCCCTTTTACCTTTGCTTACCCGTATACCATCGTCTCCAGGAGCTTCCAACGCAACGCGAACTTACTTTGTTCGCCTCCATTTTTTCCCTTCCCTTTTCCTGTTGGCCATTGGATTCTGTCAGGATATTATGACAAGGCAGTAGTCTCATGTCATTTGCCGAGATCGGTACATAAATGGTAGCAAAAGTCTCGCAGTGGCATATTCTATCCGACTCCTTGGTTCATCCCCTGAAAGTAAATACCTGCACATAGGGCACCGCATCTAGGTATGTACAGTAGGTAGATGTATACGCAGTGACTTTGACAGTATACAATCACGGAGACCAAGTGTAGGTTTGAAATCGGTCATGACGAAGGCGTCTACTTGAGCAAGATATAAGAAGCCGAGCCCCATAGGTAAGGGCGAATTGGCCGAGGAATGCCTTTTCCTTCAAGTCCCATTCGTGAAACGATTGACTCCAACTACGATCACTCTAACCTTCACTCCCAGAGACAGAAGAACCGTGCCTCGATGCTCTCTCTAGGGGGCTTGTCCTGGGAATCAGGGAGCACAATCGCCGTGTGCGCCCCGGCATACCCGGTGAACCCAGGCTCGCCCTGCCTGCTGTCGCACCCCTTGAACACAAACATCTCGTTCGGCTTCATCTCATGGACGTAGTACCACGCATGCTTCTCCTCCTCCTCAGGGTGAGCCAGGAGAGAGTACGAGATGTTTGGATCCTCGGCCTGGCGAAACCTCCAATCACCAGTGCTGAGAGTTGTCGAGTCGCAGAGCGCAAGAGGGTCGCGCTCCAGCTTCTTGAGTGGCTTCCACATCTATTCGAAATCCTGGGTTAGCAAGTGATCAGAAAACATCAGGGCATATTTCGCTCTCGGTCCAAGACGCTGCATAGCGAGGGCACGCAGCCATCCACACAACGCAGCCCGGGAAAGATCTGGTTATGTCCTGTCGGAGTATCACCGTCCTAGAAGAAAGGTGAAGACACTCTCAGCTCACCTGCACAAAGGCCCACCGCGAGGCAGTCTTCGCGGCCTCTTTCAGCTCATCTCGTCTGTCTTCGGGGATGCCATCATAGTTAAGGATGGCGTCTTTCAGAAAAGGCAGCCGCTCTGGGTACACGACGGAGAAGTCACTGTGCGGCCACACAGTAGAGAAGCGGTTGTAGCGCTCCGAGTCCACGGCCTCCGCGAAAAACGTGTTCTCGGTCCGGCGGAGGACGTGGGCGAACGGCACAACAGTCGAGGCGCCCGTCCTGCAAGGAGCCAGCCCTGATCATCAGTTTCACTCGACACTCAACTCAGGACAGGAGGGCTTCAAGAGAGCAGACCTCTTCTTGATGACTTCTATCAACTCGGGGTAGAACTCCTCCTTGATCTTGTCGTCGGTGGAGATGTCCCGCTCCTTTTCCGGGAGCGTGACGATCTCAAAGCCGTTCCTGTCCAGCTTGAATGAATCCTCCTTGCCTCTGGCATTGTGGAATGTCACTGTGCAATTTCCTGTCAGAGTGTCGATTTTCACAACATCGTGGGCATTCCCAAGCAGACCAAGAGCTACTGAGACCGAGTCTCGTCTCGCTAGCAACGGGGCGACGTACTGTACCTGCTCGACTCGATGAAGTCGCCAAATTTCTTGGGTGCGGGCATGTCATCGGGACCGAAGTCCTTCTTGTCCACCGGCAGATAATTAACGAGCGCTTTCACATCGTGATGGTCGTTAACATAGGTCGAAGTGCAAACCGCAGTGGCCATAGTGTTCGACACGCCCTAATATGACTCCAGATCAAAATTCGGATTGTAATTGTCGTGGGAGACTCAATCATTAAAAACAGAGATCGGTAGTAAGCTCACTAAAAGGTTGATGACCACCTTAAGTAGACATGAATTAAGCCCCATGCCGACATCACAATGCGGGGCATGTGTTACATTGAGGAAGCCTCCATCGAATCAACCCTATGCTTCGCATTCGTATCAGACTCAATCAAAGCCTAAATCTACAAAGGTAATACCAGAAACGGCAACTCGTTCTAAGTTTCGCAGTTCTGTAAGACTCCGCGCAAGAGCGGTGAGTGGTTGGAATCCTCGCCAATATGCGGCAAGATTTGGCCGAGACGGGTGAATCTAAGTGCCTAACCTTCAAAGATAATTAAAATTATTATCAAATGCTATCAATTCATTGCAGATTACGTGCTGTGCTTTGCCAGAAGTGTCGCCGTAAGTCTATACATTGCGTCGAGGTGAATCCAGTGTTGACGTATATGGCGGGACGCGCTCTTGCGAGATTGCCGCGAACAAGCGCGATGAATATCAGCAGCCTGAAATTGATCAGCTGACTTCGTGTTGTGAGCCTGTTGAAAGGGTGTTTTCTGTCCACGAATGTGCTCTTCATGCTGGTCAGCAACTTCGACGTGGTTCGTCACCTCGACTTGGAATGTGCCTATTTATATCGTTACGGTAATTCTGAAACCTGGTGTAATGCTAGTGATGTATGGCAACAAGCCTTTTGAGGTCAAATATTCCCAGAGCCTCTTCAATGATAGATGTCACCAGCGCGGCCTCGTGCCCTGTCAGTACACCGATGATCTTCAATCAGACCGTGACGACCCATCTTATGGGCTCGCTGAGGATCTGAACTTCGACGTCCCCTTTCATGTCAGCGACTCTCTCCATCGGCTACCTCACGCTGCCCGGGATATATAGCAGAGCTGATAGCCAGCGCCTTGTATTGTTAAACATGTGTGTACTTTCCAACGAGGGTCTCTTGTGATAGACGGCCCGTTATCTATCTTGGCCTCGTCTGAGATCTCACATCTTCATGCAATGAAGATGCCCATTGTTCTCAAGCATAACAAAAGCCATCCACACCAGAAGCGCTTTCGGAGGATTACTTACTGGCTCTCAGGCCGCACTGAAACGCGTGTCAGAGAGAATCAAGACTCAGGTCTCAGGGCTGAGCTCTTTGGGCTGACGTCCCAACCACGGCTCCTTACCATTCACACGTCAGTGTTGATCGAAGTCTTGGGACGCAATGTCGATGCAGTCTTCGCGATCTCACTTGCCCCACGGTGGCGGCAGGGAGCCCTGACGTAAGTGCGAGGGTCACGATACGCGTGCCTTGGCTCCATGCCCTGGCTCTATGCTGCTTCTGGTAGAAGTTCCGAGCCGGTCTAATAAGTCTGCTAATTATTTTCCCTCGACGGCCATGGGGGCCTTGTACGGTGAGTTGCCGACGATCCCGACCTTGCCAGCGTAGCCCACACGAATAAGCAGGCACAGCCTTATAGGTAAGGTAAGTCCGGTAATAACGGAAAGAAGCACACTTCCGGTCGCCTTGTGCCGATAATTACCAAGCGCAGCCAAGTGATGGAGATCTTGATCAACACGACTTTGCAGGCCAGGAATTTCCTATGCACAATTCAGGACGGGGAGACACCGGTCGCTTCGTCTGGGCGAAGATTTCCAGATTCCCAACATGCGTTTTCTACCCTCATTTCGACAACAAACAGCGCGTGGATTTTACCCAGGAAGTTCGGCACGGGGTTGAGTAGTATGCCTGCCAAGCTGTGGCTGCAGTGGCGAGCGGCACCAATTTTATCCCCAAAGGACCGGGCAGTCCCTCCACTGAGCTGTTGTATGAGGCCGAAATTTCCTGCACTTGCACTTGCACTTGCAGCCAAGCCACATAGGACACAAAGCAGCTGCTGCTTTGAAATCGCCTGCATGGCGATTATCAGATCCTCACAGCTGCCAATTATTGCGTTTCAGCACATCGACAGAATGGTACGATCGGCCCCTCGCCCAAATACCGGAACCACTTTTCCGCCCCAGTGCGGACAAAAGGGCAGGGCTGCTTCTACAGCCCGCGATGTCCCCCTTGAATCGTTTGAAGTGTCTCCTCCAGGTGGCGCCGCGATGCGAGTTCTGCACGCCTGAAACCTCATCTTGTCTTGATCTTGTGCTGGTGTGGCGCTATATAAAAGTTCCCACGGTAGGCGAGCGTCAAGCTGATACTGGGCGAGGACGGCAAAGCGGAAAGGATCAGCGAGAAAAACGCCTGCCCAGGCGCGGGGACTCCCTCCTACCTGGAAGCCCTGGTCCCAGGTGAAGTCGTCAGCGGATGGAGTCGCGACTGAATTTTAAAGAGGAGAGGAACAGAAGCCCATCAGAATCTGGCAGTGAGGCCGAAATAAGGAAGTCGGAAAGTTCAGAGCCTCATCCAATGGCTAGCTCGTTTAAGAGGAGCTCATTTAAGGTGTCGCCCAGGGCCCTTCCATATTAGATGGCCCACGGACAATATTGTTCCCAATAGCGCCAGCTTTTCCCAGCTCGGGCCGTTCAGAACGGGACAAGTGCCGGCTGGCAGACTAGAGTGGTAGTATGGTAGGCTTGTTGTGTTGCAATCACTTGGTGGGTGGGTGGTCTGCGTGCGTGCTGACGTGCTGGCTTGTACCAGTAACAGGCATGCTGTTGTGGGCGAATTCTTCCGCCCGCCCGCCCTTTTACCCCTTGGCCCCACTTGACAGGCGGCCATCGGGATGTTTTGACGAACCTGCGACCCGGGGCCCCCCCTGATGCTGAGTGCCTGTCCGGCCCTGTCGGCCTGTTAGCTGCCCTGTCCTGTGAGCCCGCAGGAGGCCGTGCCAGAAGAGCCGCGATGCTTAGCAGCTGGGCTGGTGGTGGTGCTGGGCCTGTTGCTGGGCTGGTGGTGGTGGCCACTGGGCCAGGTCTCGGGAATTTTATGCACACCATGCAGTGCTTGGCGCTGCACTGATCAACCAGCTGCCCGCCCCAAGAGGAAAAAGGTTCCACAGACGTGACAGCCCCTACCTATACTCCGTACTCCGTACCCACCCCAGGGCTGTTGTCATGCGCGGTGCCTGGGCTGGGTGCGACGCGGCGGCTTGACGGGGCGAGCCTCCCAACGGATAGATGGGCGCATGTATGTGGCGTGGGCGCATATGTGTGTGTGTGTGTGTGTGTGTGTGCATGTGTGTGTGGTGGCCCTGGAGGAAGGGGGAGAGATGGAGGACAGCCAAGACTGACCCGTGCACTGTTTCCAGCCTTTTTGAGAGAGTCATCGAGACGAAGGAAAGTCTTCGATGCCAAAGGTGAGCCTCTGCAGCGTCAAATGTCTCTGAGAGGGGAGGTCGGCCGACAGGCTGTAGTCCGTGTGGTAATAAGAAGAGAGTTGGGTAGGGTCCGGGGCAGTATACAAAAGGGAGGAGAAAATGGATACCAAGGTAAATAGTTCGGTTGTCAGGTCTGCAAAAGGGCAAGTGCCTCCTCTCACGGCCCCCCTGGCTCGACTTGTTACTGTCTTCAACACAGACGTTTTTGTTTCGTTTCTTGGAGCTAGCCACAATAACCTTGCGTGCCTGTCCAAATTGCTATATGTTTCTCTAGTATTCTTAAATCAGATTGCTTTAACTACTTACTGCCTACCTACTGCCTTGCTTCTCTCTCCTTTCCTCTCCTCTCTTTTCTTCCCCTTCTCCTCCCTTCTTACTTCCTATCTTTTTCTCTGATGAATTACAAACCCTCACAACCCGATCAGACCTCCTCGACGTGTCTGTTGTGTTGCGCGATGCAGGATGGGCTACGAGCTTGAGCCCTTCATCCCGTGGCTACTACTTGAGATCCTCTCACCGATCAAGTTGCCCTTTAGACTTGCTTCCGCAAGATCTTGCACTGTACAACGTCCTTGCTGCCGGACAATGCGCCGACAAACACTCGCTCGCGTGCACGGATACGTCCTCTAGGTCACCATCTGATCCCTTGGCTTGGCTCTGACGTACAACACATCCTAGCGACTGGGACTCGGTCTCTTGAACAAGACAAAACACACTCGGGATCCCAAGAAATCTGAACACAAGGCAGCAAGAAGAATTGATAGTCAAGAACGAGTGAACCCCAAGCAACGTGGTGTCTAAGGTGTTACCACGACCGCCGACAAAACGGGTACCAACATGTGCCTTCACGTCCCAACGCCAACCAAATCATGGCAAGGTCCGGCCGGGTAACCTCTCCAGCCGCAACTCCGGCAAACTCTGCGATGTGTTGTGGTGACGACGACCCAAGAACAGAAAACCACCGGCCCACGCGGAAAGGCATCTACGTCCACCTCTATGCTAGCAATATGCGCTCAAGCCGGCCGGACCCTTTTCCCACCCAGCCAAAACAAAGCCGATGCAGAACTCGCACAATGGTATCTTCGCGACCCGATCTTTAACGAACACGACCATAGAGCGCGGAACAAATCGATATATGCCGTACTGATACAATTCAACCCGGCCCCACCGAAACAACCCCCCAGATGCTCAACAACGAGTGCCGCCCAACGATGGAGCCACGCTGGAGCTGGAGCTGCGAGGGCCGGAGAAGCTCGAGAAGCACGAGAAGCAGTGAGGCCGTTTGGCGCGCCGGAGAAGAGCAGAGGTAGTCATCCGAGCACGCCACGGGAATCCCCACCACAGCGCCGGTCAGCTTGATTCTGTACAATCACGAACAGCAATGCACATGGCCGTGATGCTTTCAACCTTGATGCCGATGAGCGGGATCCGGCCTGTCAATCAGGCCTTCGATGTGGACCCTCTGCCTATCGTCTCGAGGCCAGCCCTGCTCGGGTGGACCACCATGCTGTTGAGGTTGTTGGTGATACTGGGGCTGTTGAGTCTGTGCCTGGGTTTGAAACTGTGCCGGCTGCCTTATTGGAGGCAATTGATATCCTGGAGCCTGAGAAGTGCGTGGCGCTGCGGACAACTCGCTGCGAGGAATCTGGTAGGCAGGTTGTCCGGCGGGATAGTCCGGCCTGCTAGGCGACGCGGCGTAGGACGACGACAGCCGAGGGCTCAAGCCCGGCATCATTTGCCCAGGAGTTACAGGCTGTCTCGGGAGGTATGCCACATCGCTCGCTGATCTGCCTCGACCATGATCGAACGTGGCTGAGACAGGTGTTGGCTGCGGATAGGGCATTTGAGGCGTCGGGTACGAGTACGCCAAATCCCGAGGGTCTCGGCCTTGTGGTGAGGGCGTCGGTGGCTGAAAACCTCGAAAGGCCGTGTTGGTGTTCACCGCGACGACTATGAAGTATATCGACCCACGCTTCGCGAGACCCAGGCGCACTGGCAAATTCCTAAGCTGTCCTGCCTGGTCGTTGAACCGGAGATTCTCTAGAAGCTCAAGGGAATAGCCGGCCATTTCCTCCCTGCTAAACCCAAGCGACCGAAGTACATTCTCCTCCTCCTGCTTCACGTACATGGGCGGGAGGTAGTTGGGTTCCCTCCGTGCCTGCTCCTCTTGCATCTGCCGCTGGAGCGCCACCATTTTCTCCCTATCTCCTTGAGCGAGCAAATCTGTGATCCGCAGGCTCTGTATGATCGGGCGGCCAGTAGCTTCTAAGAATGTACTGGAAGCCTTTACGACCTCCAGGTCCATAGTCAGGAATGCTGCGGGCTCTGGCGGCGTTGTTGAGATGGCAAGGGGGGCGGGGTACACGTTCGCGCCGCTCGCGGAGCCTCGTTCGAGGAAGCGAGGCGCTGAGGGCTCCGGTGGTTGGGACTTCAGCACCCGGTATGACTGCGTTCGTCTCAGGGAATCGTCGAATCCTGAGCCCATAGAACCCTGTGGCGCGTACAGGGACAATGGTCGCCTCAAGCTCTGATCTTGACTTTGTCCGAGTCTAGAGTCGAATCCCGCACCACGATGATCATCTCGAAGCCGTGGGCGACCGCGTTTCTTGTGTTGAACGTCGACGCAGGCGTCTTCCTTTCCGTTCTGCATACATCTTGTGCAAGGCCTCTGGGCTGTTCGTATAGATGTCAGTCAGCTTCTTCCTCAGAATGCAAATTAGTACAGCAGTGATTGCTAGCAGAAGAACAAGTGTTCTCTGCCCGCCTAAAACTGTCCAGTAGCACTTGCTATTCCATGGCGTCTTCGAACTGCTCCTTTCGCATGAGCTGCCTAGATCTCACGCCTTTGAGAACATCTAGAGCGATTCCCACAAGAGTCAGGAAGTCCTGCCTGGTGTTGCGTGATTGGGACTACTTGATGTAGGTTTCATGCAAGTGCAGGGCCTCGCCGAAACCGTCGTTTTCGCTCCAACATGCTTCGACGCGTTGGCCCTGGATCCCATCCCGAGTGTTGGGACTCGCAAGGTGGAGAAAGGAAGGTTAGAACGTACCGTCGCATCTGACATGAATTAGTACGTTTCTCGTTTCACGATGCAAGGCTGCTGGTCACTCACCTTAGATGGGCTTTCTTGCATGGCACACAAGCTGACGCCACGTGCCCCTTCGTCTTTCTTTGGGACTTAGGCGAAGCAAATGACTGCTGGCTCTCTTGCGTCGGCGGCCTGGAAGTGATGGGATAACCTGGGATAGGTCCAGGTGCTGGAATTGGGCCAGGGGCAGGGAGGTACGGGGGTTGCGACATGACCTGGCTGTGTTGTGACGTATATGGCACAAAGGGTCTTTGCATTGGGTTCTCTGGGCGTGGGAACGCGTATGGCATGCGCTCCATGAGCTCTGGCTGGTAAGGCCTGACGGGTGCCAATATTCCTGGCAACATCCTCGAATCTGCTTGTGTCGTCGAGCTTCCGCGATACACATCGTGGCCGGCTGTCTGGTACACTCCCTGAACTCGGTCGTCGGCCTCTTGAGTTACTCTGGGTGGAATCGGTGGAGACCCTGACATGGGCGGAGATGGGTAGTCTCCTACTGACCCGGAAGCAGGACTTTCAGAGCCTGCCCTGGGCCACGAAATGTCAAGAGCGAAGCGCACCAGGTCTGAACAGCCACGGCGTTGGCCGAACGAATTATGCGAAATGTCTCGATGATGGAGTAGGGTTTGCATGGAAATGATTCTAAGAGGTTTAGCGCCTGGGCCAAATCACCACCTGCCCTCGCTTCGACAACGCAATCACCCTCACGATCCCGCGCGGTAGAAACCCTGGAATCGATCTGGCGTTCCACGTCTTCTCCTGCGAACTGCCTCAGGCGCTGAAAGGGTCAGGACTCGGGAACACGGATAGCGGTGGGAAGGACGACGGCCTGCTCTGAGCCTGGCTGAGCCTGCCTGTCGATGGTGGCGAACTTTCTAGGTTTGTGCGGCCTGGTCGTGGGTCTTGGACGTGCAAACCTGTCTCTGCACGTGCCAATGTCGCGTCAAGGAAAGGTCGACAACTCCGGCTGGTGGCATCAAGTGGAAGGATGTCTCGATTTCAAAAGAGTTGGGCGACTGGCAGGTTCGGTCCGGTAGGTCCTGTCGAGTCCCGGTGGTGACAGAAGCTGACACACAGTTCCAGCACTCGGGCAGAGCAAACGTGCACTGTAATACTAGGTCGATGGCTCCTGAAGTCTCAGTGGTACGGCATGCGGAGGTGTTCGTGGTCGTGTTTTGGGGTGTCGGAGAGCTGCAGTAGAAGCACCAGGAAGCTCTCTGGATGTCATGGAAGCTATGGAAAGGCCTGGGCTGCTGTGCTTGGGAGAGAATTACACGCAGACAGGATCGAGAGCAAAGTAGAGAGGATGCAACGGTGGTTTATGGTCTTTTGTCTTATGGATCCCCGGAACCCATGTCATGGTCGAGAATGGTGCAGCAGCCCAGATAGAAAATAAAGAACCGTGTGTTAGTTGTCCGAGGCCTTTTGTGCGACTTAAAGAGGACGGAGCAATTGAGATGGAGCCAAGATCAAGACAAGGGTGCTTCAGGGTTGAGATGGTCTGGAGAGCGGAGTGGATGCCAGGGACCACCCCTGGCCCATCCTGATGTGTGGTGCTAATTCAAGGGTACATCCAATGCCTGTATGCCACCAGCAGTCCCCTGCACGTAACTCGCAACTCCCATGTGCACGTAGTACGCTGTATGTCGTAGTGCAAGGGCCGGGGGGATACTCTATGTAGTGAGCGAGGGTATTGGTGGGCCAGTCCTAGCAGGCTGGAAGATGTTGTCGTTGATGCGGTCATCAGTCTTTCTCGGACAGGATATATGCACATATACACACGCGTATACTCGCACACGTTCACACACACATGTTACCTACTCTGTGCGTTGCGGAAAGCCTGCGCCCCTGACTGCGGAACAACAAGTCGTGAGGGAGACCCCGCGGATCGATTTGTGCCAAGGCTATATTCCTCTGACTGCGAATCTTCGTGAGGGTTGCAAGGAGCAGTAGAAGCAGGTGGGGGACAGGAAATGATCTGATATCGCGCCGATGGCGCCTCTACTCTCATCCCATGTCCATCAGCCAGCCCACACACAGGTAGCGAGGCATGGCAAGGCGAGGGTGGACAGGGGGAGACAGGCACTCGCACAGGGACAGGGACAGGTGTCAGGCACGGGTCGAGGAGCGCGGACGGCGTCAACGGAGATGCAAGACAAGACAGATTCGAATACTGCAGAGGGGCATTGATGATAGGCAAGGCAGGCCGAGAAAGCGTGGGTCCAGTCTATTACGGACCGCGCAAATTCTCCGGCAGGTTTCGTCGTGGATTGTCAAGTAAAATTGTGAAGAAATCCGTCCAAAAGTAGTAAGACAAGTCCTCAGCGCAATTTGCTTTTTGGGGGATGTACAGGGACGGGGTGTGTCTCGCGTGTCGGGTTCGGCAGCGGCAGCAGTAGCAGCAACAGAACAGCAGCAGCAGCAGTAGTAGCAACAACAGTAGCAGCAGCAACAATAACAGCAGCAATCTGGGCTGGATGTCTCGAACTGCCAACGGCTACTTTACAGGGGCAGCTCTGGGTGACTGGTGACGGCGGCGGGTTGAGAAACCCTGTCGGGACCCAGCCCTGCCAGAGGTGCAGAAAGATGCCCCAGCGAACGGAGATCAGCCTCGGGCATGTTTGGTGAGTGCGCAGTATCGTAGCGAGCATCACCCGTCGAGGCCCAAGTTGACTGCCCACACGGCACAGAGAGAGTGTCAATCATTAGGGGAGGACCCTTGTAGGCCTAGTCTATCCCGGGAGGACGTGATCTGGTGCGGGTTGATCGTCCATGAACTGAATTGTGTCACATCCAACCTGATCCTTGGGGCCAAAAAGACTAGTCAGCCCTCTCCTCGTTGCTGCTAGCTGGAGGAGGGTTGAAGCAAATGCAAACCGGCTACACCATTTTGGGTAGCTTTTGAGAGCGAGTGTGTGGAGCAGGGGGGGTCGGCGGGCCATGACTGACAGCTGTTCATGCTCGCGAGTGGCGGCAAGAAGGCCTGGGTGACAGTGGTCGTGTGTGGGCAGCGGTGAGTGTGATGGCAGCAGGATGAAGTACATGAGATAAAGCGTCCATGGCGTTTCGCAGCATGAGCCCTGAATCCCAGGATTAGACAGCGGTGGTCCAAAAAAGGACGTTGACGACACAACGGGGGTGGGTGTCATGACGGGACGGCGTGGACGCGATTGGCAAAGCGAGAGGCTGATCTCAAGAGAACGCAGAAGCGCATTTGCTATGGATCTGAGTCGATTGACGGCTGTGGCCAGGAATCCTTGACCATCTGATGCCAGCCCAGGGTGACGGGCCAAACCTTGGAGGAGCGGAGGGAAGGATCAAGCGCATGAATGTCGAGCTCGAGGCACGTGTGGCGGGCACCCTCCGGGGGTGGTCGTAACAGCAGATGGCAGGGCCAGCATGCGCAGCAGGGCACCCTTTCAACGATCCCATTGCCTCGGCGGGACCTGAGCCGGTGGCATCCAATTTCTCGTGATGGATTCCTCCGGACGCGGAAATGATGGGTCGTGGCATGTGTCGTCATTCGCGGCCAAGTCATTGGTTGACGAGGACCTTGTTTGCGTGACCGTCCAAAGATGTGGGATGGGGTGTCGTCCCAAGGCACGGTCGCGTACGGGATTGCATTGCGTGCAGGAATACTTTAGCCGAAGAATAGGCAAAGGTGGGTACTGATCCAGCGCTGGCGCAGGCCCTCTGACTTCGTGTTGTGTGTATCAAGCTGAGGCTCAGGCTCAGGCTCAGGCTGAGGTTCTGTGTTCAGTATTCTGTGTCTACTGGTTCGGGCCCGGGCCTGGGTCGAGGTCCATAACCAGATGCATACTCAGGTCCAGGTTTTAGGCTCAGCTGCTGAGGTGACTTTAAGCTAGCTGGCTGGACGGGACAATAGACTACCTGGGTATCTTCGGGCTGGGCTAGGCTGGGCTTGGGTGGGATTGATCGATGATTGGGTCGTGGTCGATCCCGCAATCCTGATACACAGAGTAGCAGCCCGGATGCGAAGGCAATCTCGTGGATAAATAGACTGAGGTTGCAGCCGCCGTGAGCTTCTTTGGCGCACGTTAGATGGGTCAGGATGGGTCAGGAAGGCAGCATGGTCGGATGTGCGGTAGTAAGATGGATGGATGTACAATGGGCAGACTAAGCACGACGAACGGGCGGCATAGGCTTCAGGGCTTCAGGGCATCTCAGTTTGAGTCAAGTCGAGTCGAGTCGAGTCGATTGGATCGGTCTGGCCCGCCGAAGACGTCTCGCCCAAGGCTAAGGCACGTTTTGCCCGGGGGGGGGGGGCGCTGGTGATGAAGTTGCAGTCCTCTTGCTGCTGGCTGCTGGCTACTGGCTTCGGATGCTGGTGTTGCAGTAGCAGATGGCTGAGGCGCCGTTGCATTTTGGGAGGGCATGTTTGTCAGGGTACCCGTGCGTGCCCAGGCACCGTCTGCATGCACGTCCTGTCCGGCAGGTGCTACCCCGAGTAGGTGGGTCAGCACGGTGCAACGGACATGTAAAGGCATCCTCACATTTCGACGGCCTTTCGCCCCCAAAACCTTCGTAGCCATAGCCATGTCCATGTCTTGAACATGTGCTTTCTGCCTTCGGGAGAGCATTATTTCTTTCCTTAAATGGTCCCCTAACCATTCACGGTCACAGTCTGGCTGTCTAATTAAGGTACATAAGGCATCTGCCTAGATAAGACTTCATGGAAGGTTGCAGCTGTGGGAAATGACCCTTTTGTTTTGGGGAGGGGCGGCAGGGGAGGGAGGAGGGAGGGGAGGGGGTTGGCAGTAACCACGATCCTGAGAGCAACAGCGAACAAAACAAGCAAGCGATCCTGCAAAAGCACGCAGAACTACATCCATAACCATATCCACGCATACTGCATACTGGCCGTCCTGACATCAAAACCCAAGCACAGGACGCGCCGATGGGTTTGATGACAGGGGCCTGGGAGGTGCCACTGCCGAAGCCCTCTCCTCGGCAACCTCTGCTACACCGCATGTCGCCATCATGGGTCCGTCCGCCAGTCCGTGCTGTGCTGAGCTGAGCTGAGCTGTGTTTTGCTGTGCTCTGCTGTCTTGTGCTGTAGTTCCGTGTACGTACACAGATACAGGATACAGGTGCAGGTGCAGGCACGGGTTGCAGGTACCATGGTTGGCGATTGTACCTGCCTGCACTGCACACCACACCATGACATGGCCTGGCCATGCCATGCCTGTGTGTGTAGTTTGCTATGCAGTTGCTATGCAGTTGCTATGCAGATGTGGCTGGCCACCCCATCTCAACCGTAATTTGAGACGCCGCGCCTAGCGCTGATGGTGGTGGTGGTTGGTGGTGGTGGTGAGATAAAATCATC